GGGCTTTCATTCCCTTTGGAGCAGGAAGTAGGACCTGCCCTGGAGCTGCTCTAGGCAAACTTGAGATCTCCATTTTCCTTCACTATTTTCTCCTCAACTACAAGTGAGTAATCTCTTTCCTTTGACACTTATACAAGTTAATGGACTACCATACATTTCAACTGCACAAGAGTTGTAAAAGAAATTGCAAAAATCGTAATGAAAGAGAAATTATAAAACATGCTTTGTGTTTGGTTTATGGAAAATACATGATTAACATCATATGTACAAGAAAAATGACTAGATAATAATATATATGCTCCCAAAAGGATGACATTCTTTTCATTTCTTTTCTTTCATTGTGCAGGCTTGAAGAGCTAAATCCAAGGGGTCCAATTAATTACCTACCCTTGCCACGCCCAGCAGACGACTGTCTTGCAAGAATCATTAAGCTCCCATGATCAACTCAATTGGGTTCAAATCACTTCTTTCCTTACTTCATCTCAGTAAGGCAGGGATCTTGATCTTCAAATTTGTAACAAGTTTATTAGAGTCAACTCCTGCGGACTACTGCCTCGCAAAAGTCATTAAGCTTCGATACTTAAGATGTACTTTAATTGACAAGAAAGATGTAATAAGGTCATTACAGAGTATATATATTGACGGTAATGATTGTTCAATTTATGAACACATTGACCAAAGAGAATGAATCATATAATAATAGCAATGCAAAGAAAATTAATTTTATCACATGGGAAGCTGAGTGATATATGGTGGTTGGATAAACTAGTCTGAAACTCAGAATCAAGAGAGAGACAAAAAAGAAAAGGAGAGAAATTCACTAATGGATTTAGATTTCCAGCCTTTGATTCTTGCAGTAGTGGTTGGATTGGGAACTTATGTTTTCTTATTTGGTTTTCGTAGGAAAGTAAATGAATGGTACTATGTAAGTAGGTTGGGACAGAAGACACATTCTCTCCTCCACTGAAATTTTTAAAAAACGAAAACACGGATAGGATACAGTAATAGAAAATTGTTTTTTATATATTATAATCATCAGTTAAAAATATATGATAGATATTGAATTGATTTTTAGAAGATATATATTTTTTTTTTGTGAAGAAAAAAACTAATAATAGATACAACAATAAAAGAACTTATGATGTTAGTTTTTTTTTTTTTTTTCTTTTTCTTTATCTATCTCCAAGTTCCAACATATTTCGATGCGTTGCAAGTGTCAAAATATCTAACAGAACACGGGTACAAAAGGGATTCATAGTGTCCGTGCTTCGTAGCTCCAGGTGCTATGTGGTGGCCTATATTAGCCAATATGTGTCTTTTCTCAAAGCTTTCGGATCCAAAAACCCTGAAACCTTCGTCAACAACTTGGTTAAAAAGTATGGTGGAAACGGAATTTACAAGTCTACTTGTTTGGAAGTCCGAGCATCATAGTTTTTATTCCTGAAACATGTACGAAAGTCCCGACAGATAAAAGATTTATTGGGTTAAAAACTTTCGATTCAATCACATCAATGAAAATAAAATCAAATAATAAATCAAACATATAAGAGATAATAATTTAACGTGATTTGATTCAACTGATCTACATCCACGAATGAGAGACAAGATCCATTAGTTATAAAAAATTACAAACTTACATCAAATCATCAATCTCACTCAACAATCAATATTCATAAGACACTCTCAATCTCCTCTAATTTTATGAAGTATTCTCAACACAAACAAACACAAACTCAAACTCTTAGTTCCAACATAATCAAACACATACACATATGCTCCCATACATCATACCTATGTAGATCCTCTCAGTCTCCTCTAGTTCACTCACAAATAAACATACACACCCATAAGATGTAGAGCTTCAATACTCCTATGAGATGTCTATCCCACAAAATCGTACAACTTTCTTACATCTTTTTTTCATACATAATCCTGTAGAGACTTCACATATTTATAACCATATAAACTTGCTCATTAAGAATCCCTCTCCTTTTAGAATTCTTCTCTTGTAAGTTAAACTTGCCTATTAAGAATCTATTTCCTTTTAAAATTCTTCTCTTGCAAGTCAAACTTACCTATTAAGAATTCTATTTCTCTTAAAATTCTTTTTTTGCAAGTCTTTTTGTCTATCAAGTAATATATGATAAATTCTAAACAAATCTCTAACAAATCACATTATAGGATTTAAGCCAATATTCCTAACAATCTTCACCTTGACTCAAATTTCATTAATCATCTGTCTTCATGCTAGATATGCTTAGCTCCACCTGCAATAGAAGTCTCACAATCATCTTCTCTTCTCTTGTGTCTTCACGCTTCATACAAACCAATCCTCAATCTTCAAAACTTAAACTCGAACTCTTTTCTTGAATCGAGCTCTTCTGGACTTGCTTCTTTTCATATCTCAAATCATGCACTTCCCACATCTTAAACTTTTAGCTCTTTCTACATCTCAAACTTTCAGCTCTTTCCATATCTTGAATCTTCAACTCTTCTCACGTTTCGAAACTTCAGCTCTGGTACCACTTGTTGGAGAACACCACAGCTCTAATACCATTTGTTAGGCTAAAAGACTCTAATCCAATCACACCAACGAAAGTAAAATCAAACAATAAATCAAACACACAAGAGATAATAATTTAACGTGTTTCGATCCAACTGACCTACATCCACAGATGAGAAACAAGATCCACTAGTTATAGAGAATTACAAACTTGCCTCAAATCATCAACCTCACTCAATAATTAATACTCATAAGACACTCTCAATCTCCTCTAGTCTTATGGAGTATTTTCAACCCAAACAAACACAAACTCAAACCCTTATGCACCCTTTCAACATAACCAAACATATACCCATATACTCTCATACATCATACCTATGTGGACTCTTTCAGTCTCTTCTAGTCTACTTACAAACAAATATACACACCCATAAGATGTAAAGTCCTAATACTTCTATGAGATTATTTTTTCAATATAAAAAAAAAATGAAAAGGTCGTCTTATTCAAAACCCCAATTATGAAATCCCCTCTCTCCCACTTCACACCTCGGAACGCACCGTTCTTATAGAGAGAAAGGCGCTTTCACATCTTCTTAACCCGAAATGGATGAAATGGCTGGGGAGAGGAAAGGTTCCTTTTTTTTAGGGTACTCCTGGGAACAGATCCAGTGGAGACGAGGTGGGGCCTGTAGCTCAGAGGATTAGAGCACGTGGCTACGAACCACGGTGTCGGGGGTTCGAATCCCTCCTCGCCCACAACCGGCCCAAAATGGAAGGACCTTTCCCTCTGGGGGTAGGAAAATCATGATCGGGATAGCGGACCCAAAGCTATGGAACTTGGGCGTGGTTCTTTTGCCGAAATGGAGTGGCCTTTTATTTATTATTTATCGTAAATTTTATTTATTATTTATCGTAAATTTACTTTTCTATTTTATATATAGTATTATAGTATTCCCGGCCAAAACAAAATAAAATAAGCATATTTTTTTTGTTTTACGCCCCGTAACTCTTCCTCAGCCAGGCCAGGCTTGGGCACAAAACCCTATAACTCTCTTACATCTTTTTCTCATACCTAACCCTGTAAAGACTTCACATATTCATAACCATACAAACTTGCCCATTAAGAATCTATCTCCTCTTAGAATTCTTCTATTGTAAGTTAAACTTGCCTATTAAGAATCTATTTTCTTTTAGAATTTTTCTCTTGCAAGTCAAACTTACCTATTAAGGATCCCCTTTCTTTTAGAATTCTTCTTTTGCAAATCTTCTTGTCCATCAAACAATATCTGACAAATCCCAAACAAATCACAAACAAATCTCTTTTGAGATTTGAATCAATATTCCTAACAAGATTTGCTCCTCATTGGTTACCCTGTATGTTTCAATAAGGAAGTTAACAGGAAGCAAGTCGTTTCACAACGTATCAAATTTAGAACACAGGCGTTTGCACAAGCTAACGACGGCTCAAATTGATGGCCATGTATATTGGATGTATTGAGGATATTGTGATCACTGCTTTGGAGGAATGGGCCAGCATGAACAAGCCAATTGAATTATTGAAAGAGATGGAGATGGTTACATTCAGGGTCTTTTTACTCGTATCTTCATGGGATCTGGATCTGAATCAATTCGTGAGTCAATGGAGAAGTGTCACAATGACTTGCACCATGGATTATTATCTGCTGCATATAATATTCCTGGTTTTCCATTCCATAAAGCTCTCAATGGCAATTTTTCTTCTATCACATGCCTAAAACACTAAATCTTTCTTTTATGCCTCAACAAAAACATTTCTGCATAACTTTTTTGCATAGCGAAAATATACAATTTGGAAACCCTCTTCGGAAACCCTTTTTTTTATGACAACGTATAACATTAAGTAGTTGTTCTGAATTGATTTTACTTTATTTACTTTGGCATGTGCGGAATCAAAAACCCAAAGCAGGATCAAGCTTGAGATCTCCAAGTGGGGAAAATAGTATGATACATAACCATCACTCTTTGATAAAACCGATTATATTCTTTATCATTTTTCAGACTGGAACAGATCAATCCTGGAGGCTCAATTGTGTACTTGCCAGTGCCAAGGCCTGCAGACAACTGCCTAGCAGAAGTAATCAAGCTCCCATTATCTGATTTGCTTCTTTGTTTCTCTTTTTTGTCCATGTGTTTCTGAATTGATCTGTGCCTGCTTTACTCTTCTAGTTGAGAAAAAATAATAATAATAACACCCGTGTTTAGTAATTGCTGTTGAGGAAAGAACCTTCCATGGTCCCCTAAAACTGGAAAATGCATATTGATTGTTTTTCTTAATAACTTCTTGATTTATTGTCTCAGTTCTCTTTTTGATTTTACTAAGCATTTTTCAGGTGATTACTTTTGATTGATTTTAACAATATCACACATATATTGAGATTTAAAAAAAAAAAAAAAAAACACAGAGGATAAATGTAATCTATGTATGGAAGAGTAAGGGAAAACATAGCATAAAAGAAAAGCAGGAAAATTTCTTTTAAAATATTAATGTAAAGAAAGGGAAGAAGCAACTTTGCAAAGTTGGAGCTTACTGCCTGTGATAATTGTCAATAACATAGAAGATGTGACAGAAGTTAAAATATAATACAAAGTTCTAGTGGGAAGCATCTTCTTCCTTGCAGAATTTGGTGTATTCCTTTGGACCCATCAAGGATTCTAATTCTGATGGACTACTTGGCTTCACCTTGATCATCCATCCTTCTTCATATGGGCTTGAATTGATCTTCAATAGCAAATTTAAGATGTTAAACTGAGTTGCCAAAATCAAATATCCTATACTTTTCTTTTCATTTTCCTATACTTTCTCAGCATCAAGAAAAGCAGTTGTGTATAGTTGAATGAGAATTACCAAGCCAGGAGCCTCAGTAAGCTTTGAATTAACCTCAACGACTTCACCAGAGATTGGGGAATTGACATCACTGGTTGCTTTAACACTTTCCACGGCTCCAAAGCCTTTGCCTTGGCTAACTAAGCCACCAGGTTCTGGCAGTTCCACAAAGACTACTTCTCCAAGATGGTCCTGTAAAATGTAAACGGTAAATCATGTAACGTGAGTTCGTTAGATGAGCTGTTGTCACCATGCTCCACTACATTGTACCATACAGGGAAGGAATCATTTATATGTCCTTGAAAGGTAACAATTTAGGTTCTGAATCATGTCTGTGTTACCGTCAATAATCTTGCCAAAGTACATTCTGTGAATCTAATACAGTCAATGATGGATTATCTTGTACAAACATGTTATGTCATACCATTTTCAGATTAGACAGACTTTTATCATCTTGATTCTTGACTAAGGGTTCCTGGCTAGTTGACGTCTATTACCATGTCATCTTTGAATTCTCCACTCCCATTCTTACCATATTCCTCAAATAAGTCTGTAATTGTATCCCTGTATAGTTTGCCCCACAGCCGATTTTGGCAAATATTTTTTAAGAAGTTTAATTTTTTATGAGATGTAGATTGTATATATAATTTTTATGTATGTTATAAATATTAAAGACTTCCATATAACTTTGTAAATAATACTAATTTGTGTGTATCTATATATATTTAAATAAATAAAAATAATTCGTGCCTCGCCCGTATCACAAGCCAGTTAGCAACATATTCTGAGGTCAGCATGCGGCCACAACATACCCCCAGGAGAGATTTCACCTCCAAGAGCAAATTCATACAGACAAGCAATATTTAGTACTATTAAATTCAAATTAATGGAATTACACATGCATCTTTCCCGGCCAATATTAGTAGGAGAAAAGAAGTTGATGATTAAGGGAGGAAATAAGGGAATAACCTGAGCATGGTCAGTGATGCCAATGGTAGCCACTGAACCTTCATGCTTCACCCATTCATGTGAATTGGCATATTTCAACCCATCCAAAACTGCAAATTTCAACAAGTTATCCTTATTACAATCCTTAATTCTATAAAATAGTGACTAAAAGATAAAAACTGACAAACAATAGTCTCCTATGACCCTAAAGCAGAGACATGAAGCAATAGAAGAACAGGAGTACCTGTGGAAAAGCATCTGGAGAGGAAGAATGCAGGGGAGAGGTGAGCTTTGGAGGCACAAGAGATTTTGAGTGCATTGGCAGTGGAAGAAGCCCACATTCTCAATGCCATGTTATTGCTATCTCTGGGCTTTTGCCTTTGGTTGGCTGAAAATCTACAAAGACAATGAAATAAAGAGAAGTTGGCTTTGTTGTGTATATTTCTGGCTACTTTTATCTTGTATGAATGGTAGGCAACGAAAGCCTCATCCTAAGACCCAACTTACAAAGACATGCTGCTGTTTCTTTTTCATGTGACAAATTTCATGTCCTCCTGATTTTTTAGTGTTAACATAATCTCTTTTTCAAACAATATGCTGTAGCAGCAATTAATTAAAGAAAATTTGGGGCTTTGATTTTTTTTAAAAAAAGTGTATTTTACTATATTTTACAAGTTGGGTTTTCAAACCCGTCTATTTGAAGTGGGTCGGGTGGGTCTAGTTTCGTGGGCAGATCCAGTATTTGGGAAAGTTTCGAGCTTTCAGCCGAGAATTCTCCAAAGGTGAGGACTTTGGAAAAGCCATAAAGAAAAAGGCCAAAGCTTGGAGCCTTAGAGATCTAAAATTTGGGTCCTTTTTTTTTTCTTACAAATTAACAAAAAGAGAGTAAATTCATCCATACCCATCGGAGATCAGATAATGAAATGAGAATGGAAGAGATTGTAGAAGAAACCAATGGAAAACATGAAAAGATGGTGGAAATTACTCTCAAAACAATTGGCCCTGCTCGCCCTTCTCGCCTTCATGTCGCTTCTTCCATCAGAGTACGTTTCGCTCTGTTAATTTGCCATGTATTTTTATGTTTATTTCTTTGAATCTTGTTTTGGTTGTGATCTTATTAAATCATAGAAATGTCTATGTCCTGTTTACAGCAAAATTGTAAGAGTCAATGTAGAGAGCGTCATGGCTAAGCTAAGATTCTGAGAGTTAAATTTGTTTATAAGTCTAAATTTTTAAATCTAATTTCTATGGATGAACCATTAAAGCCTTTGATATTTGGTTACTGTTGTATCTTGAAGTTTGTTGATTTAATTACATAGTAATGAGTATGTGTGGGTCAGTTTAAGCATTATTTTGACAATCTAGTTCTAATACTGGAAAGAGAGAGTCCTAGAACGATTGCAAGCAGTAAAATTGACATGCAATCTGAGATGTATATTCTTGTAGAATGGATAGCCACTGTTCAAATTTCTTTTATCTAATTTGAGTTCTTGTGAATGTACCTTGAACTATAAGGTCCATAGAGCCTACACAGTATTTGATTGTATTTTAACTTTTCCAAGACAGATTCTAAAGTGATTTCTTTGCTTCACTTCATAAAGAACCATCAATTTACTTTGTATTAGAGGCATCTTTGGTTGCATTTTTCTTTTGATATTATAGCATGTACCATAGTGACAAGAAGCAAGCTTGGCAAAATTCTTTTAGTACCAGTGCACATGTTTATGGTATGCTTGTATTTCTATCAAAATCAGGTTCTTGATTTGAGAAAATTGATAGCTGGAAAGAATCATTTACCAGTAGAGAATTTGAAGCTTATCTTGCGAGGGAAGGTATTGCACGATCGTGAAGATGAAGATGACATTTACATTCAACTTAATGGTGATGGTATAGATCTTGGCTTTAATAAAGTTTTTACATTCAGTAGTTTGCCTTGACTGGATACAATTATCATTAGTGGGGTGGGGGAAGGAATTAGTCCCATCCCAAGTCCCTTAACTTTCATAATCGAAAACCAATGTTGTGTTGTCGGGTGTTTGGGAACAAAGTAACTTACCGATTTCATGCCTATTGCAACTCTTTCTTTTTGTTCTTAATTTCCAGAGGCTCTGTAAATTTTTTTTACTATGGTCCTGGTTAGTGTTTAGCTATTGATATGTGGGCACTGTGTACCAAATTTCTAGATTCCCTCATTGCTGCTGTCAAACCAAAGGCACCAGTTGGACTCAGTATTGACGATGATGATGAAGATCTCGTATGACTGAATTAATACTGTCACTAAACTGAGTTTGGATGCCACTTTGATAAACCAACGATCTCTATTAATATTTTTTCTTTTTCCTTAATTCTTGAACAGAAATTTCAGCTCCCACAGTCAACAAGCCAATGGAAGAAGAAGCTTTTCTCTTTTTTACGTAATAGATTGAAGCTTCCTGGTAAGAATCAACTTGAATTGAGCTGTTGTTATTTTTCCAAATAACAGTTCAGTTGTTAACCATCCGTTATATGCCTTTTTGTAGATGTCCTTTTGATGGCAATATTTTCTCTCAGTCTTAAGGCATGGGCTCTAATTATTTTATGGTTTATACTGGCACCTGTTGCCCATAAATGGGATCTTGGACCATTATATGTAAGTTCACTTTTTGTAGATATCCCTTTTATGTAAGTTCAGTACCAGTGTTTATATTGGATTTGTCCTCCATTTACTTGTTGGGAAGTGGCTGAGTTCTCTTGACCAATTCTCTTTGTATCTCCTTTCCACATTGAGGAATGCTGGTAATATGTTGTTTCTTCTTTGATGCCATAGAATAAAATAGACCTTTTGTGGTTGTTGAGGTCATTTTCTTGTAGAAAGCTGTATCATTTGGTTGTCTTATTATATTAGATTATGTGTGTCTGCGTGTTGGGAGAAGTAAAAGAAAATGCTTGTTTTTTGTGTTGTTACCTTGAAAATTTTTTAAAAGGATTTTAGACTGCTTATAGCCCTTCTGATGTCATAATTTGTCCATACCATTGCCTTTTGGATCAAATTTACTGTTTATAAAACAAATGGCAATGCAAAATCAGAGATGCAGACTAAGATTATTGAAAGACATAGACTATCTATCACACGTTTGCATGTAAAATTTATTGACCATCCAGATCATTTGCATTATGAAAGATGTTCATATTTTCTTTGGCCCCTCATTTTCTCAGATACTTGGTACTGGCTTTTGTATAATATTCCTGAATCTTGGGCGGCGGCAACCTGGTGATGTCAGGTATCCTCTTGATCCTATTAACTAGGGTAGCAAAAGTTTATAATGTAAACATAAGATAACAACAAATAAACTGTTACATGACTCTGACACTTGTTCTGGTGGTAAAGTTGGCAACTTGACATAGATCCATGGTTGCTGACTCCCGACTCTTTCAAACCATGAAACGAAAATTTGCTTGAAATAATGTTTTCTTGTATCTTCTTTTGCAAATTTTTTGCAAAGGTATTTGTGGAGTATTTCTTAAGCATGGGCAATGATCCAATGTTAACAAAGTTCATGCACAGGAACCTCTTGTAATTTATGATAGTGGTTGTTTTGGGGTCTTTGTTTAGTTTCTAAACCCTCATTGAATGTGGCTTTTTCTCTAAACATGAACTGCTTATTTCTTTCCTCAGTAACTTATCTTTTCCATTCCAATATTTGCAGTGCTTATTCCATCTTCAATGAAGATTTTAAAGAGCTTCCCGGAACCCTCAATGCAGACGCTATAGATAGAGATATAAGGACGGGTCGGTTTTGAGCCAGTATCACACCATATGTGACTATCAAAATGTCTACATTGTAATACATGTTTTCCATCAATAGCAACACAAAATTGTAAAGACTTCTTTCAAGCATTCTTTGTTTCCTTAATAGAAAACGGTAATTTTCATAAAAATAATAATCTTTCTCACAGCAATACCATGGAACTAAAGCATGTTTAAAAAGTACTTTTGGATTAGTGGAATAGGAATGAAATAATCCTGTAACTAACTTGTTACAATTATTCCTCTGCTGCTGTGTGGCGAACAAGATACCTAAAACAAAATAATCCAGCTAAAGTTCATTGAATACTTCCATGGGAGCTGGTTGCAGCTATGGTGGGAAAAAGAAAAAGGAAAATGGAAGATGCAAAGTAGATATTTGTATAAGATGCCAATATTACTAGATGTTGCTTTGTCAAAGGCATTTGGATAGGAACCGCAATATACATCCGTTGGCACATAATCTTTGACTTCTGCCTGTCCAAGATTCTGGAATAAAGAACCCTTGTGTTTGATTTTATCGATGGTTATCGACCTGAAAGCAAAATCACTCGTTGGGCCTGCCAATTGATTGATTCTAGCATAGGGCAGAGGGCAGTTGCCGTCCAGTCAATTTTTCTTCATTTGCGTGAAAAATATGTTGGATGCAGCCTTCTCTGCCTACCTATTGTAAAGTTACATATCAAGTTTCAAATCTTTTGGGACCATAATCAAATTCAAACGTTGGTTTTGCTAAATTCATCCAATTCTGATTTTCTGATGATAGTCAAATGGTCGGTTTTGATGCATTCAAGGGGGACAGTATCCAGGTTTAAATTGCACAGAGCAACCCATGGACTCTTAGGAGGTCCATTTTCCCCCAATTTCGTTAGATTCTTAGGATCTAAACCTCCTTTTAAGTCTATCTCGATTTGTTTAGACTAAGGATTTATATTGCATAGTTCTTTTTTATACGTGCTTTTTAAAAATAATTATATAAATAATTAAATTAAATTTTTATTCTTAATTTTCCTTTAATTTTGATTTCTGACAAATAAACTGGTATCATTTAACGATTTAAATGTAGATTCTAATTTTTATGTACTTCTAACGTCCGTTCAAAGATACTTAAATTGCAAAAATTGAATGTTTTATATATAAAAAAAAAATCATAATCAAGCAAACTGTAGACAATGAGGTTGGAAAATCTCTCCTAATTGAACCAACAAAAAAATTTGATGATTGAGGGGTTAGGTGGCGACCCTGTAGGTTGACAAAATCACATATGACATATGACAATATTTGAATTCAAAATATCAAAAAAAAAAAAAAAACAAATCAAGCATGCTAATCAAAATTTTCTTCTTTCTTTTATACTTTTCAATTGTTCAATGAGGTCATCATATGTACTTGAAGAGAACTTAAGGATTTTGGTTTGATTAATGAAAATATAATCTTATCAAAGTTGCAAAATTTAAAATATTTTGAGATTGTATAGAGATATGGGGCTTTTGTTTTTTAATATAGAGGTTCAAATACCACTGTCTATGCAGATTTTGAGGTCCAACTTCTATTTCAGATTCTAGGAATTAAAGTTATGCAACCAAATCATTAAATCAAATGAGCAAAAAAAAAATAAAAAAATCAAAGGAAACCAAAGATATGCAAATGGAAATAGAAATGAAATTAATTTTGGCTTTTTTTCCTTATATTAATTGAGTGCAATTTTGATTAAAAAAGATAAAATTATGCAATTTTTTTTTTATTTCATGCATTCATGATTTTACTTATGAAACATTTTATAAATAGTCGAGATTTGCGTCCTTTTATTTTTTTAATATCAAATAAAAAATCCTGTTGATGGTAAGATGAAAAGTCATATCAGTATAAATAAAATTTATCATTAGTCTTTTATTGTTTAAAAAATTCTTTTTTTTTTTAGCAAACAAAATTTTCTTTTATCTACAACTTTTATATATGTGGTACTATTTAAATAGTATTTTTTTTATATTTATATAATTTTTAATATGACCACCAACAAAACTCTCCATTTAATATTGAAAAAAAATTTTAAATCTCAATGGTCGAGCCAGAATAAATATAGTATTATTTTACGTTATTAAAACATTTTTAAATTTTAAATTTGATTATTTATTTAATTAAAAAAATATTATTTATATAAATTCGTTCGAATTTATAACCTTCAAACGTCGATTTTACTTACTGCTCATTGATCCATGAGTTGGAGAAAAAAAATATTGTATTAGTGGTAAATGCACTCCCGATCCTCAACGGCACGTAATAGAGACAAAGTCAATGGCTGTTTTTCTTTCAAATAGAATGCACTGGACCCCATATCTCCACCTACTCTCTTTCAATCACTAAATTTATACATCTTTTTTTTTAAGCTATTTTTCTTCTACAATCTTTAATTTTATATATATTATATATATTTTTTGATTAAAAAAAGCAACCGCTATTATTAAAATAACAAAAAAAAAAAGTATTAGACTGATGATCTCAAGCAGCAGGAGTCAACAAGCAGTTAAACTCCAAAAAAAAAAAAAAAAAAGTCTTTTACGAGCTCTCCAATTAACCCATGGCCTCATCCCTAGTCTTAGATTGAAAAGAAAATTAGTATGATTTGCTAATAATATTATTTTAATTCATTTGTTAGATTATGCAACAAAGAAATTGTAAAAACTATATTAAAGAAAGAAAATAATGGAACTGAAATTACCCAAATGTTTCAATCTTCAGACCAGTTCTCTCATTTGATGATCTTATTGTTATTTTTTTATTTGTGACAGAAAAGTAGTTGCTTTCTTAAAATAATAGGGAGATAGAAGAAAATTAATATTGTATTGGTCACTAGTCACTACCACGAGAGAAGGACTTCAAAGATAAGACAGACAAAAAATCCAATTAGTTCTGTAATTTTTTTTAAATTAATCTATTCTTAACCTTGTTACGCATCTAAGTATTTTAAAACTTACAAATTTTAAAAATTTAATTAATGTACGTATCTCCTGATTTAATAATCAATAGTGTAAAAAATAATGATTTTCCTCAATTAAAATATTAGAATTTACAATTTTTGACAAATTAAAAATAAAATGCTTTAAAGAATTGAGTCAATTACTTAATATTAAAATTAAAGGAGTTTTTAATTATTTGTACTAATATAAATATCATAATAAGAAAAACATTTGCTTCAAATGAAAGCCATTTTATGCTTTTTTTTTTTTTTTTGTTCATAAGAGCACAAACGTCCATAAAAAAAAATTGATAAAATTAAAATTTACGATCATATATCTTTTTTAAAAACTCTTAACTATTAGGATGAAAGCCATTTTATACTTTAAATTTGAGACTTTCTCTTTCTTCTACGTCTGTACATAAAAAAAATTATTTTTTTAAGTAAATTGAGCATTTAATTTGTTTTTTTAAATTTGTTATTTTGTGTAATGGTTATTGTTTTAGTAAAAATTAATTGGTAGATATTATATATGATAATTCGTATTATGATGTATAAAATAATATATTAGTATAATATTTATATAAAAATTATATGTCATAATTTATGTCGATATTAAAATATAAATTTTTAAATTTTATTAAATATATTTATAATTTTTTTAAAATTTTAAATGATATTATTTTTGTATAATATTATTTTTATATTATATTATTGGTTCGAATTTTAATTTTTCAAATCTAATTAATATAATAGAGTAGTTTTGAGAAAACGAGAAAGAAAAGAGTAATAAAAGACTACTGCGGTGCTGGTGTCTACCTCATTCAACTAAATTATTTCCAAATCCGAGAAAAAGACTACAACTTGCCAATTTATTCCCCTTCAAAGACAAATTTTTATTTGGCCAATGAGAGCGCGACAGCGCATCACTCTTCCATACAAATAATTCAATAAAATAAAATGATTTTTATTTTAAAAATTAAAAGAAATAAAATTTATATATGCATTTAAATAAATATATGAACGGAAAAAAAAAAGACTACTATTACTACCTAAACATGAAATAAATAAATAAATAAGATGTTGATACAAAGATGAAAAAGGATATCCGACAGGGATGACGTCAGATCGAAGGAGAGTCACTTGTATGTGCCCCACATAAGAGGACTCTGTCTTACGTCGTTGACCAACAGATTTATCAAGGACCCCATGCCACGCCAGCTCCCACTGGCCCTACTCCCTAATTCTCACCATCTCCGCCACGTTCGATTGATTTTTAGTGGTTGGCTGGGCTTGGGTTTCAAATTAAAATTTTTTTTTTTATTTTGACTTTGCTTTTTTTCAAAACATTTCTCTTATGGTCTTAAAAATTTAAAACAAAAAACTTTAAAAAAAATGACGTCGTTTTCCTTTTTTATGGAATGGAGGGACCAAATCTAATACTCTAATTCCCAAATATGCACACCTAAGCACATAAAGTAGAACAAAAAAAAAAAAATCAAACATATACCGATTTTGCGTAATTGTTACAAATTAAAAGTATTAAAGCTTTAAAATTTTTTGTAAAATATAAAAATAAATATAATTCGTGAATTCGTAATTTGCTCTATGATAAAAATTATGAAGGTCTTCTTAAAATAATTTTGCATTTAGTAGTAGATTACATAAATCATGATCCGTTTATCTTAAATTTTGAATTTAAGATTTCTAAGACAAATTTTCAATTCTAACTGTTGGAATGTTCAAATTGAGCATTATACAAATTGTTATTTAAATCTTAATCCATAAATCTCATAAATTTCAAATTTTGAATTCAAAATTTAAGAAATTTCCAACTCTAAATCCGAATTAAAGATTATGTTATCTAAACCCAACTACCAAATTATATTACTGCATCTATCGATGACGTGTTAATTAATATATGAGAAAAAATTCACTTTTTTACTTAATTGTAACAAACAATTCGTAAACAAATTTTCATAATAACAACGAATGGATTTCAAAAGTATAAAGTTTCTAAAATCTTCACATTGCCAAACCTTAAAAAGAAAAAAAATTTTAAAAAGAGCATATTTGGTACGTACCATAAATTAAAAGTGTAGAAAGAGAATGTGGGCTTTCACACGTATCACGTGACATAACATGTGCTTTGTCGTTTTGCTCCATAAAATTCTCCAAAATCAACAAACTCTTTGACTTGCAGCTCACTAAACAAATCTAAGAGAGAGAAATCAGATTTTCCCGCCTTCACATGCAAAATTCTTTTCCTTTTTTTTTTTAAATTTTAAATATTATAATGATTTAAAAAATATTATTTGTTTGTTTTTTTAGTAATTAATTAATTGGGTTTTTTTTTTTACGGATTGTGAAAACCTCACAGTGCGAAAAATTAGGACAATAATTAGAAAATAATATATTTTGTTTGTATAAAAATAGGAATTCGTGCCGTTTGACTAAGCGGAAAGAGTCATGCAAAAGACACGAACAACTTTTTTTTCTGTCTCTTGTGGGATCAAAAGAATCAGGGCCGTCCAATTTATATTGATGAAGAGTTTGATATTGTGATTCTTGTTCGGATGACGTGCCGGAATACGATGGCATGATACCCGACTAGGATCCATCAGCGGTAGTCCGCGGTCGTTGCTTTTGGGTTTGGGCCTTATTTCTAGGTCAAACCCTCCCCTTTTTAACTCCAAGGATTCCTGGCCCGTAATTTTATTTTGTTACGAAAATGCCCTTCCTTAATCATACATGCCTATTTCAAGCTTTAAATATGAAAACAAATTTTCATAACGAATGAAAAGGATGTATTGCATTTTAAAAAAAGTAATTTTCATTGATTTATAAACATTTTATTGATAGATGATGAGATAGTTTTTTTCATGTTAAAGCCTAGAGAAATCTTTGAAGAAACTTTTTTTTAAAATCATTATTTTATTTTTTAAAAAAGTATTTCTTTGACTTTAGTCTAAACACGATAAAATAAAATAAAAATATATTTATATGCATTTAATGGTTATTAAAAAGAAGAATCTGACTCGTTGAAATTCTTAAATTTGTCGATGTAAGATATTAAATGATGTTAAATAAAAAAAATCATTAGTTATTTTTTACAAAATTCTTCTTACAAAGATGTTCAAAAATTTTAAATAATCTTATTTTTTTGAAGCGGTTGGTGAATTTATTTAAAACACAACAAAATGTTTAACAGATTGATAAATTCCCACAAAATGAAAAAAAAAAAAAAACCCATACGTTTTTTTTATATAAATTTATTGAAAAAACAAAAAGAGTGCAAAATATGTTCTAAGGCGAATTGTAAAAATTAAATATTAAGGGCTCAAGGGAAAAATAAAAAGATTGCAAATATCAAAGGGCAATACAGTCAATTGACATCCAATTTCATTGAAAAAAAATAAAGGTGTATTCAGCTTGGGCGGTTGGGCCTAACGTTGAAGGAGCCCCATTGCCCTATTTGACCAAACAATCAAACGTACAAAAGCAACCCATAAAAGGACAATCCTTCACTCCAACGTCTCACCTCGGTTTCCCGCATTTGACCCTACCTCTTTCCTTAAAGCCAACCCTGGCCCTTAAGGACACCCTCGTCATTTTAAATTTACCAATTACCCCAAATCCAAACCCCGAGAACCGCCAAAACAAAATAAAATGAAAAAAAGCCTCAACAGTGGACCCCACTTTCCTACCTGGCAAGCCATGTGGACCCTGTATTTTCCCATCTGGCAATCAAATGTGGACCCTCCCTCCCTTCATGCATTTGTAATCGCCACGTGTAACCGTCAGCCTAGAGCCAACAAACAACTACTCAGAATTAAAATGTATAAAAAAAAGAGAAATTTCATACTTCAAATGAAAAAAAAAAAAAACACCAAAGTCCACTCAGCTAATTTAAAAACAAAAAACAAAAAGCAAAAATACAAAAACATTTTTCTCTGTTTTGCTTTCTCTCTTTCTATTTCTCTCTGCAGCAAGGGAAGAGCAGCAGCAAAACAGCAGAAACAGCAGCAGCAGCAGCTCTTTCTTTTTTGTTTTTTGCTTCTTAGAAAATAAAAACATTTGTTCAAAGGGAGGGGAGGGGAGTGAAATGAATCAAATGTGATGGGAAGTGGAGTTTCCACGCTCTGCCCTTGCTTTAACCCGGTGACACACCGGTCGAATCGGCAGCCGGATAATCAAGCGGACCTGATCTTCGCTGCATCAGAGCCGTTGGATGAAACTCTAGGCCACTCCTTTTGTTACGTTCGATCTTCAAATCGTTTCCTCTCTCCGACTCCATCTGATCGCTTCGTTTCTCCTTCGCACTCTCTACGTTTCTCTCCGTCGCACGACCCGAAAACCCGAGTCGGACCCGAAACATTGTTTAAAGCCATATCCGGAGCGTCCGTGAGTGCTAATACGTCCACTCCCAGAACTGTCCTTCAACTTGACAATATTTACGACGACGCCACTGAGAGTACCCTCGGTTACGGCGTTAAGAGCAGTATCGTTAGCGGGAATGGCTTCGAGAGCACGTCGTCGTTTAGTGCCTTGCCACTGCAGCCGGTGCCACGTGGCGGAGCTCATGACCCGGTGGAGCGGGGTGGTTTCTTCATGTCGGGTCCGTTAGAGCGCGGGGCGGTGTCCGGTCCACTGGAGGCCAACGCGGGTCCCGAAGGGAGAGTACATTTCTCGGCACCGTTGGGTGGCATTTATGTGAAAAAGAAGAGGAAGAAGGGCATTTCGGGGATTTTGAGAAATTTATCTGAGAAGAAACGGCCCTGGGTGGTTCCGGTGTTGAATTTCGTCGGGAGAAAGGAGAATTCCGAGGAGACGGAGGCTGCGGCAGCGGTGGAGGGGAAGACCGATGGGGATGTGCAGTGGGCGTTAGGGAAGGCAGGGGAGGACCGAGTCCACGTAGTTGTTTCGGAGGAGCAAGGGTGGTTGTTCGTTGGGATTTACGACGGTTTTAATGGGCCGGATGCACCCGAATTCTTGATGGGTAATCTCTATCGAGCTGTTTTCAATGAACTCCATGGTCTCTTTTGGGAACTTGATGACGAAACTGAAAATGAAGACGACAATGAAAATGAAAATGAAGCTGAAAATAAAACTAACCCATCCAACTTAATAATAGCTACTGGTAGTTTAAATAAAACTGACAGTGAAACTGAGAATCCAATTCCGAAGAATTCTGTTGAGGAGGTTAAGATTGCAGGGGAGATTGAACCGAGTGGAGTGGTACAAGAGAGGACGAGGAGGGTAACATTTGAATTGGAGGGGACTGAGATTAGGAGGAGGAGGTTGTGGGAGTTTCTAGCCGAGGATGACCCCGAAGATGGGTTGGATCTTTCAGGGTCTGATAGGTTTGCGTTTTCAGTGGATGATGCAATTAGTGTAAGTAAAGAGAGGTCCGCTGTAAGTAGGAGGTGGTTGTTATTGTCGAAATTGAAGCAGGGGTTGTCGAAGCATAGAGAGGGATCAGGGAATTTGTTTTTTCCATGGAGGTTTGGGTTGGAAGCGAAGGAGAAGGTTGAGGAGGTAGATAATAGAGTGGAGGAGAGGGTTCAAAAGACTGGGAGGAGAAGGAAAGAAGGTCCAGTTGATCATGAATTGGTTGTGGCAGCGTTGTCGAGGGCTCTGGAAGTGACTGAGCTAGCATATTTGGATGTGACAGATAAGGTGCTTGAAACGAATCCAGAGCTTGCATTGATGGGTTCGTGTTTGTTGGTGGTTTTGATGAGGGATGAGGATGTGTATGTGATGAATGTGGGGGATAGTAGAGCAATTGTTGCACAGTATGAATTAGAGGAAGTTGGTTCCAGTATGGAGGGAAGAAAGCAAGAGGAAAATGGATCAAGCATGGAGGGTATAGTGGAGGAGACATTGACAGTGGGCGAAAAAGCAATTAAGCCAGTGAACGAGACTCCTGCTGAGCCCATGAGACTGACTGCATTGCAGCTGTCAACTGATCATAGCACGAGCATTGAAGAAGTAAGTTCAAACTGTTGAAAATTTGTTTTCAGTTCTTGTTTCCTGCCTTCATCTTTGAGTGCTGAAATCTTTATTATAGCCTTCATTAATATGAATCCAAACGTATGAATTCTACTCAGAAATTGAATTGTATATGTTTGGATTTAATATGACTCAAATTCTGCTTTAAGGCCAATTCCTGTCTTGGATCATTAGGAAAATAGCGGTTTTGAGTCTTTTGACTTCTCTTATTACAACTCCTAGATTGCTAAGTTTTATTTATTTTTTATGGTAAGAGCTTCAGTGAAATGCTAAGTGACTTAACAGGAATGTCTTATGTAGATTGTTTACCTTTGGGCACGCTATGGTTTTCTTGTGAACATACTTTTATCAGGTTTCCGTTGTTTACTGTTTTAGCCAGATAGTTCCCTCTATATCAGTTGTGCCTTACGCCATTTTATATTGCTATTGCTAATACATTTTAAGTTTTTTTTTTGGCCATCACATTTTATGTATTTCAAATTCTACTTTTACCCTCTTGTGATTATGATCGCTAGGAAATGATTGGGTCTAATGTTAAGCAGATGAGGTTCTGGCTCTGGAATGGCCTGTGTGATATCAGTGTGCTTCAAGGATATGTTTAGAGAGGAGTTCTTTTTTATGAATTCTCATGCAGATCATTCACTTTGTAAAACATCTCTTATCTGGTCCTTAAGACAATATCTTACCCATCATCCTTTGTTTTCTGGAAATTGCTCTAGCAATGGGATGGTAGATCTCAATCATGTCTGTTTAAATCTTGTAAAAGTCATTTATACTGCTTTTTAAAACTTTTCTAGTTGCATATTTAAACTGTTTAACATAGTCAAATCTATTGGGTATCAAACAGTTTAGAAAGGGCCTTTAATCTGTTGGAATTTGAAACCTGGTGCTTTTTCTCTGGTGAAGTTTCTAAGAATGATTGACATTTTCATCTAGTGAAGGTTTTGACAATGATTGACATTACCTTGGGTAGACCTGACGATTTGTATATTTGTGTCGTGTAAAATACTAAAATTTGTGTATTTGTGCCATGTTTTACAAGAACATTGCGTGTCATAATTCGTGTTGACACAAAAATATAAAATACAATTTTTTAGTTTTGTTAAACCCATACATGGCTATTATTTCAATTTTAAGCCTTGTCACCTTTATGTCCTATTTTCGTCTTGTATTCGTGTTGTGTCACCGTGTCGTGTTTTAGATTGTCAGGTCTAACCTTGGGCTTTTGGTTAGAAGAACAAAATACAAACTTCTATAATTTATAGGATACCTGATCACAGTTTCAACATGTGGGGTTGTCTAGGAAAAAGGATCCATGATGGGATAGATCTATGTCTTCTAGGATGGAAGGAAACTAGATAAGCATTAAATCTTGGGAACACCCAATGATGTGAATGGCAGTTTTATATATAGGGGAAGTGATTGATATTACTGGCAAAACACTTTATTTTGAAGAAAATTTTATGGCAACATAATGGTGTCAGTCAGTGGCTCTAGCTTTGCTCATATGGAATCACGTAGTGTGGAGGTGTCCATGCTTGTGATGAGTCTGATCTTCAAGAACATTGGGACTGTGTTATAGTGTCCAACAACATGGTGCACGTTTGTGGTTGTACATCAAATTGTTCACTGGGTTAAGACTAGGTATATCTGCAATGTTTTATTTCTTCCTTTTTAACAAAATTAAATCAATTAGGTAAGTTCAGATTGCCATGCTCAGATGTTACCCCTTTATTCTTGTCATGCTGACATGGGTGCTTTGGGGTAAATGGAAGTGTTTGCTTGTTTAGTGGATGATACTAATTCAGACATATAATGGGCTCCTCAGCTCTTGGAAGCTTTAAGAAAAACCTGATTATCTCCCATTCTGTGCTTTATGTTTGGGGTTATTCTGCAGCGATGAAGAATTCTGGTCTTTTTGTACTTTTTAAATAGAACAGCTTTGGTCCTAATATTGTCTGTAGTCATTAGTGAAGAATATTGGGATAACGGAGAATGCACTAGCTTGCCAGCAGTAAATGGTGCTTTTAGATTGACAGAAGTAGCAAGATTCCTGGGTGTGATCTTGTCCAACCTAAATGGTGTTCACAAGATCATAATTTCATGGACTGCCAGGGACAATGATTTGGCTCTTGTATATATCTCCTTCCGTACTCTTTCTTAAATTTGGATCCTTTACACACTTCATATTAATTTTAGTTAGTTCGGGTGGAAGAGGGCCTTCTCTTTGTATCAAACACATCTAATTTGTTGATATTGCCTTGCATGTCCTCATCTGATGATGAATGATAATATTGCCTAATCAGTCAGCAAAAGCACTTCAAATTGCAGTTTTTTTGGTGATTACTGTTTCAGACATAGAAGAAAGATTATCTATTGAAACTATATATAGTTCTTTTAATTTATATGTTGTATTTACTGAATTTGACTGTTTGATTTGTGCAGGAAGTGATAAGAATCAAGAATGAGCATCCAGATGACAGCCAGTGCATTGTCAATGGCAGAGTGAAAGGTCGACTTAAAGTAACTAGAGCATTTGGTGCAGGATTTCTGAAAAAGGTTCCTTCACATGCTTTTTCACTATTGAAGTCTTAAATCTTATCCATGATGGATAGTGGTTAATTCACACATGTCATTTTATGTTGAAATATATAAGGAATATAACCCGCTTATGCAATAACATGATCTCCATTTTTCAGCCCAAGTTGAATGATGCATTATTGGAGATGTTTCGAAATGAGTACATTGGTACTGCACCATATATATCCTGCTCACCTTCTCTTTGTCACCATAGACTTTGCCCAAGGGACCAATTTTTAATCCTCTCATCTGATGGATTATATCAGTATCTGAGCAATCAGGAAGTGGTTTCTCTTGTTGAGAGTTTCATGGAGAAGTTTCCAGATGGAGACCCTGCACAACACCTGATAGAGGAGGTTCTTATGCGTGCAGCCAAGAAAGCTGGTAAATATTCTTTCTATAATTTGCTTCTTATACCTACTCCCCGTCCCATTGTCTATAAGGTGAAGAAGTAATTCTTAGATTGAGTGGAAAATGATTGACAAAGTTGGTGGATTGCGGTAGGGGGATGAATTTTCACTTAGATGGGAACCAAACTAGTCTTTGGTTTCAGCTGTTAATGTGGTTAATTGTGGCTTTTGCTCAAGTAGTAAAGCTTTTTTACTCTTAATTTCCTTCTTTGTTTAGGAAATTATTTATATGAATTGTTTAGCACTACATTTTGGTGTTTGGAATTACCAGGTTAACATAATCTTCAATAGCATATTATTCTTTTCATCCACTCTGTTCTACTATTGGATTGTACTATTTTTTTCAGACTATCTATATTCTTGTTTTGAAGTTTCGAAATCCCAACTTCAAGCTTTTCACTAGTATACTAGGCTGAAAAGCAGGCTTTATAACCTGGGTTAAACTTTTAGTTGGCTAAGAAAAAATTGAAGGTTCTAAGCTGTTAAGATGAAGCTAGCTGTATGCTTAAGAGATTTTGTAACTTAATGAATCATGAACACCTTTTCTTCTTTTTTACAAATGACGTTTAACTGATTTTTTTTTTTACAGGCATGGATTTCCATGACTTACTGGATATCCCACAAGGAGATCGAAGAAAGTACCACGATGATGTTACTGTCATGGTGATATCACTGGAGGGAAGAATTTGGAAGTCATCCGGAAAGTACCTATGAAAACTCTCCACATGCGGCTCAAAACAAACGAAGTTCTATGTACAAGTTACTCAGAACTCAAAAGTTCTTTGCAAGCACTTGTCAAATGTGGGTGCTGGTCCATTCTTCGTGGGTCTCTTCAAATGGGGTGTTTTTTTGGGTCTTACACCATTAGCTTACAGTTGATAGCAGGAAGTCCAGATGATACTAGCAAATACTAATGTTAGGTAGTCATCAGGAGCTGATTAGATGCCTGAAATTTTGTTTCAGGATAAAAGAAAAGGAAGGGAAAAAAATTTCTGCATATGGAACATCCAGGAAATGCTCTTTAGGGACAGAAAAGAAAGAGATAATCTTTTTGTTTCTCATTTTCTTTATTTTTCCTTTAAAGACTTTTGCTTTCTTGGAGGATTTTGCATAGGCGGGAGGCTCATTCAATTCTAGATGCCTTCCTTCTTTTTTTTTTTGTTGCTTCTTTTTAGAGCCAAAAAGACAGTGAAAATAGTGTAATTTGGTGGGGGATACAAATGTTAGAAATAGTTACTGAACCTGAGCATTTCCTCGCCCAAAGTGAGCATCTGTAATTTTGAAGGTGGGTTTCCGCCAATGCGGTTCACAGTAGGAATTTGTTCCAATTGTTCCAGCTTTTGAGCCCATTATCTCATCTACATGGTGAGTACAAACCATATATCGATATCAACAAAGATCAATGTTACAATCAGGCTTAATTTCTGGAATTCCTTTCAATTCAAAGCAGAACAAAACACAACTGGTATTGTTGATAATCAGCTATATGTTATAAACTGATGTAACAATCTAAAATTACTAGGGCATTTCGCAGAGAGACATGCTTCTAAACTGTAACGGTGGGTGATGAAATCCTCGATTGCAACCATAGCACTATATCCTCCCTTGTTGCCACAAAACAACCAGATTTCTCTTCACTCAGCTTGAATGGTGCTGCAAGTTTCTTCAAATGAGAAGCGAAGGCATTGGACAGTCCTTGAGAGAATTTATGAGTTCCAACACCAGTTTGAGCTGAAAATAGCTCTGGCAATGCTTCTTCACGCTTAACAATTTTGGCCAAGGTCCCCATCCACTCTTCAAGAGCAGTCTGTGCTGCGCCAACAGAGAGTGACCGAACATCCAGACTCCACTCATCCATGGTTTTATTGTGTAAACCTGGGTACAATCCGTATAGGGTTCCCAGATAAAGCAGATCATGTGCTCTCTCATGGAGACTCTTGCTTCTACATATATCAATCAAGCAATTACAGAATGGTCTTCTGGCATCATCTTTAGTGTCACTGATGATTCTCTTGAAGTTTTCTTTGACAGTGTCAAGACTACTTTTCTCATCTTCAATCAATTTCACGAATACAGCTAACCGACGATTAGCTTGCTGCAGGCAAGTGAGAACTTTATCCATATCCTCCCCGCTCTCACACAGTGACACAACAGACAACAGGCACCCACAGAGCCTATCATCTGGTTTAATTCCCTGTTCAAGTGAGACAGAAAATACCCTCACCAACTCATCTATCTTTCTGGCCTTCCCCAAGCACTGAATCAAACATGTGCTTCCCATTACATTGAGCTCAACACCCACCTCAGACATCTCCTCAAACAACTCCATCGCCTTACCAACATTCCCCCCACTTCCATATATATTCAGCATTGCTGTGTAGCTCCAACTATCTGGCCTAAAATGCTCTGATTGCTTCATATCCGCAAAAAGCTGCTCTGCCTCCTCAACTAAACCAATGTCTGCGCACATAGCCAACAAAGTATTATACAAAAAGAAATCCATTGGCCACTTTTTCGACTTCATTTCCTCCCATAATTCCAATGCATCTTTTGCCCACCTTGCTTTTCCATATATCTTGGCAAGGGCAGTTAAAGTCTTCTCATTTGGAGTTAAACCAGAATCAAGCAATTCCTGAAAAAGGCTTCTTGCTAACCCAGGCTTCCCTGCCTTGCCCATAGCCTTTAACAATGTATTGTAAACAACCAAATTAGGCTGCACACCAAGAGATTTCATTTCTTGCAAAACATACCTAATACCATCATAGTCTCCATTCTCACCAAACATCTTTGCCAATACAGAGAATGCAATAGGGTCAGGTTTCCAACCACTAGCTACCCCTCTCTCATACAAACTAAGTACTTCCTCAACCTTACCTAATTTCGCATAAACATCTAAAATAGCTGAATAAGTGACTTCATCAGGCATCAAACCAGTTTTATACAGCCTCTCAAACCACTCTACAGCCTTATCAAAAAGATTGCATCTTTTGGCACAGGTAATAATAGTTGAATATGTAATGTTATCAAGTGGAATCCCATTGCTTACCATTTCATTAGCAAGTTCCTCAATGAGCTCAAACTGCCTCCCAAACCTCAAAGACTTCATTGTGACATTGTAGAATATAGTTTCCAGAGGAAACAAATTCTTGGTCTTCATCCAATTGAAGAAAAGGTGAGCCTTTTGCCATGGTTTCAAGCTGTTGAGTATCAAAAGCGCATTTTCTCTAGTGGGTTGCTGTGGGATTTCTTCAAGAACACTTAGGAAAGCATCTTCACTATTTTCACAATCATTCAGCTTCTGAGCAAAGAGTTTTAGCTCTCTAACTTTTGGATTGTATACATAAGGAGAACGCGTTTGCCTATGCAGTGAAAGCACAGATCTTTTAGGTTTGGTAGGATTGACCCAAGTCGACTTTGGCTTTGACAAGAGACGAGCTTGGTCTTTTTTGGGAAGTGTGGTTGCGTAAACAGGCTGGAGTTGCTCAGATAAAGATGGGTTTTTTTTGGGTGATTCTGGTGGGTTTTGGGGAGATTTTGAAGAAGAATTGGGGGTGCTACAAGAAATGGTGAATTTTCGCCTGGGGTTTTGCTTTACTGTTTTGGTGAAGAAAATGGGTCTTTTTGCATCAGATTGATTGATATCAAAATGGAGATCTAGAGCAGTGGAGAGAGTAGCAGCCATTATGGAATGTTTTGAGAGAAGAAATGAAAAAAAATCTGGTCTGCTCGTCTGCCTGTGTTATTTGGGAGTGGATATTTTGGTTACCTTATCTGAATTTGAAGAGTATAAAGGGTCTCGATTCCCACATACGCTAATGCTGAATTTTGACTAGGGAGAGAAATTCTCAAACTGAGAAGAAAATAAGCTAAATTCAACTTTTGATTAGGAAGAGAAATTACTCATATATGCTGAATTGCTGACTGCTATGGAGGAAATATGTGATAATAATGCTTAGATAAAAAAAAAAAGGTAATTAAAAAAATAGAAGGGAAAAAATTGGGTTACAGATCCACTTTAAAGGTGGGTAGCCTTAACCGGATGTGTTAACAGGAAAGCCCGAAGGCCGTTCCCGTCCCTGTCAGGGGAGATGCCAACCATCTCTCCTTTCTACGAACACAAGCGATTGTTTGTTAACATTTTATTATATACTACAAACTCTCTTGCTTTAGTTCTCCATGTGGGATTCCATTTCCATTTTGGTTGGAGAGCTCCTTAAGATCAGAGTGCGAACCATGAACCATACACAAAAAATATATAAAAATTTTTCTCAACAACATAACCAATTAAGCAATAACTTTTTATTTGATAGTAGAGCTAAAATCCTCTCTATTCCAAACAAGAACAAAATTTGCTTGAATGGAGGGACGATTATTTGAAAAATTGATAGTTACTCATAATTAGACACATAAACCATCAGTTATCGATGACTATGAAGGGCCTTTTCTTGTGGATTCAAGCAATTCTTTCACATGATCTTTTACTTGCTTCTGGACAAAAGAATACGGTAGCCTGTCAATAACCTCAGCCCCAAATGAAACAACGAGTGCCTTTCTAGCAGTTTCCAAGTCAATCCCACGTGCTTGAAAGTAGAAAAGTTGGCTGTCTTCCAGGTCACTTATTGCAGCTCCATGAGAGCACTTTACATCATCAGCCATGATTTGGAGATTGGGTTTGACATTTACAGTCGCTCGAGGCTCAAGAAGAAGGCTCCTTGTTAGTTGCCCTGCATCTGTCTGTTGTGCATATCTGCAGAAGATAACAAGTAAATGAGATCAAAGAAATATAAATACCCACCTTCTTTTAGTAAATAGCAACTCTATTGTTTCAGGCACTATCCAGAGTAAAACAATTGGCAACAACCAAGTAAAAGCAAATGGATTTCTTAGCTTTTTCATCAGCCTAAAATTGGTAACTTATGGCATATCTATTAGCATAACTATAACAAGTGAACCCTTCCCAAAAAACTCACTCTATGGAGATTTGGAGATCATTAATGGATAATAGTTCCTCATATATGCATGTATTCTAAGCAACAATGAGAAGTATAAATAATGAAGCACAACAGAATTACCTGTTGACCTTTACATTTCCATCAAAAACTGCTTGCCCAGATGAATGAGCCACGATACATTTGTGCAGTTGTTGAGAATAACCTCTCGGATGGTCCAAAACTATTCTACTGTGTAGATCTTGGGTTTGATCACCAACACACAAATGAAATGTTGTTAACTCAGTTACTGTATCAGAGCCCAATTGCTGGACATGGACATTATGCCTGCTCAATTTTCCACCAGTGCTTACCTCAACAAGCTCATAGGTACTAGTTGATTCCTACACACCGGCAGTAAGTTTATCAATATACCGTTGACAGGTAAGTTGCAAACATATATTTAAATTCAATTTACATAACAGCAAAAGAGGCTTTAGGAACTGATATATGGGTGGCAGACTTGTTGCACATTATGTTAAGGAATCAATTGTGAACGGCAATTGAGATGGGATATAGGGCCACAAGTACTTGGCTATGAGGTTTACAACAAGGAAAAATACGATCCAAATGACCTTTCCAAGGATTTGATCAGTCTTCTCTCTGTCTATTTCCAAAATTAGCCCCTCTTTCTTTATCTATCTCCCTCTCCATTTATACGTTAGGCATTGAGTGTTTATAACAAATTTGCAAAGTTTATTCATCTTTACATGTGATATTTAAATCAGTTTTTTATTTATTCAAAGGATGAGTTGTATCATTATTTGATCCAAGCAAGTAACTCTGTCTGATAAAAGATACCAATACACACCATATGATACAAATTTATGGAGGGTTGAAGAGGTGAACACCATGACCTCAATTTTAATCTCCACCCAACTACCCATCCTCCATCCCCCTAAGCCAAGTTCACCCTTTTGAAGACATAAATTTCCTTTTAAACTCCAGATAGACAAAGGAAACAAAGTTAGAATCTTCAGGAAGCCCCTAAACTGAAAAAGGAAATTAACTGGATGTTTAGTCATTATTCAAGAGATTAGACTTGAGTTTCAACAGTGGTGTTCTACTGCATTACCACCTTTTTTTGTTATTCTCTTAAACAAAATTTCAACCATATGCCTAAATAGTAATTCCTGCATAAAGATCAACTGACCACTATACAAGCATATATAAAGCTATTCACTGAACTAACAAGTTACACACCAACTTCACAATAAAACAACAAATCAATTTAAGGAGCAATAACACGAAATTTACCTGCCGGACTGAAGTCCACTTGATATGAGCGGCACTCAAAGATTGTTTTTGCACATAAGAATGCCTAACCTTTCCTCCTTCTCTAATCACCATCTCCAAGACTGAATTAGTCCAATAACACTCACTTCCTTCTTTACCAGCAAACTCCTCAACTATCCCCACTTCCCCTCCTTTCTCAACCAACACAAACACTCTCGGATTGGAAAGTGGCATCTTTTTGGACCCCTCATCACCTCCCTCAACTGAAGTGTACTTCAAATAAATAGGATTCTCAACTCTGCACCCCTCGGGCACATAAACAACCATCAAATCAGGAGCCCCCAATCCATTAACAGACCAAAACAAATCACCCCATTCAAAATCACCTAAAAATTCACACACCCTGTTAAGAATTCCCTCTGAAGATAACTTTAACAAGCTACCTACATAAACCCCGTCAGGCAACTTTGATGAATCAAATGAAGAATCCACAAGAAACCCATCAACAAAATCAAAACTTTTAAACTGGGTATCTCTCGAAACATCCAAAAAAGTTAGGGATTTTGGTGGGTGTGAAATTGGCTTTTTATCTGAATTCTTGATAAAAGACGTATCTGTGAAACGAAAAGACTCTTCTTTTCGGGAGGGCCATTCGGTTGAAAGAAGGGTTACCGACGAATTGTCTCTAAGCTTTTGAAGAGGCAAAGAAGAAGGAGAAGAAGGGAGAGAGTCTTCTAATGCGTCAGCTAATTGGAGAACATACTGGTCAGTAAAAGAAGCTTGTGGTACAGCCGTAATTGTTTGGATAGAGAGTTTGGTTTTGGTTCTTTTGGGTTTGAGTTTTGGTTTTGGAGGCGTCAATATCGGAGTAAATTGAAGAAGATTTTGGTGAGTGAATGCTAAGGCAGCCATTGATGAGCGGCTGAGACCTGTGGCTTTTTGGACCAGAAAATTTGTATATTTTAAGTTAGACCGACAGAAAATAAAAAAATTGTAGTTTCGCCCCCCTTTTCTAATAAAATTGCACAAGGTGCACAATTTGTTTCAGTGAAATTGCAATTTACTGGAGTTTCTCAACGTTGAACTCCTTAATAAAAATCTTTTTAAATTTGATTAAAAAAAAGAAATCGAAGCAGTGCAAAGGCAAAACCAAGAAAATTGAGTCCTAATAGAATGTAAATTACTATACGAAGGAAGGTTCAATGATGATGAAAATTTAAGAAAGACACATGGATTTGAATTTTAATTTTATTATCTCTTTTTTTTTTTTTTGTGAAGATTTCGGTTTTTTATAAACAAAAAATATTATTCTATGGAGGTATTTTTAGGTACTTCACTTAAATTTAAAAAGCAAATAACATTCTTACTATTTTCTCTTATATTGTTTAACAAAAACTAAGTTAGATTTTTAAAATTATTAATCAAGCATGGATCTTAATTCAAAAACATTAAACTTTTTTTTTTATTTTTTTCAATATTCATGCATATTATATATAGAATGCAAATTAAAATTTAAAGTTTAACTTAAATAACTTACTCAAGAGAGGAATTCCTGGCAAAGTAAAGATTTTTGGCTTCGATTTTTTTGTACAAATATATACATAATATAATTAAATAAATTATTTTGTTTTCTATGCATAGCAACTTATATATTCTCCTGCTAACTTTTTTCTATTTTTATCAGTTGGTCATCTGCTAATTTCAATGATACAAGCCTCATAAGTTGAGAGTTGAGATCAATGATTCATATTTATTTTTTCAGAAATTAAAGAAGTTTACTTCTTTGTGCATTAACTAAAAAATGATACTTAATTGGGTTATCTATCAAGAACAATATGAAATGAGATACCTTACCTAAAAGTTGAATCCATAAAATTTGGCACCAGAAAACACGAGGCAGAAACTCGTTAATATCATGATGATTAGATTTTAGCAATAAACAAAGGGAAAAATGGTAGAACAATTCATATTTCAAATCAAAATCCTTCCACTTGAGTAAAGTATATCATCTTGTCTGCTTTAGCCCTTTCCTATGGTACTCTATATTTGACCAAAACAAACTTTGTCTGCAATATGATTTGTTGACTAAGAAACAAGAAACACTAAATCCAAAACCAAATCTTCTTACATTCTAACTCCTAATAGTTGATTTAATGGTCAAGATTTGGCGATTTGGCTGACAGTTAAATTACTGCTTTCATGTTGCAACATGTCTGGTACATGAATCCTCAGTGTGTGTCTGTGTTTTTTTCACAGTTCATAGTCAAAGATAAATCTCTAAAATACAAATGATGATTAAAGGATACATTATTGATAATTGTGAGAGATTATGATTTGAGTTGAAAGGGTTTCAAAAGTTGACTCGTTTGTCTTATTTGCCAAAATGGGGAATAGGGTTTGGAGGCTGCCCTTTCTATTTGTTTTTCCAAATGATGAATTTATTACAAGACCCCAAGTACTTTGATACATGCAGCCAAACGGATTCCACATCACTTTACCTTGGCTCTCACTCAATGAGTCCATAATTGGGTTGGTGCAGTGTTACTATATGATGCTTTTTCTTTTTTCCTTTCCATGGCTGAGATTTCCCACAATCTCATCCCACTTCCATGGGAAAGAAATTAGTCACATCTCCTTTTCATGATGCAAGCTTGGTGGCTCATTTATTCATTATAATCTTAAACAAAATCCATCCATTTAATAAGACTTAATCAGACCGAAAACATTACTGATTTGAAAGTTCTTAGTTTGGTGAGCATTAAAAACTCAATGCCAACTCAAATCTCGATTTGTTATACATCATTTGCACGTCATTTCATGTTTTAATGATATTGAATCATCAAATCAAATTCAATACTAAAAATCTGTCATATAAACGTGAATTTCACATCCCAATATTGGGAACTATCGCCATATATTAATGGCTGGCGTGATGACTACAACAGGAAATGAACACAACACGACATGGTTGGGATCTTGTTTTCATTAAGCAAAGTCGTCCAAACTCATTTGCTTTGGGGAACAATATCGGGGAGGATATTGCCACATCTTTGACTACTCTCTTTCAATCTTTTCTTTCCGTTGCTCAAAGACGAAGGCAGTGGCAGCTCATGTTAATAAATGAAGCGTTGATTTTTGAGAGAAGGGGCTAGCAAATTGGACAAACAAAGGGGCCGAAAGCAGAAGATAAACAACGACAAAGGGCAAGTCTTCTCACTTTCCAAATTCCCAAGAAAAGAACCCATTATTTCTCTCCCTTATTATTTCTTCCAATTTTCATTCAGTTGTCATTCACTAACAACACGACCATGACCATCTCTTTTTGTTTTTCTTTTCTTTGGTTAATTCATTTCACACTAGACCTTGTTCCATTGTTGTAAACCACCTCAGCAATTAGACTTCAATAGTAACTTCTTTTCTTTTGCGTCAATTTAGCTTTATAGTTAATTTATGGCCACAAATTTTGCAATGAATTCTTGGGTTTTTTTCCTTTTCTTCTCTTGAATTTAAAAAAATCTTAATATTAATTTTTTTTATATCTATACACAGGCACCTACTCCAGCAGCTTAAAAAACACAAGTTCTTCTATTATAATTTCTTAAGTCTTTATTAAGGAGATAGTTTAGAGCAAAATTATTTTAAATTTTGAATAAATAAGACAAGGTGATGAAAAGAAAGCAAGCTCTTGTGAACTTAACAAGAAGAAAAGCCCTTAACTATATTATTTTGGAAATTATAAGAAAAAGAAGAAAAGTGTGGTTTAACCTTTTTTGGGGGGAGGCATGAATTGTGAGTGCACTTACAAATCAAAACTCAAAACAGGAAAAGACTCTTTCCCTCCATCTTTGTTTTCTAGGCTCTCTCCCTTCCTTTTCAAACACTCAGAGATTTACTTTTCCTTTTTTTTTTTTAATTTTATCAACATTTTCCTTATTATCTCGGTACATATATCAATTATGAACATTTGATTTAGTAATTGAAAAATTATGGGTTGATTCTTTTTCACCTTTTTTTTTTTTTAACTTTTCAAAAATTAATAATGTGACGATGTAATTGTGGATTTATACAAAGATTATATTCTTGAAATTTTGAAGCATTTATCATTTATTGGACTGCATATATATATATATATATATATATATATATATATAAAACCTTGATTTGGTCTTATAAGATAAATGGTGCTATAAATTAGGAACATTGAATCTTTAATTGTAATAATAATAAATGATGATCAGTTGACGAAGTGAATTGTGAATATTCTTAACTTACAACTCTACTCTTTGGGGTGGGCTGTTTTGGTTTTGCTCATCATTGCGAGTAACAAAGTAACCTTTTATTGCCTGCACCAAACTGTAAAGTGAAAGATTAACCTAATTCTTTGTCTTTTCCTTCTAAAATTACATACTTATTCTTTTGAACCAAAGAAAAAAACAAAGTACTTAAGTTCAAGTTTACAACAGACAAATTGTTCAATCATCAGTAAAAGTGAAACAGAAATTTCAAGAAATATTTTGAATCCAATATCATGAGACAAAGTTTGATTAACAGGTAAAGACCTTTTTTAGGCTGAAAATGTGTCATCTAGATAGAAAATTCCACTAGCTTCAATTGCTTGCTAATATATTTTCTTTAACGGTAGGGTTTTAAATCTAAGCCCAAATATTATTAATAAGTTAAGCTCATTAGTGCTTTGTTCAGATCTAATGACCATGAAAAAAAAATTAAATCTAAACAAAGTTTGGAATATCTTAATCGTATTTTTTAAAAAATCAATTCGACTCAATTGTAAAAATGGTAAGTAATAACATATTAATCCTTAAAATCTCTTATATATATAATTAATCCCTTTAAATCTTATTTGTTAGTAATTGTAAGAATTCCCCATATTTTCTTTCCCAATTAATCCCTTTTTTTTCCCCATAAAATCAATAAACACTCCTTCAAGTAAAAAAAAAAAAAAGAACTCAGCTTTGTTTCTTTTCACCCTTTTCCCTCAATGTGAAAATCTAGAAGTCCCACTAAGCAGTTCCCATATTAAACAATACATACTCTCAAAATCTAGAGAAGATATACTTAACCATACAACTACTTGAGCCTTAAAGCAAGGCTTTAATATCTCTTTTTCCCTTATATTAATGTGGAACCAATGAGTTTCATCAACCACTTGCTTAGTTTCTTTGCTAAACATTGAATTTATTGAGTTATTAATTTAATGGTATTAACACCAATTTTAAGAATTTCAATAAAAAAAGGAATTTGTCGGTTGTCCCCACTAAAATGGGAATTTTAAGTTAGTGCTTTACTGCTATTTACAAATTACAATTCTATGGGTAATCAAAAGAGAGCTGCGCTTCCACTAAGGTGTGTTTGGACATTCCAAAAAGTTAGAGAAACTTGGTAAGCACTTTTGGGAGTGTTGTTTTTCAGAAGTGGGCCAGGTGAAAATGTCTACATGACATAATCAACCACATAAAAGAAAGGAAAAGTGTTTTGTCTGACTCAAGATGACATGGAAGAAGCTTAGGCCAGTAGGACATGGCCATGAAAACCCAAATTCCCCAATCAAAGCCTTCTTTCCTTTGACTACTCTGCCATGGGGATTCTCCAATTATTTCTTCAATTCTTATGGCGGCATTCCTTCGCTAAGCACTTATATCATGCATCCATTAAACATAAATTTAGGGTCTTGTGACGCGTGGTGGAAGCGATTCCTATCTTTGAATTTTATATAATTCAATTTATAAAATTCAACAATCAAATGATACTCATAAAGTGATAAAAATCTATATTACTACGTATTCAAATGAAGTATCAATCGTTGAAATTTTTTTTGATTCTTAAACCTTTAAAATTTTGCAATTTTGAATTTTATGCTTCAATGGCATGATTTGATATCTTTCTTATTGTGCCCCAGAATTAAATCATTGTAAAAAAAAGTTTGATTATAGATAGGGTTTGTTTTAAAAGGTTAAAATGCAATTTGATTTACAATCAAATTAAAAAAATTTGATCATTTAAAAACGTTTTTATAAAAAATAAAATTATAATCAATCGTATTCATTTCATATTCGCGTGTTTCGTACGTTATTACAAACGTTACCTCAAAGCCTATTATCTCCAGGCAATTTTCTCATTTTACTCACAAAAGATGAAAAAAAAAAAAAAAGCGCAAAAATTATGCACCGTTCTTAAATTATTTTGGCGGGAAGTAACTGGTTAGGTGTGAACTAAGTTCATTATAGGTGGGGGCCATGGGGCCAAGCTTGTGGAATTTCGCGGTAAGCTTCAGACAAGCAATCTCTGCACTTTCGGTGTTTTTTTTGGACTGGTGCCGTCTCTAAGCACTATATATTAGACATCCCCCATACCTCCATTTTTACTCTACTCAAATTCTCTTCTTCCCAGCTTACTTCTCTTGTCAACTTTATCATAATTCATACTAAAATATAACTTTGGCTTTTAGGGGTACAATTCCAGGCTCTATTCCCATTCAAAATTTCCAATTTAACCAGAGTTTTTGAATGGTTAGGTTCCAATTTTGGAAGTTCTAATTAGTTTTTTTTTTTTGGTTGAATTAACAAGCTAAGTGCAGAGTTGAATCTGTTTTGGTTTCTGGGTATTGGTTGTAATCTAAGTTCTTGTTCAATCTAACTTTATTTTGGGATAAAATTTTTTGAGGGGGTGGGTAGGGGTGTACTAGTTTCACTGGAGAAGAACACATTTCAAAGACAATGATTCTGCCATTCACCGGGTGCATTCTGTGGAAATTGTACTCGGTTCTTGACAAAAAATCTAGTGTTGATAAAAGCTTTTACTTTTGGATTTTCCAGATTTTTAATAGATACAGCCTTGGCACTTAGCAGCAAAGTTCTTAACTTTCTTGACTCTGCTTCTGTTCTGCTCTAATTCTGTTTTCTGTTCTGTTTCCCTTCTTTTTTTGCCAATCTGTTCTTTCATTTCCTTAAAATTTCTAAACTATCGTACAAGAGAAGAGTTAAGCAAATTAGGGACTGAGAAAATGGGAGGGGCATCGCTGCCACCAGGTTTTCGGTTCCATCCGACTGATGAGGAATTGGTAGGATATTACCTGACAAGAAAAACTGAAGGACTTGAAATTGAGCTTGAAGTGATTCCTGTGATCGATTTGTACAAGTTTGATCCTTGGGAGTTGCCAGGTACTCCTCTGCGCATTTTTTTATTTAACGTTCAGAGTAGATAGGATTGGTATGATTTCAGGTGATAGAAGGAAGTTTCAGGTTCAGGTTAATGTGAACATGAATTGCTTTTAGATTTGGAAAAGCACTTTTTTGTTTGTTTTGTGTAGTTTGGTGTTTTTTTTTTTTTTTTTGCAGTTCTTTATTCCCATGGGACCTGTAACTTTTTTTTTCTTCTTAACTAAAGGCCCGTTCAATCGGATTTCCTTTTTGTTTACAATGAAAACATGCAAATAAAAGCACTAACTAGATCAGATGCATTGCCTAATTGGTCCTGTCATTTTAATTGCTTTGATCGAGAATTTAAAAATGAAAAAAAAAAATCCGAATTGCTTTGCAGAGAAGTCGTTCCTTCCAAAGCGAGATTTGGAATGGTTCTTTTTCTGTCCCAGGGATCGAAAGTACCCTAATGGCTCGAGAACAAACCGAGCCACCAAGGCTGGCTATTGGAAAGCTACAGGAAAAGACAGGAAAGTAGTGTGTCAATCTGCTGTGACTGGCTACCGTAAGACCCTAGTTTTCTACCGGGGACGTGCGCCTTTAGGAGATCGAACTGATTGGGTTATGCATGAGTATCGGCTCTCTGATGAGCCTTCTCAAGGATCAACTAATCAGGTGAATATATAATCCTTTGTCTTTGCATTTTGATTCGTCAAAACAATTATGTAACCAATTATTTTTTATACTCTTCAGGGTGCTTTTGCCTTGTGCCGTGTTGTGAAAAGGAACGAACAGAAGGCGAGTGATGAGCATGGAGAACCAAAAGCCAAGAGGGCTGGAAGCAGTTCAACCAATGTGGAACTTCCCTCAACAAGGATCTGCAACGAGCCTTTGAGTACTTCCGGTGACATTTCGTGTCAAACAAGTTACCCTAACAACGAGAGTCGTTATTCAAGTCCTATTACTTCTCCTTATCCTTACGAAGTCACACAAGTGCAACCACCTGTTTCTCTGGGTTCCGATCCTGCCAGCTTTTGGGTCTCACCTGATCTAATTGTTGATTCTTCAAAGGTAAGCTCGTTCTGAAGAAAGAAAATAACTTGCAGATTCAGTTATTAGGGTTTCTTTAGGTTTCTCTGACAATTCCCCATTGGCTTATGGCAGGATTATCCACAAATTTGTGAAACAGCTGCTCAATACTTTCCACAGTATGAGTTTCCAAGCTCACTGACCATGTGGCAGCAATATGAACAGACTGATTTCTCCCCTAGTTCATCGTACTCAAATTTTGGGGAACTTGAACATGTAGATGATCTCAGTCGCTTTGGCTGCTTGTCACCTTACTCAGGCCATGCTGATTACATGGACTTCTATGGCAATGAAGGCTATGACCAGACTGGTTCATTTAACTATCTGAACCCTTTCTGAAAAAGGAAGGAAAGATGATGGTAGCTCTTCTTTTCTAATGAAGGGCATGAAACTTTGGGCCAAGCTCCAATTTGCAGGCAAGGTAGTGGAGGTAGGAATTTGGGGGAATGTGATGATGGTCTTTGGTTGCAAGCATAAAAATTTGGTGATTGTGATGTAGGGGGTCCTTATCCGTATGACCGATGTATGACAGTACCTAGTTTGTCTTATCTAGAAGAGGTCTCTAAGACAACGCCTTTTTATGTTGGTTCTTGGAGTAATAAATAAGAAGCACAACCCCTTCACTGCTATGAGGTTCCATTAAGGTTGCTGTGTCTTAGTTATGTTTGTAAGGAAGGCTGCAATGGCTGCAGCTAAGTATCTGTTTTAATCAGTTTCTAGTTTATGTTTTTTGATACAAAAATGATCCCCTGATGGTAATCACTTTTAACAGTTGCACGTGGAGTTGGTTTAATGGCAACTGAACTATTTTTCCTACATGGTTTTATGAAATAAAATAAACTTATGTATATTCTAATTTCCAGGTGCTGAAATTGCATGTTTGCTGATAACATTTATGGGAATGCCTGCACTTATGAATCTTCTACAAATGCTAAATGAACACTTTAAACAAAAAAATCAAGTGAAGGGCAAATTATTCGGCATATCGGTCAATGTTTGAACTGGGAAGATTTTACTTCTTTTTTCAACTTTAATCATCAAGCAGAGTTGTCAACTTCACTCTCTCGCTGTCAAATCATTTGTAGAGGTGTAAGTGAATAAGCTTTGAATGAATTCTTTGTTGACATAAGTATATCGGATCATTTATATTCATTTATTAAATTTAATAGATAATTTTAAATATTATTTGTACATTTATTTATTAAATAAATTAAATATAAATAATTATTTATTTATTTATTTATATTTACGAATAAATTTATTTACGAATCATTTAAAATTTATTCATTTATTATTCGTATACTATTAGTTTATAATAATATTAATAAAATTATATTTTTAATTTTTATAATAATTTTATTTTGAGATTCGTTTATGATTTTTTAATTTCATTTATATTCATTTAAAATTTATTTATTTAAATTTATTTGATTATAATTTATTTATTGTTAATGAATGTATTTATTTATATATATTCGTGAACATATTCGTTTAATGTTTACGATTATGTTTACAAATAAATTTATTTAACTTAATTGAATAAATATAAATCGAATATAAATAGCTTATAATTTTTTTAACAAACATAAATCAAATAAATATTTTTAAAAATTATGAATAAATATAAATATATATTTATTGGTTCATATTCAATTTATTTACAATTAACTTTTAAAAAATACAAAATTTGTCAAAGATTTAAAGTTCGGAGTGCACTTTAGTCAAATGTCCCAAGCCATTTCTATCAAGAGGCTAACAGTCCTTTCAACTTTTGGTAGGCATTCTATCAATTCAGTGGGGTACTTGATCTGGACTGAGTTTGCTAACAGTTCAATTGCATTAATCACATTTTGGAGGCTTAGGCGATATGATTTTTCAGTATGCTCTGAACATTTATTTGTCAGGGTTGGCTTGGCAGATTCTGAAAGAAAGTCAAGAAATCACTATGGACTAGTTTATAGCCTCGTTTATACAATGATTATCTTCCAATTTGGTACTTCAAGCAATAATACAGTTGAAGCAATTGCCAAAAGAAGCTAGTAATCTCTACTGATGGCGAAGGGCCATTTAGTGCGAGCTATATGACTAAATTTATCGTCTGAACTTCAACTTTTTCCTCTTTTTGATATTCTTCTAAACTACCTTAATGATAATTTCACAGAATAAAACAAGAAAAAATTACTTTTGCTTTTATGATCCATGATAGTGATTAAATATAAAATGAACAGTAATTGAAATATTGACATCAACATTTACATTTCCTGCCTCATCTCTGGTTTCAATTTTTTTGTTTCTTTCAACTACAGAACAAAATCAGGATTCATTTCTTCCATAGGAATCTACTAATTACTGAAAAGTACCTTGTTAACATGAAATGAAATTTGGCAGTGAATCCTGACAGTAAAACAAACATTAACAACAAAAGATAAACTCAAAGTGGGGCACTGAAGAGTGAAGCCAAACCAAACTCAATGAGGACTACCAAAAGGTGCCATCCATTAAGTTTTAAAACAATTTGTTCCCCATCCTCTCTTCACTTTGTTAAGAATATCGGTATAGAAACAACAATAACACAACTTTGAGAATGATTTCTTAAAAGGACTAATATCCCTAAACTCTTATAATGCAACAGAGAGTAAATATTCTCTAAAATTAGATTCTCTCACCCCCTATTGCTTCAGTTGTTGCTTGGCCCTTGGGTAAGCGTGTGGCCTTTTTTCCTAGTTTCATCACCAAATCAACACTTGTGGTTCATAAAAAATCACTTTTAACAATAAGCTCCCACTCCTAAGAAATGAAAATGAAGTCCCAAAAAGAACTCCACCACTGAGTTAAGTGGTCATGAACTTTAAGAAAGTAACAATTTTGGTATCCTTTTCCCCCTATGGGAGGTTTCCACAATTTGAAATAGTTACATGAAACTTGTATTTAGAGAAGGTCTCTAACACTCTTACCTAAAATAATTAAAATTACATGTCTTTAACTACTTCTAGAGCTGAAATAATCATCTTTAAATAAAAATACTAGAAGGATTTTTCATCAATGCAAGAGATATATACTAAAAGGAACTAGAATTTACAAGTCCTTACTAAGATTAGTATAAGCTAGCAATTTGAGGACTGCAAAAAACTTGCACTTCCTCGAGGCAAGTCTTGGACTGGTCCCCAAATAGGGATTCCTTACCATCCTTCCTCTTAGCATATGATAATCCCAATCTAGACTTGGCTTGCCTCAAGTCTCCAATGCCGGAATTAGTGTCAGGCCCTGCAAATCCGCCCATAACTGGTGCCAGGGGAGGTCCAATGAGCAATCCATCAGCCCCGAACTGGGGACCTCCTCGAGCATAATCAAAAAGTGCTGCACCACTGCCCCCTATTTTCGGCAGTATAATAGGATCAGTTTCCTCATTGTCAGTCCAGTAGAAGAGGAATGCATCAAATGTATCATAGTAATCATCTGTACTCCTATAGCCTTCAGGGTTAAATGCACCAAACTTGAAGGACTTGTCTGTGTATCCAATTATAACACAGGGTCCCTTGAAATCACAACAGTCATGAAAATTCGTCGCGCTAAATCCATCAATAGTAGCCTTGTAGCAACATTTTAGTTCCCTACCTGATCATAAACATATGACAAGTTCACAACTATACATAATTGCATTTTACTAACTACTTTTGCAATCCTAGGAAAAGGTAATATCTTAAGAGCTTGATTTTATCAGTTTATGCTTGTTGTCTGCTTAGAAAGTTCATTCTTGAAACATAATGATGCATGGGCGTAAGAGAGTACCTCTTAAGAATGTTCTATCAACCAGAGAAGGAGAGAAAGGAAGATCAGTGTCATGGTACTTGGGCTGTGGCTTAAGATCAGCATTTCTGTTCTTGCCTATGTTCCAACCAAATAAGTTGTAAGGGCTTCTCCTGCAACCCTGCGGGAACATAACAGAGTTTGAGATGAAACATGCCATTCTAATCTTTGATTCACTGACATCCTCACAAATTCATCTGATATCTTAATGACCTATCCTTTCGTTAACATTTGCCTCTTTTCCCTGTTTTACTTGATCGGCCAACTAAATACCGTAAGTATTCTCTTTATGTGCATCGCAAAACGGAAGGGTCCATAGCTCAGTGGCAGAGCATTTGACTGCAGATCAAGAGGTCTTCGGTTCGAACCCGGATGGGCCCTTTATATTTTACCTCTTCTTTCAGTTTGGGCTTAAATGTTTTTTCCTAAGCCCAACACTTTGGACTTTAATGTTTTATGTGTAGCCCAATCCTTTTTTTCAATTTGAGGTCGCCAGTTCAAACCCGGTTGGGCCCTTAACAACTTTTTCCTCTTTTTTCAGTTTGGACTTTAATGTTTTGGTAAGCCCAATTAGTTTTTCAATTGGACTTTAATGTTTTTGGGAAAGCCCAATTTCTTTAATTTTGGATACATTCGGTAGCTGCCATCCCCCATAATTAATTCTTCAGATTCTTCACTCACCTATTTCTCACCTTTGCCCTTTTATTGATACTTTTTTTTCATCTCTGTTACAATTTCAGTAAATAAGGTTACCAAATAGGGAATTATTGTCTCAACTATTTATGTTTTGTTCTTCAATTCTAAATCTCTTCAAGAAAAAAAAAAATACTAAATCTATTGAGAAAATCAATATTTTTCTGTCGATGGAGAGAATGTCGATCGCACTACATTTTACCGGAGCCAACCCAATAAAAATGGCTATAACTTGCATCATGTCATCTAAAATTGTAAATGAAAATCAATCTACCAACACACTAGGAATCTATTCTATCATTTTCATATGACAAATAAACCAGCCACATCTCAAGAGAACTGATATCCTAAAAGACCTGTGGTGTTTCCCTTTAATCTGATGCATGGGTTGGCAGCTGATTCTTAGTAACATCCACTGGTGGTTTTTCACATGTCACAACAATTTCATCATCTTCAGGATTGAACTCCTTGTAGCAAGCTATCCTCCCCAATTCTTCAACTTCTGCAATCACATTATCAAGCCTTGCTACAATCTCCACTAGCAAAGATGCAAAAGCAGCAAAAGGAAGTGCTTCCGAGAACTCCAGGCTAGTGATTGCAATTTTGCTCAACTGTGGTCTCAAAACCTTCCTTTCATTCTCTCTAGCTTGTTCACTAAGCCTTTTAGTTTTCCATTCCAACAATGCAGATGAGTCTGTTTTTACACTTGATAATGAAACTCCATGGCCCTTTTCTTGCTTATGGCGAGCAGCATGTGCAGCTGCTAATGCTAGCATGTTGGTAGCCTGGTTATTGTTGGAGCCTAGGAAGAGCCTTGGTTGGGATTTTATGGCAGTGTTGAGGTCTTGCAAGGCTTCATGAAGATGATCAGAGAGTATTTCAGGAGAGCAATGGCGACGATTTCTGATGCTGTTGGCAAGTTCCTTTAGTGCTTTGGTTACTTCTCCAGCAAGTCGAATGCAGGGATCTTTGAAGAGGGCACGGACTGATCGTGGGGTCTAAAAAATACAATGAAATTAACTGAGAAAAACATGTATATTACATATAATTATGGGGAAAAAATGGAATATGAGAAACACTGATTATAGTTTTTCCGATACAAAAGTTGGTCTGCTGTCATTTACTATTATAAGAAATTATTGATGATCATATCTTCATAAAGGAGAATCACATATTGGTCTATTAATAAGAAAGAGTTGTGGCCACTGAGGAACGCTAGTCACTATTTTATGATGTAGCCTCTCATAAAAGCCCAATTGCTAGGAGATGAATTTATTTATTTCATTAATGGGTAGCACATGGAACAGTCTGCAACAAAGCATTGTCAAAACATGCAATTATGTTTATTATTACTGTTATTTTTATATTTCTTTTTGCTAACAAATTAGACAAGTTGTAATTGAAAGTTACCTGAATTTCAGTTTGCAAGCAACCGTGCAGAGCCACAACAGTATATCCAAATTGGCGAAGAACAGTTCCCACTTTCACATACTGCTGCCATGGAAATCTGTAACAGTGTCTTGAATGCCTCGGTTCCCAACTTGCATACAATGCCTGCACAAAGCAAAAAAATTTCTTTACATTAGCCATAAACAATATTGAAGGGCTAGTTTTGATAGTACATTAATGAAACATGTAAAGAACTTACCAGAGTTTCATCAGTAGATTTGGAATCCAGAACTGCCTTGTAACCTTTGTAGATGGGATCCTCTGATGATTTATCTTGGTTTTCTTTGATCTCAGAACCATTAAAGTACTCATTAACACAAGCTGCATCATTTTGCAATAAAGTTATATTAGTGTTCATTAACACAATGAAGAATGGAAAGAATAAACTACTGGAGGCATTGATTACAGTTCTCAAATTTGTGTACCTTCTATAGATTTAGCTAGCCCTTCAAGCTTGCCTACAGTAGAATTATGGAGGTCTTCACTTGACCAAATTGGAAATACCAGAAGACTCATGAAAAGACAAATGGCACAGCCAATGGCAATGGTGTAGAAGCGATCATGTGCAATCTTTAATACGTTTTCAACACGGTAGCTTGACACAGTGATTAAATTGAAGGTCAATAGGAATATCACAACACCATAGTCGTAGTTTTTCTTTATATAGGGAAAGAACCTCATGTACGTGGCTGCAGTTCCTGATTGAATTAAGAAATGAATGAAAAAGTGAGAAGATTAAGAAAAAAGCTTATGAGGTTATAGGAAAAAGAAATTTTCCATTGAAATTTGATACTTACCTATCAGAAAAACTGCAGCTCCTATGAAAACAGCTCGAAAAACCTTTCCGGATTTAGTTGCAATAAACTCAATGAGAAATGCCAACGATCCTGCCAACAATGTCCCTAATCCCCTATTCAGTCCTTTGCATAAGGTTGCCCCTGTTCAAACAGAAGCAAAATTTAATACTGTTGTTTGTTCATCAAGAAAGCTAATGCATGGTTAAAAAATCAACAGGTAGGGTTAGGCCTTGAGAAATTCAACAAGAAAACCCAACCTGCGGTGAATTCGAGCACAACAACCACTGTCATGACAGCCCAAATGGCATTTGTTCCAATCCCTTTGAACAATGGTTCCATCAAATACAACAGGGAGACTAGTGTCAAAGACAAACCAACCTTGAAAGCATGAATCATCCTTCTAGGGTCTTCTCGACCAACCTTCCAAATGGTTCGCCACAACCAACCTGGAAATCTTTTCATTTTCCCAGAAAAATCAAGTACGCGTTTCTTCCAGATGTTCGTAACCTTTTCAGGCACACCATTTCCAATCATTTCCGTCTCCATTCCCACATGAACTTTGGTAGCCATTTCTTGAGAGCAAACAGACTATGATAATATGATCCTCAATAAAGGAAGATATATTCAGTTAAAGAAATGAGACCATGCAGACCATAAAGGAGCATAGCATAAAAAAATGCTGATATTTTTGTAGGTGGCTGGTGGGGAGTTTTTGTTGCGTTTGTGAGAACCCCAGCTTTCTTCTTAGGAGGCAATGTTACTTTATATGAAGAGGGATGGAGAGAGGTGATGTTGTTTCTGTAGTCACATGCCTTCCATTATAAAGTGTAAAAAAATAATTGAAAGCCGGTCATTTTCAGATGGCTAAAGTCAACAAAAAGAGAAAAACTAAATAATTGATTTTTATTTATTTATTTTAAATAAGGATGATTAGAGTTTTTTTTTTTTATCTTAGCAGTAACTGGACTCAACAGAAATTATCGGATTATATCTGAGCACTGCCACAGCCTTAATTTCTTGTAGCTGCCCTGTATTTCCTAGAATTTGTCTGATAATACTCTTTTACCATTTTCTCTGATACAAAAACCAATTAAGTTAACCTGAGTTTATACCGTGATAGAGATTCTCACCCACTATACATGAGAAACTATGAATGAACTAAACTCCCAAGAGTCGGCATTATTCAACACATGGTCAAAGTTCAGTTGTACCAAGCGAAATATAGAGCGGGATTCAATGTCATTTGATGCAATTTCTAGACTACATACTCAAGCTGCATATCTTCTTCTCGTGCCAGAAACCATCGTTTACACATAAAATTTGTGGTTTAAACAACAGCGCACGTCAGTTGACCAAGTTGATCAAGGAGAGTAAAGGGAAGTTTCTTTTGCTATTAGTAATGCAAGAGAGGGCAAAGAGAGCTCTGGGGTCACGGACTATATGCAGCTAGCTAAGCAAAAAAATGGCGTTGAAAGTTAACTTGGTAGCAAAGGAAGGGTTAGCATTAGCAAAGGCTTTTTTGATAGTTAACCTAACATCAACACCGTGTGACAATTTTCATTTGGAGGCACCTACGTCGGTTGCTCTCCAACAGCTGTGCTTGATTTTTAACCATGCCAACCTTCTCGTGCATTCTCAACTGCCGCATTTGCGGCACAGGTTTTGCCATGTGGTTCCTTTGGTCTGCTCACATTTGGCCATCTACAAGAGGCTGGCTTGTGAATTTTTTTCTCTTTTTGTTACTTTTCCGTTCTCACTTCATTCATACACCAAATGTTCTAAAACCAAAAGCTTCGAAATGCACAATGATATCTTATTTTCTTTCGTAAATGAAAATAAAATGCAACCCATATATTAAGACTTGAATAGTATAAAACTTGACGTGTCAATTAAATATATGAAGAGATGGACATGGTAAATAAGTTATTGTTCTATAATCTATCTGATAAATATGTCCCAAAAGAATATAAAAGAATAATGTAATAAATGTGGTTGATACTTGATAATAGATAGCATTCACCAATTTGATTGCAGTCATGATACTAAAGGAACTATTGTATAGAGATGATTTTCGGTATGTAAGGACCAAGGACTCAGCAAAAACACTGTTAGGCAAAACAAAATATATCCATCCATTGAAAGCTATGGACAATATCATGAATAAAACATATGAGAAACCACTTGCTCGATTCAGGTTTGCAACCTGATGGCAACAAAAGAAATGAGTTCAACTTATTTTAAGGCTAAAAGCATGAGCCAGATGAGAGAATATTGGTATTTATTTACATACAAACTCATCATGCTAAAGCACCAGCGGCATGTTTGGTTAAGGCAAGTATATGTGAAAGCCAGCAGTCTCACTGACTGCTAGGAAAAGAAAACTGCATAATACTAAGTATGCAGAAAGACCTTTGCTGCGTTGTGTTTTCTTAAATCAAACTGCAGCTATGAGGTAGCACCAAAAACGCGAATTCTCTGCTCAATTGGCAGCCGGCAGCATGGACAAGTAGCTTTACCCTTCTTCCCATAACTGTCATTGCAGTTGGCGCATATAACCTGGTGTGCACAAGGCAGAAAAACAATAGAGACTTCATCTTTTGAACAGATTATGCATTCTCTATCACAGTTGACTTCTTTCTCAGAAGAATCCTCTATTTTATCTAATTCATGAAGCAACCCAGCAATTGTTTCTCCCTGTGGCTTTGCCCCTTCTGACTTTCCCCTCAGTAAATTATCTGATTGATGATTCAATTCAGTAGATTCTGCAGATAGTTTCAGACGGGAAAGCTCCTGCTCAAGTCGTTGATGATCATCCTTATGACGCTGAAAGTCTATCTCCATCTTCAGGCGCAAAGCCTCAAGCTTTCTTTTATTGCTTGCCTCAGCTGCTTCCTTGGAGCGTCGTTCCTCCTCCACTTGAGCCAGGGCTAGCTCTTTAGCCTTTAACTCCTCCTTCCGCTTTGACTATAAAAGAAGATAGCATAACATAATAGCTACACTCTTGAAATTGAGAGATTTAGAAAATACAAACACATTAAAGATAATGAAATTATATGTATGGACCAGCTCACTACTCCAGTTGAGAAAAACATGGGACAGAAAATTGAACAAAAGAAGGTCAGTCATACAAATAAATAATTAAAACTCATAAAAAAGAGACAAAATAGAAGATAAATCAGATATAAATATCCACTAGAACAAATGCACACTCATAGATGATTAAAAGAAGGGAAACCAGGGAAAGATTGGATCTCATCTTGAGTAAAGTCACACTTGCGAATCCACATGGAGATGAGTTAAGTGCTACTAATTCACTATAAAAAAAAAAAAAAAAAGAGTTACTGATTGATAGCCAAAATCTTAGCAAGTTCACAATCAGATTTATGAGTTCCTTTGTGTACCAAGCCTGCCTTGGCTGCTTTTCAGCTAAGGTGCCTTTTTACTCTGGACATTTTTACACCCAAAACAATGAGTCTTTTTCTTTCTAACAGATTAACATCACACTTAAATTCATATTCTCATATTCCACTTTAAATTTTCAAGTGAGCATCACAAAAAGTGGAAATGCTCAATACAGAAAACCTAAGACAAAATGAATATGTTAAGAACTCCAGAATGTGAATTCTAGCTTCTAATAGGATCACGTGCTTGTTGTCTAAACTATGACCTATAAATAAACTAAACAAGACATCTTATGCAGGGGGGGGGGGGGTTTCTAACTCAGTTAATTAATTAATAAGCCAACAGAAGCATGCCAGACAGACATTTTTTAAACTAATCAATGGACCATGCTTTATTTCACACCAAAATAACAAAATATGTAGGCGTAAAGAGATGGAGTAGATATCTTATGCATGTACATTGTACATAAATATGTAAACATGATGTACCTCTGTTTCTTTCTGATCCTTCTCTACCCGATCTAAACATCTTTGCAGCTCTTTAATCTTCTCCTTTTCATCAGCAATCTCCTCCTTCAACTTAGTTTTCTGTTTTTCCCAAGCCAAAAGCTTTTTCAGGCTCTTTTTCTCCCTTTTTGCAACCTCTAGACAGGTTGTGACTGATTCTGATGCACTTAATTTAGAAGCCTCCATCTCAGCTCTGATTTCTGCATTCTCAGTCTCAAGCCGTCTCACAGCTGCATTTGCCCGGTCCACCTGCCCACTAGCCTTCCTCAGAGCATTCTCCATCTCTGACAGCCTCTTCATGGTTGAGTCGTCTATCGTGTGTTTCCCCTTCTTTATCCACTGTGTCTCCTCTCTCTCCATCCTCAGCATTTTAAGCTCTGTTAGATCACTACTAAGCTTTCTTGCAGCTTGCATTGCCTTCTGATGAGCCCACTCCTTCCTCTCTTTCACTTGCTTCTCAAGATCTTTAATCTGATGAAGCAGAGATATTATCATATCACCTTTCTGATCTTCCCCAACATGCTCCAAATTCTCATCAATATTCAAATCACGAAACTTACTCAATACCGAATTAACCACATCCTGGCTCTTCAAATTTTGTGACTCCTCAGATTTCTCAGCTGGAACCTCACCCCCAGCAACAGACAGAGGGGTAACCCCACTAGACAATGTGCTCACAGATGCCTGATTTTGCATCTGCATTTGTTTTGTGTTAGCCCCAAAACTAGCAGCAAACATTGCAACATTCTTTTTCAACAAAGACTTCATTGAAGGTGAAAGATTAAACCTCTTGGGAAACTCAATATCCCTCTGCAAAGTCATTTCTGTGCCATAGGAAAAGAACCCATTCACCGGAAACTCTTCTCCTCCATTACCAAACCCCCAACCACCATGAAACCTACACAGCGCCGGCGACACAAAACCAACCTCATTATTACCAACACTCTCCAGGTTGTTTGACACTGGACTACAAACGCTAGTGGGCAAAGGAATTGATGGAATCTCCATAGAACTAGCCCTACCTACATGAAGATCACTCATAAGCAAACACCACATAGCATCACCTTTACTCAAATGTGGCCTAACATTTTGCAACAAACAAACCATACCCGCAAGAGAATACTCCTCCAATTGCCTTAAATCTGGAAAACTGGGCTCAGATTCCTCTGAATTACTCCCATTACTACTACCGCAACTGCTATTCAAATAAGCCAATGAATTATGCAAAATATTAGTCAACACATCCATTCCACCATAGCAATGCCCATTTCTCAATATCGCCTTTAATGCAACATCCTCATCGTAACCTAAAGCTACAAGCTTAGATAAAGCTTTATTATATAATAATTCCAAGTTTTTCAATAAAATTTCCTCTAATTGTTCCTCGGTGCAATACCCCCAACCGTGATCATCAAAATTAGTATTGGTATTGTTGTTAGGGTTAGGATTAGGGCTTTGGGTTGTATCGTTTAGACCCAGATGGCAACTCAAGGGTTTGATACCCGATTCAAGTATGGATTTAGATATTGAAGCTTTATCAAGAAGACAGCATGGATCGAATTCGGGTTTCGCCGATCGGGCCCTTCGGATCGACTGCATATGCTTTTCCCTTACAGTGCAACCCATGTTTTTGTGTTTTTCTTTCGTCTATATTACAAAAATAAATAAAGATTTAAAAAGGAAAATCAAATCAAATCAAAACAAATCAAAAACCTGCAAAGAACACATGACATGCAGATCAAAATCAAATGCAATAATCAAAAGGGTATGTGTTAAGAAAGGCAGAGAAGGAGACTTACAGGGATTTTGTGAATATGGGTTTGTTTTTGTTTCAGTGTTGAGGAAAATATGCAGTTTATTAGTACTATACGTATGAATTTTTTTAAAGGGCAAGGGTGAAATTTGGTGGGTAACTATTAATAAAGGAACAGCATTCTGATTTATGGGTTGTGTTGCGTGACAATGGACCATAAGGCAAATTTGTATCGGTGAAGTAAGGTTTGGGCTTTGGCCTAAAAGCAAGATTCCATTTTGACCTTTTGGGCGTGGATATTATTATTTGTGTATTTAAATAAGTCATTAAAATTTTAATTTATATTTAAATAAATCCATAATATAAGTTATTTTTTTATTTGATACAATAAAAATATATAAACCTATTTAAAAAAAAAACAGAATAATTCAATTTTTTTAGTATTTTAGTATTTTTTTTAATTTAATGTATATATATTTTGACCAAAAAAAAAAAGATGATGAGAGATAACATTATTTTAAAATTAAAATATATTGAGATTTTAATCAAAATTTACATATTGAATAAAAATAAAATATTCGATTTTTATCATTTATCAACTCTAACTAATGGGATGATATATATAAAACAAACTTAGTTGATGAATTCAATGAAATTAGGGCACGAACCACTATCGAGGCACTCTTTTAACAAACTCTACCCACAAAATCTGATAATTATCATTCACGTATTTATTTATTTCCTTTTAGAAAGATATTAGTATTTCTTTCCATAAAATTGGGAATTTGTTGGATTTCAGTTTCACTATATTCTTACTCATCCATCTTAACAAAGTGGGTTAAAAAATTTGTTAGGCAGAAACAACAACAAACAAAAACTTTAAATACTATTTTTAAATTAAATACCACGTCAATCTCTTAAACTTGTTAAGAGGGAAAGAGGGGAGGTAAGTAAGCCCATTGTTTATCAAGGTTTTTGCAACATTGGACTATGGAAATTTTTATTATAATAATAATAATAATAATAATAATAATAATAAATATATATATATATAAAAGGAAAAAAATCAAAAAATTTTATGAAAAATATAATCAATCGAATTTGAATTGATATAATATTAAATTCGAGTTTAATTTTAATTTAAAATTTTAAATTTAAAATTTGATTTGAATTTGATATAATATTATTTTTTTAAGATTTGAATTTGACTCGAGATAAAAATCAATATATTCAAATTCATTAAATTAAATTTAATTAATATATAAAAATAAGATTAATTTTTATATTCAATAAAATTTTAATTATTTATATTTAAATTTTAACATAAATTTAAAATATAATAAAATATAAAAATTTAATTAAAATTATAAACTATTCAAATTAAATATAAAAAAATTCATATCTAATTTAATCAATAAATTAAATTATTTAAATTCGACTAAATAGAAATACAAATCAAATTCAAATTTAAATTTTTATATTCAATAAAAATTTAATTATTTGTATTTAAATTTTAACATAAATTTAAAATATAATAAAATATAAAAATTTAATTAAAATTAAAAACTATTCAAATTAAATATAAAAATATTCATATATAATTAAATCAATAAATTAAATTTTTTAAATTCGACTAAATAAAAATACAAATCAAATTCAAATTTATTTAAAATTACGGATATTTATATCTCATTTATATGACTAGACAATGCCAACTCTTTTTGTCTATTATAAATTGACAGTCTGATCTGCTTTTGGTTGATTATGAACGAAGACCTTTGCCCATAGAATTATAGATACTTCAAAACCTTTCTTAACAATCCTTCTTCTTGTCCAAAACCAGAAAGCAACAAAAAAAATAAAAAAAGAAAAAAACCAGCATAGCCATGGCTGTGATGGCCAAGCAAGACCCATCACCTGCCTTTGTGGCAACAGTACAAGAAATCATGAGACTTTACAGATCACTTCCACCAAGGCCTTCCATTGAAGATGTTGAAGCAGCCAAGTCTGTTCTCAAAACTGTAGAAAATGAAGAAAAAATCAAGCTTGAGGAAATCTCAAAGGAACAGGCCCCTGAAGATGTCCCTGAGGAACTCTTCTCTGTCCTGCAACAGGTGAGGAAGACCATGGTGTTGTTTCAAAGCCATGAGCAAAAAAAAGAGGCCCTTTACTTGGTTGAAGCTGACAAGATGTTTGAGACCTTTGATGGGTTGATTCAAAGGGCTTCTTTACTGGTTTCTGGGGATACCCAGGACGAGAAAGTGAGTACTTTTCGGGAACAAGTAAGGAAATTTGATAGAGAAAGTGTGATCAGTGATGACAATTTGTTGAAGAGAAAGGCAGATGGTGGATTGGATAAAGATGATGCAAAGGGTTTGGCTAGAAGTTCTTCTATAAAGGCTTCTTTCTTTTCAGGTAAAGCATAAAATTTATTTTATTTGTTGGAAATTTTGGTTTCTTGTCAAAATTTGCCAATACCACATAATTATATGTACAATTTCGAGAATATGGTTTAAACCAGTTTAGTTTTTTCAAAGTTCAATCTATTGTTGCTTGTTTCAATATGATGAAGTGAAAGGAGTTATTACTTATTATGGTGATTTCAACTTTAGATCAGAAATGTCAAAGACGTTGTTGCTTCTTTTAATTTGCATCTGTAATTTGAGAATTGATAATTGTTTTTCTTCTTATACTGCTATTAACAGACTGAAATTGTAACTTGGATAAATAGAAGAAACTATTTCTAATGAGAGATCATTTTCAAGTTATTCTATTTCAACTGGCAAAAGGGTGTATATTTTGTTTTGGTTGAAAAGCTGAGATTTAGTTTTTAAAAGGAAAGTTTCTGGTAATTTTCATCAATAAACTGATCATTGTAATCCAGCTTTATGCTTTTCCTTTATCATACTGAATGTATATATATATATATATATATATGTATATAATTTATAGGCCAGCAAAATGTAGTCCTAAATAAAGACTTTTGGTGTAATTGCAGGTGAAGATAGCAGTGAAAAACTAAACCTGATGAAGACAGCAGCCCTTATCGAAAATACTGCTAAAACAGGAGATATAGTTCTTGATCTTAGGGGCAAGCTGATGGACCAGCTTGAGTGGCTCCCTATATCAATTGGGAAATTAAAGGATGTTACTGAACTGGACTTATCTGAAAACCGTATCATGGCCCTGCCACTCTCCATTGGTGGCCTTCAAGCCTTGACAAAGCTTGATCTTCACTCAAACCAACTTATTAACCTTCCTGAGTTAGTTGGGGAACTTGTCAATCTAATAGAGCTTGATCTCCATGCAAATAGGTTACGGTCATTGCCTGCGTGTTTTGGGAACTTGACAAACCTCGCGAATCTAGATTTGAGTTCAAATGAGTTCAACCGGTTGCCAGAGACGATTGGAAATTTGTCATCTTTGAAGAGACTAAATGTGGAAACAAATGAACTCGAAGAACTTCCATACACAATTGGAAATTGCTCCTCATTGTTGGAGTTAAGATTAGATTTTAATCAGATAAAGGCTCTTCCTGAGGCAATTGGGAAGCTTGAATGCTTGGAGATTCTTACTGCACACTATAACAGGTTAAAAGGGTTGCCGACAACAATGGGTAACCTTCCCAATTTAAAGGAGCTTGATGTAAGCTTCAATGAGATTGAATTCATTCCTGAGAACCTCTGTTTTGCAGTAAGTCTCAAAAAATTGAATGTGGGGAAGAACTTTGCAGATCTAAGAACCTTGCCAAAATCAATTGGAAATCTTGAGCTGCTTGAAGAGTTGGATATAAGTGACAACCAGATCCGAAATCTGCCAGATTCTTTCGGATCATTGTCAAAATTGAGAGTTTTTCTTGCTGATGAGACTCCATTGGAAGTTCCACCTACACAAGTAATCAAATTGGGGGCTCAGGTATGCTAGTCTGATTACAAAATTAGCTTGTTGGGATCTTGCCAGTTTTACTAGCTATAAGACACTAACTTATTCAACCTCTTTGTTCATTAGGCTGTTGTTAAGTTCATGGCTGATCTTATTGCTAAGAGGGATACCAAGTCACCGCCAGCAAAGAAGAAGAAGAAGAAGGGTTTTGCTTCGGGGTTTGCTCAAATTTTTTGCTATTCCAGACTGCCAATACGGAGAACATTTAACCAGTGAATTACTACTATAAGATTTTTATCTAAAGCCTCTTGTACATAGCTCAAAATGTTTTGGTTTCTTTTCAAGATTTATTCTATATAGCTCAAAATGTTTTGGTTTCTTTTCAAGATTTGTTCTATATCAGTGATATTACTTGTGAATTATTTGTGGGATTGCAAAGCATTCTGCAGACAGTCCTAATTGCTTGGCTCAAATTCAAATGAAGGGAAAAAACTTGCAATTGTAAATCTTTTGGCATCTATTCTCTAGCAACCAAATTCTACCTTGTGATTCTAATGCAACTGTCCTATATATTGCTGTCCTACAAATGAACTGAGGCTTGAAAAAACATGAATGAACAGAAGGAATGGTAACTCTTATAATCTCATTCTTCCTTGTGATCTGACAAATCTAATCACAATCAATCACAACTTATAAATTAAAACAGAAAAAAAAAAAGATAATTTCAAAGAGGATTTGATCAACAACTTACTCAAACACAACTTTGTTTTTCATAGTCTAACAGTCAGATAAAAAATTCCCAAGACAGGAGGAAAAGCAGGTGTTGTGCTCTTCAAGGTAGCTGTCATAGGAAATATAATGCAAATGTATTTATATGCACAAACAATATTTATGTGGCACCAACATCATGTCTTGAGGATTATGATAATGTTATCAAAAGTTGACCAATTAAGCAGCTTTCTTGAAGGATATTCTTTGAAATGTCAATATCCAAATCAGTGGGCTTTGATCAATCTGGTGTCAGCACTTTGCTGGTTTTTAATGTTTTAGACTCTTCTAGTTGGTCTTTCAAGAATTTTCTGGATAAACCCATTTCTTTCTTCTTCCATTATTGTGAAACTCAAGTCAGAACCATGAGGATTTGTCCAAAAAAAGACAGAATCATAGGATATGGTCCAAACTGTTATAACACTTGGAAAGTCTGAAACATATCAGTTTTGCTGATTTCCGTTAATGGCTAACAAAATTTAGACTGTTAGAAAAAATTTGATAATAAAATTATGAAGAGGAAATGATCAACTGGTCTCAAAATGTCCAGATGACCCCTATTCAATCTAGATAGGAGCTGGAAATAGAAATTTTATATGAATGAGTAGCAATTCGCACACTGAATAAAATTTATAAGACAGTCTTATGATTGATCATAATACATTTGAAAAGCAACAAAGTTCATCTTTTCTATAATTAGTCAATTTTTAAAAAATTAACAATGAAAAATTTTAATATAAATATTCAGATTAATTAATGAAAATTTCACTTTTTTTTTCATTTTTAAACGGAATATTTTTTTTTTTTTGCATATAATAATGTTTATAAAAAATAAAGAAACTTTATGGTGATTGGATGTAATTCTAAGACCTTCTTTCATTATTAATAATTCCGTACAATTTACTATCTAATCACTTTTAATAAAATTTCGAAGCCCACTAGCCCAACCCAGTTTAACATTGTAAGTACATAGCGGGTCCGAAAGACGCCGTTACTATTCTCTTTTCTTTTCTTTTTCTCTTTTTTATATATTATTCTTTTTTCTTCTATATTGGAATTTTTTTTTTCATAGGAGTTCTCAAGCAGTTCACTCACTTTGCTTCATCTTCCATTGAACTTATTGACCCAAAAAGGTAAAGTTAAAATCCTCTTTACCTTTTTAATTTTTCTATTTCTGGGTAATTTCTGGCTTTTTTTTTTTTCTTATTGTTATCATATTCCTTGACTTTTTAATCTACGTTGACCCTCTTGTTTTTATGTAGTTAAAGAAAAAAAGAGCTTGTGAATGCAATTTGATTTGTTTGTTTTTCTGATTACTAGATATGAATAATCAGATAACAAATGTACATATATGGGACATGGATGAAACCCTTATATTGCTAAAGTCTTTGTTGAATGGGACATATGCTGAGGTCTTCAACGGTTTGAAAGATGCTCAGAAAAGTGTTGAAATTGGAGAGATGTGGGAGAAATATATTCTTCAGATTTCTGATGATTTTTTCTTCTATGAGCAAGTATGTCAAATTCTTCTGTTCATCTGCCTTTTTTATGTTGCATTTTGTTCAATTAGAAATCCTGAATTTTACGGTGTTAATTATATCTCTATTTTGAATGTAATGCAGATTGAAAACTGCAATAAGCCTTTCCTCGAGGCCTTGAGCAAATATGATGACGGGAGGGATCTGTCTGATTATGATTTTAATCAAGATGGTTTTAGTCCTCCACATGATGATATCAACAAAAGGAAACTAGCATACAGACACCGAGTCATAGCCAATAAGTATAAACAGGTATTCGAAATGATCCCTGTTAAGCGTAATATTAACTGTGCTTCCGACTAGTTGTGTGGTTTTCATGATTTCTCATTGTTAATTATTCACAATCTGAAGCATTTTGCATTGCTTGCTCTGCCAGCCATTGTTTATAGTTGTCTTGCCGTAGTTATTGTCAAACCCATGGATGAAGTTAAGAGTATAGCTACAAGTACCACTATGGGGAGTTAGTTGGAATTTTTGGATAAACTGTTATAGAAGATTTAATATAGGCTTAATCTGAAGCGTTTAGTTAACATCAGAAAACTAAACTTGTATAACTTATGGTTTAGTGAAGAAGGAATGTGAATGTTGGATAGAGATCTCCTAGTTAACATCAGAAAACTAAACTTGTATAACTTATGGTTTAGTGAAGAAGGAATATGAATGTTGGATAGAGATCTCCTCGAGGTACCCATTACCTGCTGGTTCCTTATCTGGGATATATTATTTATATGAAAGGAAAAAAAAATTGTGCTTATATTGTGGGGATGGGGCACTGCAAAGCATTAGTTTGCTATAATTTCCATTTAGATGTACATCTTCTCGATTCTTTCTTATCTTCCAAGGTATTCACTTTCGTGCAAAAAATTGACAACTTATTATCTTTATTCATCAGTACAAATCTTCATTTTTGTCTCTCTAGAGAGATCTGTTTTCCAATGGTCACCTTTGATTGTGTTTTCTTTTTTATTTCTTCTCAAAGCCTAATTAAAGTTAACAAATGCGAATGCATCTTAGATGTAGAAACATAAGTGTGATTTTTTGAGAGAGTACTTTATCATTTCAGGGTTTACACAATATTTTTGAGCAAGAGATGATGGGTCTCTTGGATGCATTGTACAAAATGACTGATGAGTATACAGATAGGTGGCTTTCCTCAGGTATGTTCTCTGACCATGATATGGCTGCTGATGCATTCAGTTGTTTTCTTTCCCAGCTGCCATTTGTTTAGTTGCTGAACTAGTTTTTGCAAGTTTCTAGTCTTCTAATTAATACTGAAGCTCTTTTGTTTTAATTGGATGCAGTTACTTTAAATGTTTCATTTAACATTGGGAATTCTTTTTCTGGTGTTTGCTCAATGTCACAACCTATCTTGTTTCCCTTTTTGGATAAAGATTGAAGATCTATGTTGATTGGAATATGTGAAACAGATAAATTAATGTGTGCCTTCCCTTAGGTTTTTTAGTTATATGCCATCTTCAATGTTTTTTTCTGGTATTCTAAGATGGGGGATCAAAGCTCACTAAAGAAGATGTTGTTTTTTAAAGAGTAATGCATAGCTGAGAGATATCCCTCTCGTTGGCCCTGCATTAATATGAAGCTTAAGATTTTATTCTAATATAAGAATTTACTTGCATCTCGAGCTAAAGTTCCCATGTTTTCTTTTACATCACTTGATTTTGTTATTATTTTTTCCCAAATATAGCACGGGCATTGTTGGAGCAGTGTTTAGTTGGGAATGAAGATCCTACCGTTGGTAATACCCCTGCTGGTGGGATTGTCAACTCTAATGATGCGGGATTCCAGCACATAAATGTTTTGGTTACTTCTGGTTCATTGATTCCTAGCCTTGTTAAATGTTTACTCTTTCGACTTGACGGTTTGATATCTTATGAAAACGGTGAGTAATCTGATTTTATCTCCCTTCTATTCACTTGAAGTAATCTACAATGTTTTCATAGTCCATTTTGAAACTGTTGGGATCAGCCTCTATTTTAATTGGCATGATTACTGCATTCTGCCTTCCTCCGTATGCTTTCTCTTATAATCTATCCTCATAGCAAGTGGTATCTTTATAATAAAGGTCATAATGTAAGCTTTTTTCTTGGTCCAATGGCTGGACTACTTAACAATGGGTACCCTCCCCTTGCTTTCTTCTGTCCATAGAGAGTTCTGGATTTGATTTCAGGTCCTTGGCACAAACACCAAGGGACTTTACCAGCTAAGTTAGCTAGCAATAACTAGCTTCCTCAAGCTATAAGGCAGTTTACTGGTGTTCAAGTCATCAACAGGATAATCATAAAGGTCCCTCATGTTATGATGCAGTTTATTAATGTTGAAGTCATTGACTGCACAATTGTAAGGGTAGAGTTGTTGATGCCTTGACGGTTAAATGCAATTCTTTTCAAAAAAATAAATAAATAAAATTTTTTTCTTATCCTAAATTGATCTCACATTAAAGATATCCCTTGTTAGTTGTTACCAATAACTCAAGGAGTTTAATATTTTATCTTCTGTTGATGTGGAATTGGAATCTTGGACTTTACCACAACAGCAGCAAATAGATAAATCAAGCTTTCAGCCAGACCATCCTTCCTGTTCCCTTTCAGTTGAAGAAAGCTTTCAACTGGAAGAGATAAATGGTCTAAAATTGATTTTGCATAGAAGATTTCCTTCAGTGTAAGAAGTTCTTCTCGAATGCCCACTTTATATTCTCTCTGTAAGGACATTCTCAATTTCTTATAGTTTCAACTGTTCAGGTGGTTGTCATATTTATCGAGGCCACTAGATTGCATACAGACTGTATTGATTCCATGTTGCTCCTAAATCTGGTTTTCTTTAGTAAACTCATCATTATCGGAAAAGAAAAAGGATCAAATAAGGAGGTACTAACAAATCAGTTATTCCTTCAGTTTACAGCTCATGGGATGTGGGGAAACTACAGTGTTTCCAGTGGATCCAGGAACGTTTTAACAATCGAAATGTCCGTTTTTGTGCAATTGGAGATGGATGGGAAGAGTGTGAGGCTGCGCAAGCCATGAAGTGGCCTTTTATCAAGATAGACCTGCGTCCCAGTAGTTCTCACAGGTTTCCGGGCCTCACACTCAAAACAGTGGGTTTCTATTTCTCTATTGTTTATGGAAGTCCTGATTCAGAAAATGATGAAGAGTAAACCAGACTTTTCAGTTCACTTGATATCTATCTTTTGGCCAAGGAAATCGATATCCATTTGTGTGTAAACTCAGAGTTTAACCATGTCGAAGCCGAATGTATCAACAATCGTATTGTTTGCACTAGACCAGTCATTCAGCAACTTCTCATGCCATGTATTGATTATATAAAGTATCATTAATCTGGCAAATTTGTTCTGGATGATACCATCATACATTATGCTGGAATGACATTTTTATGGAATAGTTCTTGGAATGCATTTACTTGTACAGGTTACATTGGAAAACTCAGGCAATTCATTCTGCTTGATAATTTTGGAAATTTAACCTTTTAGAAATGATTTGTCACATACATTCATATTTGAGTATATTAGGTTCCATATTTTGCCACGAGAAATAGGTCAAATGCATTTATTAATAATAGCCTCTTTTTATGGTAGTCATATTATTTGGTTATTTTCAGTCAGAGAATTGGGGAAAAGGCTCTAACAAAAAAAGCATTCATCAATGTTTAATCCATAGGGTACATACCTTACCTCATCCACTAGGAAGTGTTGTGACCTGATTTCATCTCTGCATGAGTGCCATAGATTGGGGTTTTCCTTAATATTGAAAAGACTAAGATTAGATGCCAAATTTTTTCTTGGATTTCTATTTGATTAAACAAAGAAATGGGTCTGATTTAATTGATTACAAAGTCAAAGCATAGATCAAGTGGGATGTTGTTGTTTTGCTCCTTGGTCTAGACCTTTTCTGTCCTGTTGTCGTTAGCAAATAAAAAATGTTGGTTTTCTTAGATAAGATTTGTACAAACTTCATTGCAATTGTTTTGTTTATCGTCTAAGTGACGCCTTGGTGACGCTCAAAGAATTTTCAATTTCCATATTTTTCTGGCTGTAGTGGTAAAAACAATTGCTGAAGTTGTATATTGTTACCAAATGCTAATTTTTTTAGCATAATTATTAGATTAAACAAAAAAACTGTACTTGAACAAAAGCAAGACAGCTTTATCTTTGTGGGGCAAGAAGATAAGCAGGTCAGGGATTCAATCAAACCATTTAATGAAATTGTCTGGAAGTCGGTTGCAGTTTCTTCTGACGAAGATTGCATGGTGATGAGTTGGCAGATATCTTAGGTTCCACAAATTTTGATTTTGATTTTGATTCAGACAATGAGTGGATTATGTAATGGAGAAAAAGCTGAATGATCATCAAAAGAGAAGTTTGTCACCTCAATCTGATTTGAAACCTAATCACAATCTTCAAGTTAATTACCATTTCAACCTATTTGAATTGAAAAATGAAAATATTTCATTTTTGCTAACAGGCAACCTAATAATGGTATGGAAATTTCAACAAAAAAAGGGTACCAAAGTATTTTATGATACATCAATTCATTCAGGGCCACAGCCATGAATCACGTTGTTCTCTTCAGATGGCCCTGGTTTCTCCACGTTATTTTATGATACATCAATTCATTCAGGACTACACAGTTTACCCTGTTGGGTTCAATTCTGAAATTCATCAAGCTAACTCGTTTCTTTTAACGGTTTTTCACTTAATTGATTCTCCAGAATAAATAAGCTTACCATGATTTTTCACTTGGTGATTGATAAACCCGTCCACAGTTGACAGCACATGGTTTTCTTCATGGAAATTAGAAAACCTTAAGACGGTGTAGCTGTCTAATGTCGGCAGGAAGGCCCCTACAACACAATGCAAGATTTGGTGCTCCTCTGAATGCCCCACAGAACCTTTTTTTGGGACAACAAAATTTAAGACGAGAGAGACTTCTTAGTTCTAAGATCAAAGCAAACAGTATATTTCGTACAAAATTTATATTGAATTTACAGATTGTCCATCAATGAAGATTATTGACAGCAAATCTAAATCATGCAAGCAAAGTATTCGAGGCTTACCAAACTATTTATCTTACTGCAACTTGTGAAACTGTCTTCAATGTTTAAAACATGGTCCAAGGCATTCATTGTTCTTGGCTTGAACTTGAAGCTTCTTTTATTCATCAGAAAATTTACTGTTATTCTCATCATCAAGCCATCATAAAAATTTTTTCACCATCGGAGAACAAATAGTTAAGTTATTTGTCATAGGATTGTGTTGGGCTAAAAATCTTCAATCCAATCACATCAACAAAAGTAAAATCAAACAATAAATCAAACACACAAAAGACAATAATTTAACGTAATTTGATCTAATCAATTTACATCCACGAATGAGTAACAAGATCTACTAATTGTAGAAAATTATAAACATACATCAAATCATCAACATCACTCAACAATCAATACTCATAAGACACTTTCAATCTCCTCTAGTCTTATAAAGTATTCTCAACCCAAATAAACACAAACTAAAACCCTTGTGCACCATTTCAACATAATTAAAACACATATGCTCACATACATTATACCTACATGGATCATTTCAATCTCCTCTAGTCCACTCACAAACAAACATACATATCCATAAGACGTAGTCTTCTCTAGTCCACTCATAAATAAACATACACACCCATAAGACGTAGAGCTCCAATACTTCTATAGAGTGTCTATCCCACAAAACTTTACAACTCTCTTACATCTTTTTCTCATACCTAACACTATAAAGACTTTATCTATTTATAACCATACAAACTTACTCATTAAGAATCTTTTTTCTCTTAGAATTCTTCTCCTATAAGTTAAATTTGCCTATTAAAAATTTTTTTTCTTTTAGAATTATTCTTTTGAAGTCAAATTTACCTATTGAGAATCATTTTATCTTTTTCTCATACCTAACCCTGTAGAAACTCCATCTATTTATAACCATACAAACTTACCAATTAAGAATCTTTTTTCTCTTAGAATTCTTCTCCTATAAGTTAAATTTGCCTATTAGGAATCCCTTTCCTTTTAGAATTCTTCTTTTGCAAGTCAAACTTACCTATTGAGAATCATCTTTCTCTTAGAATTCTTCTTTTGTAAGTCTTCTTGTCCATCAAGTAATATCTAATAAATCCCAAACAAATCTCTAACAAATCCTAAACAAATCTCTTATGAGATTTGAGTCAATATTTTCAACAATCTCCACCTTGACTCAAATTCTATCAAATCATCTGTCTTCATGTTAGATATGCTTGGCTCCACCTGCAATAGAAGTCTCACACTCATCTTCTCTTGTGTGTCTTCATGTTTCATGCAAATCAATCCTTCAATCTTTAAAACACAAACTCAAACTTTTTTCTTGAATCACGCTCCTCTAAGCTTAACTCTTCTCATGTCTTAAACTATGTTCTTCTCACATCTCGAACCTTCAGCTCTTTCACATTTCGAACCTTCGGCTCTTTTCACATCTTGAATCTTCAACTCTTCTCACATTTCAAACCTTCGATTCTAATACCACTTGTTGAAAAACACTACAGCTCTGATATCATTTGTTGGGCTAAAAGCCTTCAATTCAATCACACTAGCGGAAGCAAAATTAAACAATAAATCAAACACACAAGAGACAACAATTTAACGTAGTTCGATCCAATCAACCTACGTCCACGGATGAGTAACAAGATCCACTAATTGTAGAGAATTACAAACATACATCAAATCATTAACCTCACTCAACAATCAATACTTATAAGACACTCTCAATCTCCTCTAGTCTTATGGAGTATTCTCAACCCAAACAAATACAAACCCAAACCTTTATGCACCCTTTCAACACAACCAAACACATACCCATATGTTCCCATATATTATACTTATGTGGACCCTCTTAGTCTTCTCTAGCCCACTCACAAACAAATTATACTTATGTGGACTCTCTCAGTCTTCTCTAGCCCACTCACAAACAAACATACACACGTAAAACCTTAATACTCCTATGATGTGTCTATCCCACAAAATCCTACAACTCTCTTATATTTTTTTCTCATACCTAACCTGTAGAGACTTTACTTATTTATAACCATATAAACTTGCCTATTAAGAATCTCTTTCCTCTTAGAATTCTTTTCTTGTAAGTTAAACTTGCCTATTAAAAATCATTTTCCTTTTAGAATTCTTCTCTTACAAGTCAAACTTACATATTAAGAATCTTTTTTCTCTTAGAATTTTTTTTGTAAGTCTTCTTATCCATCAGATAATATCTGACAAATCTTAAATAAATCTCTAATAAATTTTAAATAAATATCTTATGAGATTTGATTCAATATTCTCAACCAATCGAAGAGCAAGGATAGTTTCAAAATCTAAATTATTGGTAGATTTTTTAGAATATAAAAAAAAATGGGGCAGGAATATCCAGTTTAGAATGCGGAGAAAAGCCAACAAAAGTACAACAAAGCGGTCCCCTTGTGTCTCTGCATGCTTATGTAAGGACCTGTTATGGTTTTCAGCAGGGACTTACATTACTGTTGTCAAGCTCTTGTTAAACTCCACAATGCCCATACTTCATGGACTAGTCTTCAACAATTTTTTTATTTGTATATTTTCCTAGCCATATAGTAAATTATATAATTTCCACTTTTCCGGTTGTTTAATTTGTTCTCAATACAATGATTGTTCTTTGTTCTTTGCATCATTGATTCTTTAGCCGCAGATAAGAATAATTGAAAATAGTATCAAAATCTGAGCTAATCTCAATATGCTTAAATGCTTATATTTTCAGCAGTACATTCAAACAAATCAGCTAATCTCATGCTGTTGAGAAAATAAGAACAAAAAGAATGTTACCCCAGATTCCAAATTGTTCTATTAGTAGCATGTTTTCTTCAGCTGCACAAAAAACTACAGCTTTGGCTTAGCTTAACCTTGTTTAATTAGTAATTGCAGATTATGGTCTAATGGTGCTCTAAACATTAATGAGAAATGCAATATAAGACAAAAATATTATTAAGGATGAAGACAGTAAATCCCAAGTATAGACCTAATTTGCTGAACACCCAAATCTGCATATCCAATACACAGCTGAAATGTTCTGTTAGAATAAAAGAAATGACACTGCCTCATTTTCATGACTTTATGTCATTTTTTTGCCTCTTTTCTTCTTTCTGTCTTCATTTATGTGTTCTGATGGTGATTTAACTTGGAATATCTAACTATATTTAAGTCTTAAGCTAAAAAAAGAAAAAAAAGGAATCACAGAATTCTGAAACGGGGTTTAGGCTATGCCTAGAGAGAGTATTGATTGCATGAAGCTGAAAATGAAGATATAGAAGATGCACACGCCAAAATCACACGGTTCTGTCACATTCACTCTTCAAAACTCAACTAATAATGCAAGGGAAACAGGACCACTAGCAAAAATTCATGGTTTTGCAAAACATATAATAGAGCCCCAGAATGATAGTTTTGACAGACGGTTCCTGATTTGCTTTGCTATGTGATGTGGCTCACTGGTTAGCCCTCAATTTTCCCATGAGAAAGGAGCGTGTGGCTGATTGCAACTCTCACGGGCATGCAATGTTTTACGCTAAAAAGCAAAGCTCCTTTGAGATAGAGAGACTGGAGAGGATGTGGGGTCCAGAGTTTCTGCCCCAAAGTTGATCTTGATATACCACCAAATGAAATGGAAGTTAACCTACCAATGACCAAACAAATCAATCTATTATGAGATTAAAATAAGAAAAGGAGACAGTGAAAGTTCATAACTTCACGTTGCATTTTCCCCCAAAATGAACTGATAAGGGAAACAATAAAAATCTTCTCTTGACTCAAACTTCTCAATCTCACCAAAAGGAGACGATCAAAGCTTTTCCTTTCTCTCTTTTGATAAGGAGAAAATCAAAGCGTTCAGTTGACATTTACTCCCAAAGAGGACTGACAAGGAACATAGTAAAAATGAAAATCATTTTTAACAACTACTCTCTTTATCTTTGTCTATTCTAAACTTAATCCTTTCTCTTTCTCTCTCTCTTCACTTCATCTGCAAATTGAGCTGGTATGTATGGCCCCACTTCATAATACTTCCACTGAATTTCTTTATTTATGAAGTGTCCTCAAGGTTCTGTTTGTTTGCACATATCCATTTACCACCATCTTTTACGGTTCTATAAGGAAGTTTCCAACTCGGGAGTTGAGTATTTTGTTAGTTTTGCAACTCTCTTACACTCTTTTCCCCATCATTACCCTTCTTTCTCACAGTTAACTGGTATAATTTAATCATAGTTGCTATATTTGTGCTGTTTCCAAGTGTTCTTTTATTTATTTATTTTTTTTTTTGTCAACATAGTAAGAATGGGAGAAAGATTGGTGCTATCTGTTTTTAGGACAGTGAACTGATAGGAGCCTGGAAAGGAGAGTTTACCTCTGATTTTACAATGCCAGTTCCTCTTGCTCCATATCCGACACCTCCAGCGCCATATACTCCTCCTGCCAATGGTATCTTATTCTCTTCTGTTCTGCAACAGATTTATCTTGAACTATGTGAATTCTATTATTGTTTAGTTGCTATAACAAAGGAAGGGCTTTCTTGAGAAACTTTGGTTAGCTGCAACAGCTAAAGTGATAGGATAGTGGCAGTCAGATTATATGTTATCTTTCATTATATTTTCTATCCTTCAGAAATGAGTTTGTCTCATTGTAAATACATTATACATACATGGAAAAGAGAAATAAGGGTCCAAGGCTCAAAGCCACATCCATCTTCTTTTCACTTTCAATTTTCAACTGATATAGTGGCCAAATCTATCTCATCAGGTGCTCAAAGCCAGCTTGTGTGTTCTGGATGTCGAAATCTATTACTCTATCCAGTTGGAGCAACCTCTGTGTGCTGTGCTGTTTGCAATGCAGTAACCGCTGTGCCACCTCCTGGTACATCATCTGCTATTTACTTTGTAACTTGTTAAGCTTATGTAACCCTGAAACATCGCATCGGCTGAATCTTCTGTTTTAAGTTATTTCTATCTCTGTTAAATGAAAAAATTGGGAAGGCCTATGAATAAAATGTAAGTCGAAACTCTGAAACTACAGGCACAGAAATGGCTCAGTTGGTTTGTGGAGGCTGCCATACCTTATTAATGTTCATCCGTGGAGCCACAAGTGTTCAATGTTCGTGTTGTCACACAGTTAATCTGGCCTTGGAAGGTATGCATAATAAATTATGATGTTTCACAACTTCAATATGTTTTGCTCAAACATTATTAGGATTGAAAACCTTGTCAATTGAGTTACTCTTTCTTTGTTTAAGCTTCAAATTTTCCTTCACTTCTCACAGCAAATCAGGTGGCACATGTAAATTGTGGGAACTGCAGGATGTTACTAATGTACCAGTATGGAGCACGATCTGTAAAATGTGCAGTTTGCAATTTTGTGACATCAGTTGGGGTCGGTACACAATTTCTTCACCCACTACCTGTTTAATAACCTTATAATATTTACCATCTTCTTAGGAGCCTCGAAGTACAAATTCAGAAGAAAAAACCATAATATCTAATCATATTATTGGATTACACGGTTCAATTTTGTTCATACTTCAATCAAAAGATGGATAATATGCAATAAGAAATTTGCTTGCAAGTATTTTTGCTCTAACACCATATATATTCTACACAATGATATCAATGCAGCAATAAATAAAGCACAAGAAAGCAGATCAGCTAGCTCCTCTAAGATTAAGAAGTTTGTTTGTCTGATCTCTGTGTGCACATCTTCTTCTATCCCCTAAGGCCCTAACTTGTCTCGCTCGAAATATCTATTCCTCTTGAGTTTTTCATGTAACTATCTCAAGAAAAGTCATTGAAATATTACTCGTTGTCTTATTCTTTGGCATGTTCTTGGCTTGATATTTTGGGGCCATATCACAGTTTCGTTTATGCAGAGCCCTATTCTTATGTGTTTATTATATCAATTTTATATTCAAATTTACAAGTAGCTAATCTATTGCCTTACTAGCACTGTAGAAACTGCTTCTAGATATGAATTTGTTGAACAATTACTAATATTTCATTTGCCAAGAGAATCTAGTCATTCTTGCCTTATTCATAATCATTTCCTTCTTCTTAAATGATGATCTTATCACTAAGATAGCCTAAAACACCACCCTTGTACATGCTAAAACATCAGTTTTGATTTCATCTGTTTGCAATGTCTTCAATGTCGTGCCATTGAATGGTGCAGGTCTCAGCTAGTGCTGCCGAACAGAAGTTCAACAGTTAAAATTACTTCACACCCAAGTTGATTATTAGAAGCTACAACTTTGGTTTTGCACATTACAAATATCCCCCTCCACGGTTGCATCCCTCAGCAAAATAGAGGAAACTCCCTCCTGTCATGTATAGAGTTATTTTTTCTTGCGTGACTTAGTTAAGAATAAGAAGTTTTGGCAGCAGGTTGGATGTATGATAAGCATTTCCATCAGAGAAGACTTTTAGGTTGAACAATCGACTATCTCCTTCCGATAAGATAATATTTGTTTTCATTTACTTTGCTATGAGTATGAGTGGCATTAAATACAGGGCATAAAGTTTATCTCTGATACTTTTCTTTTTCTGCTATGTAATTGTCAATGGTCTAAGTTCAAACAATTGTTTCACAGTCATTCTGGGTATGCCACATATATTGACCCAAGAAAATCACATTGGGGACCAAATAGATTTTTCATTGAAAATGTTGAGGTGCAGATTTTAGAGAATCTAGTTGATTACGTGGTAGATGATGTGTGATGACATCAATTAGTAACCTCTTCAGAGTTCAGACTATAAAGTCCAGAAAAGTACTATTAAGCAAGCACATGTCGTGGCAAGATGTAAGTTTCCAATAATTGTTTGATTCGGCCTATTAACTCATCTAATTAGCTTAACAGCATATCATTAATTGGAGTAGCAAAGACAGTATCACAATAATTCGCATTCTAGTTGATTAATTTGAATCAAAATTACAAGATGAATCAGAATTCTGACTCATTATTACCAATCAATACTAGTAACTCAACTTCTCAAATTTGATCCTGGAGTCTTTCAACCATATTAACTTGGCCTGGTCTTTAGGTTGTTACCAATTCAACAGAGTCTGAAGATCCAGGATCAACTCCCCACTGGCTTTGTCCGCAGGTATCACTCCTACCCCTACAAAAAAATCTTTTCTGGGATAATTCAGTAAGCAGATGGACCTCTTCTATGTCCAATAAGATTATTCTTTTCCGGGATAATTGAAATTCCATTCATCTAAAAGAAACAGGAAAGAACCTGCTAGCTGCTACTAAGGGAGAATTTTACAAGCTATTCTAAACTACCTAGTATATATGTGTTTTTCATTGGAGAGTAGTTTACAAGAAGTATGTTGTTATAACTATCAAATGCAGAATACTTTCTGAGGTTATGTGAAAATTTATAGATTCTAGGCAACTTCAGTGACAACTAAATATTATGAGTTGCATAAAGAATTCTTCGCAGAATAAGTCGAGATCAGTCTCACTATTAATCTGTTATTTTCAGTCCTCTAATTAGGATAATTGGTCACATTGTCATCATCAAGCACTAGATTCTTCAAGAAAAACCAGATTCCTGTGCAAATTACCAACAATATTACTACTACTAGCATTTACTCTATACTTCCCTAGTTGATATTAAACTGTCGGCTAGCACAAAATATAATCAGCTGGACCGAGCATGAAACGCCTCTTTCTTCTTGCCTGTTAATTGTTATCTTCATACATTATGCTAAATTCTTTGCAACAATATGTTTACTTCTAGTAGACAATATATCTGAAGAATCTTTGCCAATTTAATGATTTTGCTGTTTTACATGCCACTTTTTAGGTTCTCAGAACACCCTGATAAGTTTCTTGTGCTAATATGATGTCACTTTCAGATGTCGTTAACCAAACTATAATATCCAGGAAGTATATTCTCTAATAATAAAGTTGAGACCACACCACATCAGTGGCCAAAGCTTTTGCTATCTGCAGGAGCAAAAGCGCCTAAATTTTGGGTCTACGGTCCACGACTTTGTCCCGGGAAATTATGCCTTCAAACGAATGCCAGTGGTGAGGTCTACTGTCTACATAAACCTATCTGCGCTTATGTGGGGCCTTAAAACAAGGACAGTAGGGGCCCAAGAGTTAGTGGTACATGGTCCATGTATAGACCAACGCCCAACTTCAGTTGTAAGTATTCAAAATAGTCTTTCCTTGATGAAATGAACCCTTTGGTAATCTCAATTATACATGCAGATAGAGGGAGTAGCACTTTCACATTTCATAAGGGAAGATAGCTTGTAAAGCTACATTAGAACTCCTGAAGGCAATTTCTTTTTCTTCCTTCTTTTAAGCTGATAATTGGATTACCAGAAAGTGAACTGTTGCAATGTGAATAACTACTAAAAGGCTTCACGGTTGATGTGAAACAATGGTTATGTCTTGACACAAGCTGAGTCAGTTGACAATGACTCAAGCAGTACTGCTTTTGTTCTGTAACATATTCTGTCTCAATAGTTCACTTCACTCACTATCTGTGTTCCTTTTGTTTTTGGTACCAAAAGATAGCATCATGAACTTGATATTTCTATCCAATTAATTTACGAGGTTAAGCTCCCGACGACTCGGGGCAAGCCCTCTCAGTACTCCTGTTGATTTCCATTTTAGCTGTAACCATCCAGTGATAGTTTCAGTTCGGCCCCAAAATCAAAATTAATCTTTCAAATTAAATATAGTTAGAGAAAGCGTTATTTCCTTTAAGGATTAAAAGGAACACAGAACAAACTAGTCTATCAGGTGGTCCTTTATGGATCCTATCTCCTAAGAATAAGATACATGCAAGGTCCAAGATATTTATAGCAGGAGCCTGGAACTAAAGCCAGCATACACATCAATTCAACTGTTTTTGTGGCCTATCCAATAAGCTGGCTAGATAATAAAGTCAGCTCCAGGCATAATAAAACCCCTATGGATAGCACACTAGCCTCGTTTTGTTTGGATTTTAGTCTTCTCACATGTTTTGCCATACTGATCTGAATAAGGCATCCCCATGCCAGTCTAAAAACTGAACAATCATAGTAGCACACAACCAAAACAAGCAGGATAAAACATTCTTGCATAAACGAGGATAATTAAAGAAGCAATAGAAGTACGAGGTAATTCAATGCATACTGAAGAACTTTCATGAGATCATTCTGTTTTTTTCTCTGAAAGAAACACTTATGATTGTAAAAAATAGAATATACATAGAGTTTTCTCATTTACTCTCCAACCACACTATAGTGTTAACTGTTAACACTATCACAGGCCAACTCGCAAAAGAGGCTAAAGGAAAAAGTAGCGGTCATGATCAAGTAGACAACAGATTTTGCAATTAGTATTAGTATAAGACTCCAACCGGCAAAGCTGGATGGCTCACTGTGCAACAAAGGGTTGCAGCTTTCTGGTTTTGGCTAATGGAGCTGCTTTCTACAAAGAAATGGAACCTTCCTAGTGTTCGTTCGTGTTTGGCGATCTCCCACCAGACTCAGGCTTTCCCATAAGCAAGAAGGTTATGAATTCAATGCTGTATTGACTACAGAAAGCTAACATGCAATTTTTCTGGGATTTTGATTTTGTGAGTTCTTCGTTGGTATCTCTTCAATCAACAGCTTCAGCTTGCATTTCTAAATCCTTGCATTATTTCCAACTCCCTGTCTATCCTCAATTATTTCATCACCCTTCTTATTTAAAACATGATGAAGCTCACTTTGAAGATGCTATCTAGTTCAAGCTTAATGTGGCAAGAATCATTTCATTATTGTGCATGTAGAGACAATGTACATCCAAATGATCTAGTATGGACGCAGACAGATGCAATTAACTGCAGTCACAGTAAGGCAACAAAACTACTGAAAATGCTAAATTGGCACAAGGAAAATATACATTGAAAAAGTTAATATATATAACTTAAAGAAGAAGTCAAACAATGTTCAATTAACTAACCGAGTCATAATCACAGTACTTTAGTGGGAGTAAAATCTAAAACCATGATATGAAATGATAAAATACAGAACTGGCTTTATATGGTTTATGCTCAACTTCTGCTTAGAAAATGTAAGTAGCTTATTCATCACCCATGGCTAGCTCCAATGCATAGTCATCCCTTTCCTGCCAATGTTCAACACATACAATTTTAAGATCACTTCACAAGGTTTGGAGAATTAACCATTAAAATCCTGAAAGAGACAATATGTAGCTGTGCATCAGCTCAGCTACTTTTCCACTTTAACTACTAATTGTTGCAAATTAATCTGTACAAAATTTCCCAGAAGTCAGGGCTTACAATAGGTCCTCGAGCAAAATATCTTCCAAACTGAAGCCAGTACACCTGCACATGCCAGTAATTTCATATTATATTTTGATCCATATAAGCAAAGGTTTATAGATACTCAAGAAATCCCTATTAAGTAGCAAAACTTTTTATTTCTTGGAAATCAGATAAATGCAGATGAAGACACATTCAGGTGCCACTATCACACAACATTTTAGGCACTTGATGCAACAGTCAGCCTTGACTTGTTTGCAATGACTTTATTTGATTAACATACAAAGAGCAGTTAGTGCTTCTCCTTAATAGATTGTTAGCATTTTGCACATTACCTCATCCTCATCTTGTGTTTCCACTTCAAGATCAGATGATGGAAAACCCACACAAAGAAGTGCATATCCCTGCATGTAAGCCCCCCAAGAAACAAGAGGAAAATAAATTTACTGTACACTCCAAACAGTGAGGTAATAGAATGATAATGAAAGGAGTTTTGCATGAGGTAAAACAGTATATTTATGCACATGTTGCCGTTAATTCAAAGTATGTTTCCAATGGTAATGGAGTTTTCTCTATTTCTTTTTTTGGTACATTTGTCACTCATGATTGTTGGTTAGGAAGTTGAATAAGAAACTAAAAAATTTTGTTAAAGAGGGAGAAAGTTCCTCAACATCTAACTAGGAAGACTAAAGCCTCAACTGAACATCAATGGCATCCATTCAGTTATGACCTCCAGAAATTTCAGCAAAATTTACATGTCTCCCAAATTCAGCAACTATACTCTTAATTTGATCAACAAAAACAACCAAGCCTGTGTTATGAATCTTCGTCCATGTATATATCTTTCGATGCCTCTCCTATTAGTTAAATGAATAGAATTTTTAATGTTGCTCTGATTTCACACAGAAACCTATTGTATTGTAAAATTGATAACTAGATTATGGAAATACGATTAAATAGCAGTGAAGGTGAAGGTTTGAATTGGAACTCAAATGCAAACTAATAAGCAAAACAAGCAAATGAATTCATATTCCATAAATCGGAAACACAAAAAAAAGCCATGCCTTTGCTTTCAATTCAGCAGATATCCCAAGAGCTTCAGGCTGTCTGATTTGTCCAGACTTCACACGTACAGCACAGCTAGTACAGCAACCTGCCATGTAAAGGCTCTATTCATCAAATTAAACCATTTCATCCAAATAAGGAAAAATTACCATTCAAAAGAATCAAAACAGCCTTAATGTTCAATTAGTAAGCTCCATTGCAGTATCTTAAATGATAACCTAAAAACCAAATCGTAGAACTGGCGATTCGTGTATTCGTGTTATATAAATATGTTTTACACGAAAATTGTATGTCACAATTCGTGTCGACATGAAAACATGAAATACATTTTTTTAAGTATGTTATTGCTAAAATTTTAGGCAGTGTCACCTTTATGTCCTATTTTTGTATTATATTCATTTCATGTAACCATATCGTGTCTTAGATTACTAAATTTGTCAAATCATCAATAAATATGCCACGATTCGCTACATTTAAAAACAAAAACTTCTTCGAATTTTAAAGAACAATATATACCGTGCCTGCAAGCGAATGGAAGCGTAATGTTTTGAGATTCAGCCGTATGTAATATGTACTGATCCTGCAATTTTAATCAGATAACCCTAAATCAATCTAATTAATCATTTAATAAGTTGTTCTAACGGATCAATAAATCATTTAATTAAAGAACTAATTGTTCTAGTCTAACTAGAAAATAGGTCAATAAGTTCTCGGCATTTTCTCGGGAAATTAACAGAGTCGCACGCCGTACCTCGGGAACAAGAAATTCATAAACGACGCCTTGTTTTCTATCGTGGACAGTGACTTTATGAGTGGGAACTGAAGGAGAAAGATTACCGTTGGGGCTGGTAACTCTCACCGCTGACGTCGTTTTGCGTCGGCATTTGAAGGGAAAACTCCTGTGTTTCGGAGAAGAGAGTTTCCGGTGAAGAGGCGGCTGCTGGTAGAGTGAAGTGCAGGAATTGCAGGGAACCACAAGGTCCATTGGTAGCGGTTTTAGAATCTTATCAGTTATTGGCCTCAAGGAGATAAAACAATAGTAGAAGGAAAGAGGGCTAGCTATCCTACATTCGTTTGTACGCTATGTTTTAAGAACTGAATTTTCCACCGTTGGATTTGACAACAATAAATATTATTTTATATTTTATATTTTTTAATAATTTTGATTCAAATATTCAATAAGAAGCATAAAGAAAGAGCATAGAATTAGAGAATAAAAAAATGGTAAGTGTATTAATATTTGTTTATCCTACTACTCCATTTTATTTTAAAATATTTGTCATTTCATGAAATTTTAAAAAGTTAATTTTAATATATTTAATATTAAAATTTTAATAATTTTAATATTAAAAAGTAAAAAAAATATAATATAATTTTAAATATAAAAAATAAAAATTTTAAATGTTAAAAAAACAATTTTAGAATATCTAAAAAAAAAGACAAAAAATAGACATGGAGAGTATTTAATTTTATTACAACTCATGAGAAAGTGCTGGATTATTACGTTGTAGGTGGCCCAATAGGTTGTGTCCAATGCGACATAAAATCCAGGACATGAATTGAGCCGCACTGCATGGATGACGCGTGTCTATTGCTTTACATGTGGCAACTCCAACGTTTTTGTTAATAAAAAAAATGTTAATGACATGCAAGTGTTACTAATAAAAACCGATGTGTAAAGGTCGATGGCTGATCATTTTGTTGTTGTTTTGATTGTATGAAGGAAATTATGGGAGGAGAAAACCAAAGAAACTGCTTTTTGATTTGAATCATAACTGTTTACAGCTGAAGCCTGGATCTGATTGAGAAAGATGCACACAGCGAAGGTGATTAGCAACATGGCAAGTAGCGCCAAGGAGCATATCAACATCGGCAAAGCTCAAGTTGAAGAAAAAGGTCGTTTGATTTTGTTTTCTTGTTTGTTTCCATTATTAAAATTAAAAATTACAACTATACTTAACGGAATGTTGCAGTTGGAGAAAGCAGTGGCTAGGTCAGAAGAAGAGAAAAAGTTGGCTCATGAGCGTGAAAAACCAAGGAAGCTCGAGCAAAGATGGAGTTACATCAGGATAAGGCCAGGCATGCGGAGGAGAGATTGAGAGCTAAACAACCCCAGTATCTCCACGGATATGGCTATGACCATGAACCACCCTTTGGAACTGCACCTCCCATGAATGAAACCAGTGCTCCTCTGCATCATCTCACAGGGCAGCCCCAACCTCACGGGCATAAGAAGTATTAATAAGGGGTTGACCAAGTCATGGGACAGTTTGCACGCAAAGGGGGGGTGATGGTCATTTGTGTGTTTTGCTCTTTTTATTTGGTTTGCGGTCTTTGACGTTTATATATAAGAAGTTAATAAGAAATGTTTGGTTTTTTGTTTAAGCTTGTTCTTGTTCATACTGAAATAGCAATTCAACCCGCTTTAATCTTCAGTCTCATTATAGCTATAAACGAAAATCAAAGATGCCAGAAAGACAAACAAGAGAAAACCTGTATCAGATCATTCAACAAGCTACTTATACAGAATGACTTCATTGCTGAAGCCTACTCTTTTTAAAGTCTAAACCAAAATCCTCTTAAACCACGACAAGAAACCTTTTTTGTACATGATGCTGATACATTGAAATGCAGGTTATTACCAATAATACACGAGTTAGAGCAATGAAAAAAAAAATCCTATTTAAAAGAATTTAATGGGTAAACACATTTTTGTTAAAAACCAAACAAATGAAATATACCAACAATCATACCCATTGCAATCTTCCTTGGTATTCCGCATGCTGCTGGATTTTACCATCATGGGATATGGCCTGGTTCTTCACCTTGGCTGGTCTGGTACTGTACTGCACTTCAAACTTTGGGAATGGCTTCTGCTCATTTTCTGCACTAGCTGCGCCAGATGTTTTAGGCAATACTTCATCAAGGAACTCGTCTGCTACATCTCCATCTTCATCTATTCTAAGACGCTTTGCATACCATTTCAGTCCCTGAATCGAAAAGTCAATACAAAAATGTTAGCTACTTGAAATTGGCCTGAAGAAGATACACGATGTAAAATAAGTAGTGTAGCAGGTTGAGACAACCAAATGAAGGGAAAGAAAATGATTATTAGTGAAAATAGAACTGAGAACATGCCCAATGATGAAACAAACAGCATCAGATACAATTACCGCTTGGTGTAAAACACCAGGATGAAAATAAAGGCTATTGCATCTCCCACATGGACATTTATTTGCCTCAGGCTTATATGAAGAGATCAATGGTAAATAATGTTATTCTCTGTTAGAAACACTACCAACAATGAGTCGCATCTCTCAAGCTACTTCTTTCCCTCACCTTAGTGACATTAAACAAAATTTGACCATGTCCGATATGCCACAAAATTTGATTCAAAGATACTAAACTAATAAGAGATAGTACTAAACTAAACACAAAGTGTCTGTAACGTCTACTTCAGAAAAGAAAAAAGGAGAAGGCAACACCTAGACAAGATTCATTTTCAACCATGATCGACCTTTAAAACACATTTTGATGTCATTGTGTTTAAATACACAAATTCCAGTAGTATTGTCATGTTCAGCAACTTATGGTTCAAAATGATAAGGTCAATGGATTAAAATAAACAATCACTTCTGTTTTCCAAGCTAGTAGTGTTAGTTTTCTACTGAGTATTATTTATAATACCTCTAGCTATCATAAAAAATAGAGTAGCCTCTTGTTTTCTTGATAAGAAGATAATAGTGAAAGAGTTGGAAGAAACAATCACAAGCAAGAAAATTCTTCAATCAAGAAATGGAACTAAAATAAAAATAATCCAACACTTCTTTAAATAAATCCAACAAGCCCTAGAACAAAAATGGATGAATCTTAAACAGAATAAATGAGTTGGCATGTGCTTGGATGCATACAGACTTTGTCATGCATGGCACCATATCTGCTCAATAAGAAAAGCAAAAAATGTAGAGATCAGCCACCAAAGATTCATCCCCAAACAGAGAAAGATCTTGATAACAAACAGATTTAAAAGTTTTAGGAAAATTAAGATAAAAGACAAGTTTCAGTAAGATTTGGTGGAACCACAGGAAGTTGAGGGCAGGAAAAGAAAGACAGAGTTCAAAGAAAGAATGGAAAGTATATATCTTTTCCTCTATTCATTTAGTTGATTAAGAAAAACAAAAAGATGAAAAGGATAAAACTAAAGGATTGATAGTAGAAACCTAAGTTAAACAAAAGTAATGTCTTAAATGCATTATGTAAATTAAGCCTAAATTTAACATGCATTAGAATGCATCTCCCTGCAATGAGCATCAAGCCATCAACTACAACGTGATCTAGGTTTTAGGATTAACCAAAAATAGCATTCTGTTCACTATAAACAGATTCTGAATCTAGCAATAGCAGACTGACCATAAAGGAAGTAAAAGCAACAATAGACGTATATAGACCACTTTGCATTCAGCACATTATTGTAATTGTACAGGAAGAAGATGATCTTGCCTGATAATGGCCTCTAAAACATACGTCCTATCTCCAAAGACATCAAAGATTCCGATACCCACCATGCTAAGGAAAAAGATTATAGTAAATCTTTAATTCCGAGCTAACCTCAAGCTCTTTACAACCAAATTACATACTTCAAAGTCACTTCTTCCTTAAATATGTTTAGTGATTCGGGGAATCTTGTCTTAATTCCAAACTATTAGTATTTAATAAAGTTTGAACATTTCTTTATTCTAAAACCACGCTAAAAATGACTAGCAACAATTAATCTCTTGTGCATAAAAACACCTTAAAGCATAAAAAAAGTAACCACATTTGCCATTATAATAATACATCAAGAACCCATATCTTAGTATTTACGAACAAGAAAAAAACCTCCACTAAAGAAATGAAAGAAATAGAGATGGACCTGGACGCCGCCATCACCGTAAGCGCAGGGGAGGAGGACATGGCCAGGCTGGGGACGATCGACGGCGCCCCTTTGAGGAAGGCCAGTTTCATGGGAAATGGGACGGTAGTTAGGTGGTGGATTATTCTTGTTGTTGTTGTTGTTTTGGTGCTCGTTTTCTTGGTGTTTCACTTCGTGCCCATCGTCTCTTGCAAACCCCAGAAGCCCCGCAATTCTTCTAAAGAATCGCATAATCAATGATTAATTTTATTCGATTATTATCAATTCGACGTGCTAAACTAAGCAAATCGAGGTTTTAGGAAAATGAAATCTATAGTTTTGGAAGTGCTTGAGAGAGAAAGAGAGAGATGTTGGGTTTGGGTTTGAGTATCGCTTTGCAGCAGAGAGCAGGCTGGAGCACCGGGGAAGAAGAGAAGCTTAAAGAAAAGAAAAGAAGCAGTGTTTTAAAATTTTAGTCTGAAAAAAAGAAAAAGAAACAGTGATATGGTTCGGGGAGCGCTTAACCGCCTAAGGTTAGTCAAACAGTCAATAATCTCTTTGAGCACATGTGCTTATTAAAAAAAAAAAAAAAAAGAAGAAAAAAGAGTATGGAAAGACCCCAGAATGGCCCACATTATTTATATCGTTGGATTGATTCTTTGATGGGATATAAAAAAGATTAAAAAAAAAAAAACATAAACAATAAATTTTGAACAAAGATTGCAAATGTGTAAACAGTAAAACATCACATGTTTATTTTTTTTAAATCAATGGAAATTCAATTTTTACAAAAAAATAAAACATAAATTAAAAAAAAAATGTAAAAGGATATGCAGAATGTTAGGGAACCTACAAATTGTACTGAAAATTTTTGAGACTTGAGTAATCTATTTATAATAGTGAAATGAGAAACATAATGGTTAAGGTCTTAAATATAGATACTAATGCATTTGACCATACAAAGGAAAAAGTATATTTATAATATGATTTTATAATAATTTTTTTATGATAATTAATTCAATTTTGTATGTTTGTAATTATTAAAATTATTATGATTATTCTTTCCTATTTGAATATGATTCATTTTTCACATTTTGAATTTAAGTGTCTCCAAAGTAGTATTATTATTCATAGTAGTTTCACAAAAACATAAAAAGATAAGTTAACTAAAAATGTAAAAGAAAATAAATATAATTTATTGCATGAAATTAAATATTTAAAATTTAAATTAAATCAAATTAAAAATAATTAAATATATAGCATATAATACTCGTTTAAGATTGTACAAATGTCAAAATAATAAATTATTTACATTGAATTTTTTTCTTGTCAAAATTTTTGATTTTTACATATTTATATAAAATTAAAAGAGTTGAAAAATGGGTAATAAATAAAATTGTACTTTTAGCTAAAGTTATCAAAAATATATTAAAAATTATCAAATTCTATAAAAAATTAAAATAATAATTATTTAATTATGTTATAATTAATCTCGTTGATAATAGAATGGAAAAATATAAAAAATTATAAGATTAAGCGACACATGCAAGACTAAGATGAACTAAGTGGCACACATAAAGTAGGACGAACCAAAATACAAATGACATAACATTGGATCAAATACAAATCCAATTGAAAACAAATAGCACAACATTAAGAATTAAATTGACCAAATTCTTGCATTACAATTGAAAGGGGTTCATTTTAATATTATTAATTAATTAATTAATATAAATATTATTATGGTATTGATTGATAATAATGTAACTATTTTAAAAATGTAAAAATTAAAAGACCAAAATGTCCCCTGACCATTAAATCTCGCCGACGGAGAATTTTACAAAATTATTAATTTTTTTTTTCTGAAAATATTTTCCATTTCCTCTTAAAGTCTGTTATTGACGGATGCTTTGACCACGAACGTCCTGTATTTCTCCAGATCCGGTTCCGCCACTGGTTTCAGTTACCGCCGATCCAGTTATTTCCCAAATCGTATTCACTTCATTTAACGTCAGACGCGATCCACTGGATCGAAGATGCCGGTGGCCGCTTCCGCCATCTACTTCTTGAATCTCCGCGGTGATGTTCTCATCAATCGTCTTTACCGCGACGATGTTGGGTAACTATCTCTCCATTTTCGAGCCTCTTTAATTTTTTATAAATAGAATTAATTCGCTGAGTTTGGCACGAATGCATCTAGGTTTCTCTTTTCCATTAAACGGCGAGGTTTGGACTGAGGTTTATGATAATTTATAATTTTTCATTCAGGGGAAACATGGTGGATGCCTTCCGAATGCACATTATGCAAACGAAAGAACTCGGTACATGTCCTGTGCGTCAGATTGGAGGTTGCTCTTTCTTTTACATGAGAATCAGCAATGTATACATCGTAATTGTTGTTAGCAGCAATGCTAATGTAGCTTGTGCTTTCAAGTTTGTTGTTGAGGTACTGAAGATTTCTTTGTTCTTATTTTTCGTTGGGCGATTAGTTTTGTGCATCAGATATGGAAAAGATTTTACATCATATCCCGCTGGAAAATGTGCAATTCATTTTCTATTGTAGTTGACACTGTCATTTTTGCTCCTTTTGTAGGCTGTTGCTTTGTTCAAATCTTATTTTGGTGGTGCTTTTGATGAAGATGCTATTCGTAACAATTTCGTTCTGATTTATGAATTGTTGGATGGTATGTAGTCAAGGGCAGTTGAAATGTTTCTCCTTCCACATTTATTCTCTTGCTTGGTTTATAGTGTGTTTAGCTACTGTTTATTTGGCTTAATTCATGATGTTCTATTGCAGTGCTATATTGTGCATTCACAAGTTGCCTTTGATTCTTGACTCCAGGTGTTATGGACTGTAATAGGAAGCTTAGATTCACATTATTACTAGTGGTAGATATGAATATTACTTGCAGACTCAACTGATCAATTAATCAAAAATTGAATAAGTAATATAGTTTGTGTCTTTTAGATTGCACGTTAACTTCTGTACCAGACATTTATTTTGACCATTTATTCTGCAGAATATAAGGGGGAGAAAATCATTTAACCCTGTGTTCATACCTTCAAATGTTATTTGAATGATAAAACATTTCGATTTCTGGATTGCCATTGCAGAAATCATGGACTTTGGCTACCCACAAAATCTTTCTCCTGAAATTTTAAAGCTCTACATTACTCAGGAAGGAGTGCGGTCCCCATTTTCATCCAAGGTATGTTGTATCTTATGTATTACAGGTTATTGTTTTTTGAGGATTGATGCATGCAAGCAATACTCGAATGCTAAGGTTCATTGTGCTTCAATTTTTATGTAAAGTTGCACTCTCATTTGTCTCTTTCATTTTCTATTTGCAATAAATCAATAGCCTTCAGATAGGTCTGTTCCAAATGCAACTTTACAAGTTACAGGTGCTGTTGGCTGGCGAAGAGAGGGACTTGTTTATAAAAAGAATGAGGTGATTTAGCTTCTGAGTACTGTCAATTCCTTTCTCTATTGGATGTGGTGGTTCCACCGGTTTTAACATTTATGTTTCAGGTGTTTCTGGACATTGTGGAAAGTGTAAACCTACTTATGTCTTCTAAAGGTTGGTACTGGTTATGGAAGTGTTTTTGTTTGTTGAAGTCTGTTGGGCTCAATATAAACCATTTGGTAATTGCAGGTAGTGTTCTCCGTTGTGATGTTACGGGAAAGGTTCTTATGAAGTGCTTCCTCTCTGGAATGCCTGATTTGAAGTTGGGCTTGAATGATAAAATTGGGCTTGAGAAAGAATCACAACTAAAATCCCGTCCTACTAAAAGGTGGCTGCTAATTGCATTCACTTCTCATACTATTTTGCTTCTTTTTGCTCTTATATCTTCCTTTTTTTTTCTTGTCGATGTTGCAGTTTTTATGATCAAATTTTGATATTCATGTGACTTTATGAAGGGTTTCATTTTGGATTGCCTATTTTCTGAAATTTCCTATGCTTTGTTTATATGTTGCTCCCATTGCCATGAACTCAAATTTTTTTATATTTGGTTTCAGAGCATGCAATTTGGCCTTATTTCTTTCTCTTACAATGCTACATTTTGCAGTGGCAAGACTATTGAGCTGGATGATGTTACGTTCCATCAGTGTGTGAATCTTACAAGATTCAACTCAGAAAAGACTGTTAGTTTTGTGCCACCAGATGGTGAATTTGAATTGATGAAGTAAGCTTAGAAGTCTTCTCCCTTATTTTGGTTTGCAGTTCAAGTTTATGTTATTTAGTAAGTAATATCAGTTGTAGCAAAGGTTTGTCACTTCATATATCTGTGAATAAGTTCTATATTATCTATAGCTTGCTTCTGTCTAGCATGTTGTGTTCATTTTTTGCTCACTACGTTACTTTTCAAATGCCTTTGTTTATCATAGATGCCATTTGAACCTTAAAATCTGGATATAGATTGTGAAAATGAATGCTTAATGGTGCAGGGCTCTCTTTGTTCCCATTTCATTTTGTTTTGAGTGATCTCAGTTTTCTATGTTTCCATCATACATTAATTCTTTTATATACTTGTTTAATGTTCTTTCTGACTTGATGGATCCATAGGTACCGTATCACCGAGGGTGTTAATCTTCCTTTCCGGGTATTGCCAACAATCAAGGAACTTGGTCGAACTCGGATGGAAGTAAATGTTAAGGTTTGTAATCATACATTTTGAAATTGGCCATATTTGGAAATTCATGGATGTGCTTGTTTGCTTATTTATATAATATTTCAGGTTAAAAGTGTCTTTGGAGCAAAAATGTTTGCTCTTGGAGTTGTCATTAAAATTCCTGTACCGAAACAAACAGCGAAAACAAGTTTCCAAGTCACATCAGGTCGAGCAAAATATAACGCTGCTATTGACTGCTTGGTTTGGAAGTAAGTGTTTTAATTTGTTAATATGTGCCTATCTTCTGTATTCCACTTTAATATTGAGGATCTGGCTGGCTGCCTGCCTGCTTTTTTCCCATCTTAAAAGTTGATTAGCCAAAAAAGTTGTGTGCTACAGCCCCATCCACAACCCTATCCCTGCACCATCTGTTTGCCAATTACCCAATGAGTTTATTATTCTCTACTAGCCAGTAGTTTTCACTCCATTTACAGTTTATCTCTAGATTGAGTTCAGTTAATGCTTAATTCTATATTCATGTGATTTTCAAGGATAAGAAAATTCCCTGGACAAACAGAGCCAACCTTGAGTGCAGAAGTTGAGTTAATTTCCACGATGGCAGAAAAGAAGTCTTGGACAAGGCCACCTATTCAGATGGAATTTCAGGTGCCTAAATTGACCACTTTGTTACTGCTTAATAATGCTGAATTCATTTTGCTTTGTTTTCAATGCTATATCTTTTCAAGGAAAATATGGAAAACATATAGCGGTACATGAAATTAGTTATGATAGAGATGTACTGCTTGTTAACATTGTTATTTCTAATCAATGTTGTTGGTGCTCCAGATTCCCTTTTTTACTCTTTTAAATGTAGTTGAATTTCCATGTCTGCTAGATGAATAGAAAATGGGAGTTGGCAGTTTAACTATGACTAAATGGATGATCAATGGATCATAAAGGGAATTAAGGTCCTATTTGGTTCTCTACACATGTCTTGGACAACAAAATCTCATTATTTGTATATCATGAAAATGCCAAAGGACATCAATTTTGCGTGATTTTGACAGGGGATATTGACACCTTACCATTCTTTACACTTCTATGAATGCCTTCAAACAAGCAAAATGCAGATGTAACTTATTCATGTCTTCCTCTCAGGTTCCAATGTTTACAGCCTCTGGTTTACGTGTCCGGTTTCTTAAGGTAAGCATTCTAATGTATTCTGAATGTACAAATGATCCCTTTAGGTGAAGTTGCTATGTTATTTATCAAAAAAAAGAAAAAAGCAGTTGCTATGTTGACTTCATCATTGCTTTGCAGGTGTGGGAGAAGAGTGGTTATAACACAGTTGAGTGGGTTCGCTATATAACCAAGGCTGGCTCTTATGAGATTAGGTGCTAGAAACATTTGATTGCTACTGCAAGATTGTATCAGATAACTTGAGCCATGAAGAGAATATCTACATGCTACCTGTTTCAACAAAGTGGGAAGTGATTCTTGCATGTATTTCACCATGACGGTAAGGTGAATGAGCCTCCATTTACCCCTAGAGCATGCTGCTTGTGTTCTAGTTTCTGAATTACTAGGCATTTTTCCTCCCATAGTGCAGTTTTGTTAATATGATTATTTGAAGTGAGTATTTGGTCATCATTTTTCTTGTAAAGGTTAGCTCATATTTAGAACAAAAACCTGGTGCCATTATTTCACAATGCTGTATTATTTGTTGCATATTGTCACACATTTTTTTGTAACAATACATCGCTGGTTTTAAACGAGTATGACTGGGATAGTTGAAACCTGGAAGTTTGGATTTTGGAATTGGATTCATCTGAATGATGGAAGTGGCGATTCCAATGTTTAGGACTAGAAATTTCTCCTCCCCTTCCTCCCAATGTTCTTGTGAAATTTCAAATATTCAGATCCAACATTTACGTTTTACCCAGATAGCAACTTCTCTGCTTTTACGTTGCTTTTGTTTCCTAAAGTCGGAAAAGTTCTAAGTTGCTGTACGGCAATGATGGGTCATCAGCATACTATTTTAAGCATCATTACAAGTCTTTTCCCCATCATCCACGCCTCTGGGAGATTTCAGGCACCATTTTTTGCTTTTCAATTTCGTTTTTGTTTTATACAATTGGCTGCCTATTAAAGATAGTTTAATGCTTGCGTCCGGCGTCAGGTCAGGCGTGGATTCGTGAATATTGAAATTGCTATTATTTATTATTGGCTGGCTGATGTTTGGCCTTTTTCCAATTAGATTATGACCCCTGTAAGTTGTACCCATTAAGCATTAAATGGATATGACATTATTATGGCAGTTACTGTATTTCAGTAAGCAAGCATCCATCAATTACTGTAACATTGTTGTAGTCTTGTTATGTCCGTCAAATCTGACAGAAACCCTGTATCTACTACATGTCACAAGCCTAGCAAATTTTGCTACCTGTTAATGGGATCCTTCATTTTGACTAGTATCACTAAAATTGCATTGACATTGGTATCTGTGCTTGGACCAAGTAATTGTGATGCTAAATTACCATTTATTTTCTTTGAAAGCTACATGAGGCTATTTATTTGCACTTTCAAAAAGAATCTTGAAATTTTGCTTTAGTAAGAAGGAAAAAAATGCCAATAAAACTTTTTCTTTTTCTTTTCCAACTCAATAAAAGTTAGGTTGTTGGACAAATACCTAAAAAAATAAAAATATTAATGAATAATTCACGGAAAATTTTGATTTTTATTTATTATAAAATATAACAAAATCAAATTGAAATTGATGTAGCTAACAAAGTACATAGTACAACAAAATTTAAATCTAAATCTAAATCAAATTCAAGATTGGTTTAGCATAACAAAGTACATAGTCAGGGACACGTCCTAATCTCATGTTCCTGTTAGAAAAAGCCCTAACCCTTTAAATTCAATCAGCTCCCCCACAAGAAAATCTGTAGGTAAATAAAGTGCACTTAAAAAAGGTACTAAAACCCTTAAAAAAAAGAAAAAAAACTCTCCTTGGAGGGTCAGAGGAGTGTAAATTATATTTGTTATAAGCAACTGGTCTTTTCTTGTTCATTCCCCAGTGTTATAATTTCAATCGTACTCCTACTTCTGAGTTAGATAACTAAAGTAGATAACTCACACAACTCGCTTAGCTTTCGTTAGTCTTTTTTTTTTAATTTTCACACTTTTCGCAGTTTTACTCCAATTAGAACTTGCTTCGTATTACACTTCCTTTTTAAAAAAAAAAAAAAACAAAGGGATTTTCGTTAGAGAAAAACAACGAAGAAGATGGAGCCGAGAGAAGTACAAGGTCCGGCAGCAGGCGCAGGGGGATTACAGGTACAACAACCGCAACAGATGGTAATGGGACCCACATCTTCATCATACCCTTCGAACACCGCCTTGAACAGCCCTAATCCAATGGCTAATATACCTCCTTCTTCCACTCCTCGTTTCGTTTTCAACTCCTTAGCTTCGCCACCGCCACAGCATTATCATCAACAACCGCAACAGCAACCCAAGCCGTTGGATTCGTTTAACTCCGTTGGCTTTGATGGATCGTCGCAGTTACGGTACAACACGGAGCCGGCCATGAAGAAGAAGCGGGGTAGGCCTAGAAAATATACTCCTGATGGTAACATTGCTCTTCTGCAATTGGCACCCACCACCCCAATTGCTTCTAACTCCGCGAATCATGGTGCTGGTGGTGATTCTGTCGGTTTAGGAAGTAGTAGTGGCGGTGCTGGTGCTGCGTCGGAACCGCCTGCTAAAAGGAACCGCGGAAGGCCACCGGGTTCTGGAAAAAGACAGATGGATGCATTAGGTAACTAAGAGTTGAAGTGTCAAAGTTCTAATTTTTATTATTATCATAGTATTCTGTTTTGTAAATTTTGGGTCTTTGTTTTTATGAGCAGGTGGAGTTGGAGGGTTGGGATTTACTCCTCATGTGATCATGGTGAAAGCCGGCGAGGTGAGTTCCTTTTGTAAGTGATACAGTAAGTTGTAATGATTGTTGTTTCAGATGGAATTGAGAAATATTATGTATCTGAAGGTAGGCTTCGAAATGTACGAGATTTTCTTGGCCTTAATGGATTTGTATTTGGGGATGATTAAAGTTTCTTAGATTGAATTTTCAAATGTTTTAAGCTTCCTGTGGTGGTGGAATTCATCCATTTTCTGTATTAGTAGCATGAGGGAATATCTTCAAACCCTTTGCAATACAACTCTGGAACTATGATTTTTGGAAAATTATTGAATGAAAGCAACTCATCCTATAATTACTAAGTTGAGCACTATGAAATAATTCAGCTCTAACTGAAAGTTTTGTACGATCCAAATACTGAGTTGGGGCAATGTAAATTACTTGAGGCAATATGCATAGTCTTACTCCATCAAAGATGGATATGCCTTAATTAGTATGCACCAACAAACGTCCAATGCTATTCTCTTTGCACATGTTCTGATTGATCATGTTTGTAAACCTTGAAGCTTATTTATAATGTGCCCTATTGTGTGGCCTATTCATTTGCAGGACGTAGCATCCAAGATTATGGCTTTTTCACAGCAAGGACCAAGGACAGTCTGTATTCTCTCTGCAAATGGTGCCATCTGTAATGTTACACTCCGCCAACCTGCAATGTCTGGTGGTACTGTGACATATGAGGTACTTTTAATATTAATATGAGATCCATCTGGTAAACTACGCCTAGGCTTGAATGAAATGCACCTGCTCAGCACCTTAGCTTAGATAGGATTGTTTCCATATTTTCAAGGGCTGCTGAAGCATAAACTTTATGAACATTCCTTTGGCAGAAAAAAATGTTTCCTTTCTCTCTATGCATGTGTGCGAGTGTGCACAATGCATACACACAGCTGCTATTGTCTTTCTCTCTTTCGGAGAATAATTTCTATATTTTCGCATTTGATTTTTTTTTTTTTAAATGCATTTTTAAACTATCATAAGTTTCTTGTCGGTTTTTAGGACCCCATTTCAAGCAAATGTGTTAGTCCAAGGAAAAGACATGACTCATTAGTCTGGAAATGTTATGTGAATATAGATCTGAGGAGATAGTGCTGTTCATATATGTCTTGTCTTAGTGAGGAACAGTATCAAAAAGGCCTTGTTGATTGTTGATTGATTGAAGGGTTTGAAGTAAATCCTTAGTTCTAATTTGATCAATGAAAAGACTGAATGATAGTGGAAAAAGAAATAACATAGACACATGCCTATGTAGAAAACACCATATAGATTATATGTACCCAAAAAAGGAAGACGGCATGTAACTACATATAGGGAACCCCTACATTGGAAACCCAATATACCAGAAAACTATACACAAACCCATATGATTTGCAGTCTTGAGTCACTCATTTCCTATGTACTGCTAGTTCATAGCCAAAGTCTTGGAACAGTCTCCATTAATACTAGCTAGAAAAAATAAGATTGATTTGAGAGAGGAAGTGGGTTAGCGAGCATGTAAGAATGGGAGATAGGGTGGAAAGTTAAATGAGTTTACTAATGCTATGCAGCCATGGGTTGTTTTTTCTAATTTAGCCCCATGGTTTTTGTCATTTGAGTTTATTTTCAGAGTTTTATAGCTAATGGTTCCAAAAAACATGTACTAAATCTTATCCTTACATGGTTATGAAGACATGAAATATTCATTAAACCAAAATGGTCCATACGGTTTTAGTAGTTTGAATTATTTTCCCTTTATCTATGCACAATTTAATTATGTCAATATTTTTTATTGCAGGGCCGATTTGAAATTATTTCTCTAACAGGTTCCTTCTTGCCTTCTGAAAATAATGGTAGTCGCAGTAGGAGTGGCGGATTAAGTGTCTCTTTGGCTGGGTCTGATGGTCGAGTATTAGGTGGTGGAGTTGCAGGGATGCTACAGGCTGCATCACCAGTTCAGGTATCTCTCTTACTAATTTGTGTTTGCTGTTGCCATGTTCATATATGTAATTACTAATTACCATAACAATATGATGAAAATTTTGCTGCATGCACATCTTTGACGCCTTAAGTAGTTTGAGATTGAGGCTTGGTTGAATTTTGTTATTTGCATCTCAGATGCCATGCTTACCGGGTAACCATTGGGTATCAATGTAGTGTCTGACTTGTCATGGCATGACAAAGATGTCAGTGGGTTTTCATTCTTGTTTTATAACTGTTTTATATCTCCTGTCAGGTCATTCTTGGCAGCTTTATTGTGGATGGCAAAAAACAGAACTCAGATGTTTTCAGAACCGAACCTTCTTCCCTATTAACACCAAATATGCTGAGTTTTGGAGCTCCAGGGACAAAAAGTAGCCCTCCTTCGCAAGGTGGCTCAAGCGAGTCTTCTGATGAGAATGGTGGTAGCCCTCTTAATCGAGGGCCTGGGTTCTACAGCAATTCAGCTCCATCTATTCATAATAACAATATGCAAATGTACCCACTTTGGACTGGCCACACTCCACAATGAAGATGCTTCTGAATTAACAGTAGAGCACTTTGGGCATCAACTTGGTGATTGTTCTTGCATAACAGTTATCGTTCAAATTCTAAATGCTAACATGCTTTAAAGAATAGAATCGGTAGAGAATCATTTTTCTTCTAGATCAAGTTTTTTGTTCATTCTCATCGAGTAGTTTTCAGTTTTCTCCACCTTAATGAAAAATGGCTGCTGTTGATAGCTGAGAACATTCCACCTATTGCTTAGAATCTCAAATTTACTTTTGCCACCATTGACCTAGCTGATGATGGTCTGTCCAGTTTGCCAAGGTTTAATGACTCATACAGATATAATTTGCTTCATTGTGCTTGCATGTTGAGACAATAGTGTATGGCCAGAGTTGTGGACATGTTAATAGTTTAGATTGTCTGATCAATCTTCTCCAATCCTCCTCGATAATCAAAACTTGGAGTAATCCAGGTATGAGACTATGACGATCGATTGACCGAGGAAAGATTTTGTCTGATTCAAATCGATTTACCTGCCATCGACACATGCAAACAACAACACAGAAACCGCGTCGGAAACCGAGTCTCATCCCATACCACCAAATATAGTACTGGGCAGCTCCTAACCCCTAGCCACACAATGCCAAGTTCGATACGATTTTCAAATGTCATCGTCATTTTCTTTCAAAAAAATCCACGATCTTAACTTCAATTTTGGCCATGGACTTTATTATTAATGCTGGATGTTTGATGAACTACTGCATTTGCTTAATTAGTTGACCATATTAATATGTATAAATATATAACGAAGAAAAAAGCGAACAATTCTAAATTAAATCATTAAAAATTAAAAATTCAATCCTTTATTAAATACGTAAGGTTTTAGCCATACTGTTCATGACTACGCGTAGACATAAGTTGTAATACAAGAAAAATAATAAATGCATAAATTTCAACGCGCCTTTTGGATTTTTTTTCATATTACTATTACGATCCAACTTCAAAGACAACGCAAGATGTCGGTTAAGATATTGTCTCTTCTCACGCGCCTCTTGGTCTCAAATCTCAACGCTTTGCTTTGCACCAAAGTTAGTGCCAACTGCCCAATATTACTGCACAAATAGTAACACCATGGAAATGTTTTGATCATTTGTCAAATTAATCACTTGATTATAATATCTTTGTCTATATAAATACGTAAGGAATCTTAAATTGACTGCAATCGAAACCTCATTTCTCTCTCAAAAAAAAAATAATAGGAAAAGGAAACCTTCATTCCTAAGCAATTACCCAAAGGCAAGGACTATAACTTGCTCTATACTTTGTGAAAGAGAGCACGCGCTGGTGATTGAGTGTGACATTTGCACAAATCCGGCAAGTCTGATTCCAATTCCAACTACCAAAGAAAGAGATATGCTTCTGTCACATGTCAACGGCTCTTTGGGCCTGCGATGACCTTTTCCTTTGCTTCGCTAATAAATGCTCCCTCCTATCCCGCTAGTTCTCTATTCGTTGCGTGGCCCATTCAACAGGAACATTTCAAGCACTTTCTAGTTTCTCCCCATAAAAATCCTTCACTTTTACTCCCCAATCCCCATAATCTTCCTTGCCCAAAAACCATCACTTTCACATTTGATAAATACTTCAATTTCCCAGCCATAACACATATACAACACACTTTGTCTTAAAAATTTTGAGTTTGTTAGGTCATGGATTGCTTGGTGTTGCCAGTCTCCTTATTGCGAAGGCGCAGCATGGGCTACCGGCCTCTAACCGAGGATGGATTTGGCGAGTTGGACAGACAAGTGACGGTGGTTGTAGGGAAAGAAAAGAGGGAGTTTTTGGTTGATCCTTTTGTGTTAGAGGAGAGTCCATTCCGGGTTTTGATTGACACAATGAAGAAGGAATATGGTAGTCGAGTAATTGATGCAAGAGGGGAAAAGCGGAGGGTGATTTTCGTGGACGTGGATGCTATCTTGTTTGAACACATGCTTTGGTTGATGAATAATGATTGTTCTTCTTTGTTTCAGCTTAATCTCGAGGAGATCATTGACTTCTATGCTCAAGATAATTAGAGTGGAGAAGAGTCCTGGTTCATTGTTTTTTACTAATTTCACCTGATAACATCCTTCTGTAATACAAGCACAGAATCAGAAACATGCCTTTTTTTTTTTCTTCTTTGGGGAATTTTGAAGAAGCCATAATATTAGTAGTTCAAGTTCATCAAAACATGGGATTAGCGCAAATCATATTATACCATGTTTCTAACTCGATTTCAGGTTCTCCAATTCAGCAGATATTTGGGTTTTAGACTTAAGATGCAGTTAAATACTGTTCACGTAAGAATACTTTGAAATGTTAAACATTTCAATTTTCTCTATAGTTTGTTGCTTGTAAAAGTTGGTACGAATTTTCTGACATCTGACATCACAATGAATCAGTCAAATTTACCAATGGAATCCAAAAAATTATGTCATGCTGTTTATAATTTGCCTATGAGTTGTTGGGATTGATCACGTCAATGTCCTAATATTACAACTTTTCTTGTAATTGGTTCTTATGATGTTGATTCATAAATTTATTCAATCCTTGATTCACCTAACTTTCAAGTACATTATATTCAATCTCTGATATACTCGAGGAAACAAAAGAACAGATCACAACGTTCAAAAACAAAAAGAAAACAAGGGTGTCGTTTTCATCTGTATTAAGCAAATTATATTGGGAAAAAAATTATCTGCTCATTTTATTTTTAGGGTGAAATTCAAAGAGCACTTGAGACAGGGAAAAGAATAACTTTAGAGTTTGAGCCCATACTAGGATGCAGTTTTCCAGGAGGATGGGCTGTAATTGGATTCACGTCTTCTATTCAGCTCAAACTTGGACCAATCCAGACCCAATTATTTATCTATCAGCCCAAGTAAATGCTGGAAAATTTGGTTCTTGGAACATTGACAAAAAAAAACGGGTAGTTACTTTATAAATGTATACTGAAGCTAACTATCTCTCAGATCAGTTGATATATAATTGAAATTAATATTTAAAAATTATGAACTTAAAAAAAATTTATGTGTTCAGCCAAATAAATAGTAAGATATGGAAGATTTAAGGGTAGATTAAGAAAAAAAAAATGCATAGTAAAAAAATTGAGAAATTGAAGTTAAAATCAGGTAAAATTTTCGAACTTCTATCCAAGAAGTTACCGATACAAATTACAAGGGTCTGTTTGGTTAGTTCTTTTTCTTTGTTATTTATTCCTTGTTTTCATTTTTTACTTTTTGGCTTTTAACTTTCCTATTACAAAAAGCAAAACTATCAATAAAACGAACCTAAGTAACATCTTAATTCAACAAAACTATATCTGACAGAAAAATGAAAAAAAAAAAAAATCTTAACTCGTTTTTGGTCTTCTTAGTTGCAAACAGGAACCTGGTTTGGGGCTTTCAGCTTAGGGCTTCATGGAGCCAGGTTGGGTTGGGCCCTAGAATTTTAAGAAATTTACTAATTTGAAATTCACTCAAATTTAGAGTTATAAAATTCTTAATAATACTTCATAATTAATATATGGAGCAAGTGGATAACCTAAAATTACATTAGTTCATGTCCTCATTTCTTTCTACCTTTTGGATTCTTAATGACAATCATATGCATGATATGAATAAGCTCATGTTGATTTGTTGTGCATTTTTCTTTTAACGCACACCACATAAATCAAATGCCGTTCATTGCTTGCAATCATGTGATCGTTTTAGTGAAGTATTGAAATTTTAATTTTAATAACTAGAGCTTAATTTCAAACAACAAAAAAATGTTGATTCCTTCTATAAGGTTTAAGCTCATTGTCTATTTTAAATTAGTTTATCCCTAATGTGGTTTACATAATTGCTAATTGCTTTTTAGTCAATGGTAATCATTACACACTTTGGAACTTATAAGTACTGTTGATAAGTTCTTAGGGCAACATCATTTCTTATCCTTTCAATCTTAAATTTATTTCCATGTGGTGGTTAATTTGGATGGAGATGGAGAATAATATTATATATTTAAATGTTAATCATGATATTGATTTGGTAATTACTACTATTTATGCATATTAAGCATTGATAATCAAGTTATTCAATAAAACAAATCCGATTTTGAGGTCAAGAGAGAAGACATCGTGGTACGTTGTCATCATCGTTGTCGTTTATTCTATGATCACAGCCTTTGGAAGCCAAAAAAAAACAAGCTAATTCTTGGAAATGAGGTCATTAGCCCTAATCAACATGTCTGTTGGGATGCGATAATTAAATTAAATTGAATAGAAAACAAGGTTTTCTTTTGAGAATAAAAAAATTTTTCAACTGCTCTTGATTATCTATGAAGGCGACAGCTTAGAATCAATTAATGTTGTGAAGCTTAGGCATAATTTGATATTATATAGTCTAATACATAGGACTTGGTCAGCCCTTGTCTGTAAAACCAGGTTTCCTTGTAATTGTTCCACCACACTCGCACTATTTTATTTATGTTGGTGAGCTAAGATCTTTATCTTCTAACTACTATTTCAGCAAGTTTCTCAAGTCATTTTATCATTATTTTGTTCTTTGCTCTCTTCACATCATCATCATCATCTTCATTGTTAGTATCACCATCATCGATCATGTTATCAAGCTCAAACTTACATTTTTTTTATATACATTTAAAATTATCAAAAATTAAATCTTGATCACCGAAACTAAAATTTATTAAGCTCGACTTAATAATCTCAACTAACTTCTGAAGAATAGACAATTTTTTACTGTAAATTTATGTATAATGAATATATCTTTTTAATTTGGTACATAAGAGATTGTTAGTAAGTAGTAGTGCACCTATAGCTTTTAGATTAAAGGGCTTTATTTTCTGATCTTGATCTCAAAAACCAAGATGGAACAAGATCAATACCGGTTTAGGTTAGATGATATTTTTTTATACTTAAAAAAAAAAAAAAAGATGGTTCTTTTTTTATAACTATATCCAATTAATGATATATTTACGAGAAATTTATCAAATATAACAAAATTATAGCATTTACATTCACGCAAGGTTACCATGATCGCAACTTAAGCTGGAGAGCCCGTAAATTTGCTTCTTCTTCTTTTTTTTTTTGTGAAAATCATTTTTGTTTTTTGCTTAATTTCAATACTCTCGAAAAATTTGCTAGATGAAATACTTTGGAAACGTTTCTATATATATACATATATATATATATATATATATATATCAAAAGCAAAAGTAAAAATTATTTGCAAAGGGTGGTTCACCTAAAACTTAGTCTTGGGTATTTGTATTCAACTTCTAATATTTCATTGCTTCACGATGGTGCTATAGCATCAAAACGAAAGACTGATCCAAACGAAACAAAACCCCCCTGGAATTGCTAGAAGCAAAAACTGTGGGCAAATATATATTATTCCAGAACTAAAGTTCTTTATTTAGTACCAAAAAGACTAAAATACAATTCTCCATTAAGACAAAGCACAATCATGAGAATAAGTTGTTTCAACAATATTGTTGATAATTGGCGCAGGGTAAGCATTTTCTTTCTCCATGATGGAATTTAGGTTTATGGATTCAAACGCGAGAGAATAAATTCAGTCATTGACAAATATAATTTTTAATACATATATGTTTAAGTCCACTATTGATAGAATACCTAACTGATAGTAAACAGACTAATGAAGATCATGGGTCATGCTATTTCTAAATGAAAGCTTATTGAAGGCATTGGTTTTGAAGAGACAGTAATCGGAAGCAAGAAAGGAATCAGCATCAAGATGGATAAACAAGACCATTTATTTTATCAAAATTGACATTACAAAATAACATATCTATGATATTGAGCCTTGTAATCATGTGAAATTGCTTTATTGAAATTGAGGATGAGCTTATGACTTGCAAGAATGCCCAACTCCAATAAATAAGTTCCAGGATTTTTTTCAACACAAAAAAAACAAATAAAAAAGAAGTTAATATATCCTTTCCTATGTAAGAGTACGGTCATTCATTTTTAAACCCATTGCCCAACTGCACCAATTCTTAACAAACACTAAAAAAGAATATTTGAACATAGAAACAATATATATCTTTAAGATATTTACCATACTACTTTTATAATAAAAATAAGTGCCCCATGATCAGTTCAAAAACATATATGTGTGTGTGTGTGTGTGTTTTGTTTCTTTGGTAATTCTCTCTGGCACTATGCTAAGGCTGTCTTAAGGGAACTCTAAGAGGATGTTGAAAGATTAAGGACAACAATATTAACCTCTATTCTCATGGTACCTACTCCCACCCCAAATGGGTGTCTAAAATTATCAGAAACAACAGTACTGGAACCTGAGTAGCTAGCCACAAAACCGTATTGTTGCAAGCTGAATGTGTATTAATAAGACTCTTTGTTCAACAACTAGATATATTAATTGGTAACCCTACCTAGATATTCACCTAAGCTAATTCATAAGACTCCAGAAAATTCTTCTATAAATGGAAGCTGGTTTCTGATGAAAAACTGAGTTAAAAATGATTGATTATTGTTACAGGAGCAGTTTTATACTAGTTAATCATGTTTTAGTTTAGTTCAAAAGATTTAGATGACAGGAATGTCATCTGCTCATTTCCAAGAAAGCTGGCTATCAAGAAAAGTCAGCTTGAACATCAAAGAAAAAGCTCGTGTTGGGTCAGGCACAAACCAAACAAGAAGAATTCCCCAGTGATAAAACCCTTGGCTCTTGATTGTATTTTATACTGTTTTATTTATTCTCTCCTGAAAACAATGCAAAGAAAACACAATACCATGTTACCAATTCCTACAAGATTTATTTTGGAAGCCTTTGAAGTAGTATATATACTTTGTTCACTCCCGAGGCTGAAAGAAACTAACTGTTGTAAACGAGGACAAGAATTATATCTGTTGGGTCTATAGGAGATGAAAAAGATTGATATATGAGGCAAATTTAAATGATGAAAATTAAAAGAAAAGGGAAACCCTAGTTGATCTGTTAGTAACACTGAAATTCAGTGACTGATATTATCCAACAAAAGTTAATACATCATCAAACCATTTCTAATTGTAAAGAAGAAGAAAGTTTTTCTACCATGAACATGAAAGGAGTACTATTTCCAGAAATCATAGATTCCAAAAATCCGAAACGAAAAAAGAAAAGATGAAAAAAAGACTAAAACAAAGATTAAAAGGAAAAGAAAAACCTAAAATTAACATCAACATCAGAGGAAGTTGAAGAAGAAGAAGCATGATGATGATGAGGATTAACGGTAACTAGTCCATGAATTTTCCTGACCTTTATGATCCAAGAATCCCGTTTCCATCAATGCAACTGCTTCTCAACAGAGATTGAATTTTCCATCAAAAAGTCACATTTCGACCCAAATCTCTCAAAACGGAGGCCTACCACCTGAGTTTCCTGGCCATCCTTCAACCGGTAACTGGACATTGGGCGGCATACTGAGAGGCAAATTGAAGAAAGGCAACCCCCCTGCGCCAGCTCCCGCATCAGCAAACATGTTATTTCCACCACCACCTCCACCGCTTCCGCTGCCGTCACTTTGCATCTGCAGCTGGTCATCCTCTTCCAAGGGCAGTCTCTCATAGGCCACATTTGTAAACGATGCAGCTATGACAATAACAGGTCCTGCCGCCATGAGTTCCCCAACCACACTTCCTCCTACAACCTGGCCTTGCCCGCCAGCCAAAAAGATTGTCAAACTGGTGGCACCTGGGGGAGCCGGTGGTGGCAAAAATGAACCTGAAAGTGATAATATTTCAAATCTGCCATGAAGGGTAACTATAGCTCCAGCTGCAGCTGGTTGCCTAATGCTCACGTTGGTTACCGTACCACTCCCACTCAGTATACAGATTCCTCTTTGCCTTCTCCGAGCGTAGTTCGCAACACAATCAAACACATCACAGCCGTTCCCAACTTCAAGAATGTGAGCTCGGAGCGTGTTTGCACTCTCCCTTGTGATGATGACCGGAGGCCTTGGTTTGTTCTTGGAACCTGGAGGACGACCTCTTGGCCTACGGGCTACAACATCACCTGGACCTGAGTTGGCTGCGTTGACTAAATCCAGGGCTTGGTGAGAGCCATCGTCTTGGTGATGGTCACCTGAGCCATAGTGGGCACCTTCCTGGTCTTCAGGTTCAGGTTGGTGTTGGAGGTGAAGGTCCGGTCTGTGAAGCTGATGAGCATAGCGAGAAGCAGTCCCTAAATCAAGACCAGCCATGCCAGCATCAAAGGACAACAAAAAACAAGGAAAAACAAAGGATTAAAAATAAATTTTCTTTTAAAAAAAACTATATATAAATTATGGGTTTAGATTAAAAACTGTTTATGGGGGGTTTTGTTTATTTTAAGGGAAGTGAGGTATGAAAAAGAAAGGGAAAGGCAACAGTGTCTCCGAAACTCGAAGAGAATAAAAAGATTTGAATAGTTATAGGGAGAGAAAAGGATTTTCTTCTCTTTTCTTTTCCTTTTTTATTAGAAATTAAAAACAACACCGAGAGGATGAGATCGAGTGCAGGGAAAGGAAAGGGCAGGAGAAGAAGAAGATGACATGACAGAAGGGTGGTACAAAGTCTATAAAAAACGCAGTCATTTCTCACCCCAAAAGTTTAAATATATACATAAAATAATACTACAAATTGGTTGAGAAAATTTTTTATATGTTTTCCCTTATTTTTGATAAGAGAAGCTGGTGGATTCCAACCCTACTCTCATTTTTTTGGAGCGTGGCCTGTACAACATTCAGAGTAAATATATTAGTAGTACATTAGAAAAACCAAATTGTATATTTAAAAAAAAAAATTATGATTAAATTCAGTCATAAATCAAGCAATAAGTGACAATTAATAGAGAAAAAAAACTACTACTACTTCAATTTAAGAAACTTTTATTCTTCCATATGGAAAACAATTATATAATCTAAAAGAAAACACATAAACCTTTTTAAAAAAAAAACAAATGAACCAAATTTGTAACATACTATATGTTTCAAATACTACCAAAATTTTCATTCTATTTTATAAAGATAATTTTCATCTATTTATGACAATTTGATCTTCAAGACAAAATGGGCTTTTGGATAAGAATTCAATGATTTAAAAATAATTTTTTTGAAGAAAATGAAAGAATATATAATTTTTTATATTAAAAATTAAGTTTTGATAACTAGATTATTAAACTCGATGCTCTGCTTATAAAACACGGCAGTTGGTAGAATACGTACTTAACTAATTAATTAAAAAAATGATTTTGTGTTTAGATTGGATGGTTGAGAAAGGGTTGCTGTTGTTGTTTCTTGTAGAGGTGTGATCTAATGATAAAAACATTTGAGCGAATGAACCCTAGACGAGGCACCAAGGATTTTGTGGGTGGGATTAGATGATAGATAAGCATAGATGTTGGTCATGGCGGTTTGGACTTTAATTTTGCGCCCAAAAAAAGAAAAAAAACTATGGTTACCATTTCACACAAGTTGACCAAGTTTGGTTAACCAGAGAGAGAGAGAATCGAGAAATTAGAGCACAATTTTTTTATTTAATTTGAATTAAAAAAAAAAAAAAACAATGGGAGAAATGGGGCAAGTGGGCAATGGTGCTGCGACGTGTGGGTCCCATCCTTGTTGTCTCCTCCTCCACCCTGGACGGTTCTCTTCTCCTCCTTTTAGCCGTTACTGCCCCTTGTTTTGCTTGACTTTGCTCAATTTGGATTTTATCACATATTTATAGAAAAATTATGCTTTTTTTTTTAGGATTTAGAGCTCGATTTCAATATATAGTAGGATGCTTAATTTATCAACAATATTCTCTTATCAAATTTGAAGCATTTAAAGTGGATTATGTATGACCAATAAAATAAAAAAGCTTGGCCCCAATTTAATACAACTGGTTGATTTGGATTAATTATATGCTAATGCTATAATTCATTAAATTATTATTATTATCAAATTTTCTTTTCCCCTCTTGGGTACAAGGAGAGAGGTGCAGCTTCATGCTGAGCAGCCCTTGAAAATGAAAGCCTACCCAATTGCCATGACACCTTTTGCATTTTAATGGTGCTCTGACCAGCAGAATTTGGTTTATTCTAAACAAGTTGAAAGAAAATTTACAGGTAATAAAGATCAAACTTCAGCCTTACTTGAATTTATTGTGATATCTCATTCTTATATCGGTACGAATTTGCTATAATATATAATAAAAACTTAAATTCGTATTATCAATATATTTTTTATAAGATAAAATCGTAAAATTTTTTGATTAAAATAAACAATAACTTATAAATTGAGTATAAATTTCTCAAAAAAAAAAAATTTTTAAACATGGATGAATCGTTTGATTTAAATTTTAAAATTTAATCATCAATTAATTCGCTTGTCCAATTCTAACATGCACAGTAATCTTTTTCTTTTAACAATTCAGATTGTTTTGTAATTAATAATTATTATCCATATTTCTATTATAGCAAAGATCGATTATTAATTAATTTTTCAATCCGAAATTTGATCAAACTAATGGGCGTGTGGAATAGCCCATAAAGCCAAAGAACCATATGCAGATTCACCTGATCCATGCATTGATCTCATAGTGATTTTCTTATTTGAAATTATTAAATAGAATAATGATTTATTAACAAAGATTGTTTAAATCTGATGTCTACATTGGATACCTGACCACGTGTTCAAGAATGCATATATAATATAATTAACTACAAATTAATTAAATTTAACATTTAAATAATTATGCAATAGATAAGCAGATCTATCTTTAATTAATTAAAATTAATTCAGTATATATTATAGGTTGGCTAATAAATGAAGTATTTGACGTTTATACATTGGCAACTTAATACAACATATAACAATACATAAGTTAATTATTAGGTCTGATCCAATTCAGATTTGAAGAGCAATCATGTGGCGATGGAAATTAAGATCAGTCACCAATTAATTTCGTTTTTGGTATTCAAGAGAAAAAGCTGTAAAGCAACGAAGTCGGCATTTAAGCCTGTAAAAGTTTAATTTTCAAGCTTAAGAAAAAAAAAATTTTTTTTGAAGGTCCAAAAGAATCCAAACAAAGGGATTTGATTTTCTTGCATGTGCTAATAAATTTCACTTGACCACACTTACCTAACTTCATGAAAACATGAAATATAGGTCAATCAATGGTGGAAAGAAATGAGGGAAATTTCTTATTTGGAAGCAAAGCATTCATTTTCAAACCACGAGGTTATTTGGAGACATTGAAATTAACCAATGTAAAAATTTGACTATATTAATTCCCTTTATCTGACTAAAGTTTCTTCTTAAACAATAGAAACTTAGCTGCCTTTTTTTACTTCATTTCTAAGTTGAATACAGTGGTAAATGTAAAAATTTGACCATATTAATTCCCTTTATTTGACAAAAGCTTTAAGGAGCATTTCAAAACTTAAAAAAATAAAACTTTCGATTGTAAGTCTTTAGGTTCAAATTTTAAATAATTAAAAATTTTATGAGATATGCCTAACTCAAATCTCAATAATTTAATAATCGTGTTATCATCAACGGTTAATATATATAATATTTCTTACCATTTATTTGTTGAATATTTTATTATATTATCAGCAATTTATACATGAAAACAATCATTGTGAATTTCTTAGTCTTCAAAAGTTCCATACATACTAATTTTTCATCCTTCCAAACACATTTTGTACTAATTATGAATTGATTGTTACCATTGTTCTTGTTGTTGAAAAGATTAATTATTTGGTTAACTAGCATTACAACAATATGTATATCAGTTATCTAATATAAGAAAAAGAAACAAAAAAAAAAAAGCTATTATAGTAAAGTTGTTCATGCACATTTCTAGGATTGGCCTAAAGTTGAGAGGTTGACAATTGTTTTTCTCACTTGTTCACATTCCTATTAAGAATCATGAAAAGCCTAGACACTATCAAAAGAACTATGGAAATATCAATGGCCCTTTCTACTATATATAATTCTGTTTGTACAGTTGTTGTTTTCAACACCTAATAAATTGGGGAAGATTATTTAAGTTTGTGGAAATGGTGTTTAAGATAAATTTATAGGACTTTTTTTGTCTTCAAAATTTTAGATGAAAAAAAACCCATTTTTTAGATGTGAAAATCTTTTTTTTTTTTAATTTCTACAAAGTTTTTCTAACCACACTGTATCTTTATTTTCTTGTCGACACCTTTATTTTCTTTTCTTTCACTATAGAAAATACTAAGAAATTTTTTTCCTTTCTTATTTTCCTTTCTTTAACTACGAAATATACAACAACTTATTAAGAAATACTCCATTTCTCTTAGAATAAATGTACTAAAAGAAAAAACCATATCTGTTTAACATTTTGTGGTATTAAAAAAGAAATGAGGACGAACCCTAATTATTGAGGCGCGTTCGGAACACATTCTGATTAATGGAGAGTAAAGAGAGAAGGTTTCTTGCTTGTCACAATGGTTAGTGGTATACTTTAAAAGGGTCTAAAGAAAAAAAGAAGAAGATTTTGGCACACGAATCACTAATGTCAAATCCATTTCTAGGATCCACGTAACCTCAACGCAGAGTATAGTCTAGGGTTTATATACCTTTGTCCCACTCTTTACATTATTATTTATAAGGTATTTTTATACATTCCTTCTAAATGTTTTTGAAATGGTTAATTATTTGCATATTAAAGGTTGGAGAACTTTACCCGTGACGGATTAATTTAATCATGTCAATCCGGGTTTAAATTTTAAAAAGAATATTTTAAAAATAAAATTTTTAATCGTGTGATGAGAGTCATTCGAAAAATAAATTAAATTCAAACAAAATGTGAAAATATCTTTCTTTTTCGTATTGAAAGAAAGTGGTTGAGAAAATTTTCTAATCTTGCCGGAAGCTCTTTTTTGGAATACCTAATCTAACGGTGTGTTGGTTTAATAAGAATTACATTATCTTATTAATTATGAGGTTGTAAGAACACCAAGATTGACCATAAATTAATTCAAAAGACATAGTTCTAAAGTAGGTGGATTTGGGGGCGGGGGTTTTGCCAATTTATAAAATTTATTTGACTTAACAAACCAATTGAGGCTAATAAGATATGTGTGGTATAGAAGTCATAGACTTTTGTACTTGTTTTCAAATGGATGATAGTGTCATTTTATTGGAAGCTTCACGCACAACACACACCTGCCAAAGCTGAAAATTTTGGGCTTGATTATTGGTTGAATTTCATCCTTATCCTTCTTCAAATTAGTTGACCAGGGTCACTATTGCTACATGTTTTCTTTCCTTGTTTTTTTTTTTCTCTTAACAAGAGGAAAGAGATTGATGAACCAAAGCTTCTACTTCAATTTGGCTTGTAAGCCAATTTGAAGTAATACTAATGCACGAAGAAGTAAAATTTCTTTTATTTCTAATGAGACTTGTCTCGATAGTTACAGTTTGAAATTATAATTGAAAATCTCATATTTGAATCTTAAGATTAAAATATTATTATAATTTATGACTAGTAAAGTGTTACATTTCATTCTAAAATCCAAATCCAATGAAACTTCATATGTATAAATTAAAAAT